GAGTGATAGGTCAGGGCGAGGGAAACGACCAGGTCACGATTGATATTGCTCAAGCCGACTTGAAACTGTGGTCGGCAGAGCAGCCTGCGCTCTACAAGGTGCTGCTCAGCTCTGGTTCTCATTCTCAAGTGGTTCCGCAGCGCGTCGGAATTCGCCGCGTTGAGGTGCGAAATGGCAATATCCTTTTCAACGGCCAGCCCATCATCTTTTATGGCGTTAATCGCCACGAACATCACCCAACTATGGGCCGTGCGGTTCCATGCGAAGCCACTCGCCGCGATCTCTTACTGATGAAGCGTTGCAATATCAATGCAATCCGCACTTCACATCAGCCACAGAATCCACATTTTTATGATCTAGCTGATGAGCTTGGCTTCTATATCATTAATGAGGCTGACCTAGAGTGTCATGGCTTTTATAAGCCCGAGCGTGCTATATTGGACGCTAAGAACCTTGGGCTTTCAAGAGTTGAGGCGCGTGAGGCAACATATGTGGAAGCTGGAAAGTGGCTTTCCGGCAACCCTGAGTGGAGGGCTGCCTATCTAGATCGCGCTGAGCAGCTTGTAGAGAGATTCAAGAACTCAACCTCCTCGATCATTTGGTCTATGGGTAATGAGGCATTCTACGGTGAGAATATTGCAGCTATGGCTCAATGGGTCAAGAAGCGGGACCCTACGAGACTGGTCCATTACGAAGCTGACCTCGAAGCGAAGGATACTGATATGTATAGTCGTATGTATTATACTATTGACGAGCTGAAAGAACACATCGCCAATAGGAATGACCGCCCACTGATTCTCTGCGAATATGCCCATGCCATGGGTAACGGGCCAGGCGGTTTAAAAGACTACATTGACGCTTATCGAAGCGAAAAGTCTCTACAGGGCGGGTTCATCTGGCAATGGGCCAGCCACGGTCTGCTGCAAAGGTCTAGCAGTGGACAGCCATTCTATGCTTATGGCAGCGACTTTAGGCAGGCGCTGAATGACAGTGACTTTGTCATGGATGGCATGCTATGGTCTGACCATGAGCGGCCTAGCCCTGGATTAATCGAATACAAGAAGGTTATTGAACCGGTGACGGTGGATAACCTGGACCTCGCGGCCGGAACCGTCTCGATTCGAAACCATCTATTCTTCTCAGACTTAGCCCATCTGGAAGCTTCGGTCAGCGTCACAGTGCAAGACCAGAAGCCGACATCTTCGGTAACCATGGCTTTGCCACCCATTGGGCCATCTTCGAGTGGCGAGGTGGAGATCCCCGAGGAGATTCTGGCTCCCCTCCGAGAGCAGTCCGAAGAGAATAAGTGGCTGAATCTGTCATTTTTTCTCCATTCAGAAGTTTCATGGGCCCCTCGAGGCCATGAGGTCGCCTGGGCTCAAATTAAGGCTCCCGCTTGCCTTACAGTCAGTCCGGCGGTGACTCCAAACATCACCTCAGACGACGAAAGCAGCATCAAGGCAGAGGTCAAAGAAGCTCGTGGGCGGCTCGTTATCTCACGCCCAGGCCACAATGCCAGCATCGTTTTTGACCTCGCTCGCGGCGGATTCCGCTGGGCCGGCGAGGCCGGAGTCACAATTACGCGCGGCCCGGAGCTCAGCATTTACCGTGGCATGACACAGAACGACGTGGGCTTTGGAGGAGACGGTGCTGAATGGAAGCGATGCCTGCTGCAAATAGCACGGTCCTGGGTCACAAAGCACAGTTGGACCTCGAACGACGATGCCATCTCGGTAGTAAGCGAAGTGAGGGTCGGTCCACCATCATTGACCTGGGCGGTCAGAGCTAGGCTCGAATACACCATCTCCCACTCACTTCAAAGTGTATCGGTTCGGGTTACAGGTGATATTGAGAAGCGTAAGGGTTCTTCCCCGTGGCCTACAACAATTCCTCGCATTGGACTCGACATGGCACTACCCAGGTCGTATAATACCGTCAACTGGTTTGGCCGAGGCCCGGGCGAATGCTACCGCGATAAGAAGGAGGCACAGCGTCTTGGACTATACGAATCAAAGGTTGAAGACTTGCATGTTCCATACGAAGTCCCCCAAGAAAACGGTGGGCGCTGCGACGTGGATTGGCTCAAGTTACAGGCCGCGGGTGGTTCTGTTGTCAGCCCTGCGCTTGAGATTCGGATGGCTCAAGGACCGTTTAGCTTCGTAGCCAGACACCACACGACACAAGAGCTGGAAGAGAAGACACACCCTCATCTTTTGCAGGAGTGTGACGATACATTACTCTACGTGGACCATGCCCACCATGGTCTTGGGTCTGGTTCATGCGGACCGCCGCCATTCCCGCATGACCGGCTGTACATGGGCCCCTTTGACTTTACCATGCATCTCCGTCTTGTAGATATCGACTAGCCTAGATAGATGCCGGGTGTTTGAAGACACAAAGGTTTTATACACGTATTTCAACTCAGATCTATTCATTCTTCATGTGGGTTATAGCATGCTGAGCAAGCTGATACCTAAGGTATATATAATCCCTGAAGTCTACATTGTGGACAAGGGTCACTCACGGTGATTGTTACATGTAGTAAGCACCTGTCATCTATCCCACACAATATTCCTAATGGGTTGAATCTATTTGAATTGGCAGTCCCCCTTCTTTAGACATGTTCAAAGCATGTAGCCCTTTGTTCTATTCTCTTTCTCCCCCGTGATTGGAACCTGATATCCTACTCGCTCTGCGGGTTCCATAGCTCGATATTGCAGTCCTCAACGAGAAGCTGTCCGCCAAGTTTGTTAGTGGCAAAGTTGAAAAGTCCAAAACGGAGACCGACGAAGCCAACGATTGACTTGGTCAAGGTATGAGCTGGGCCGAGTTGTGTGAAGGTTAAGCCATCGTAGCTATACTCGAACATGGCTTGTCTTGTCTGCTTTTTAGACTCGTCACAGAACACGGGCCTAAAGTCCGCCTTGGCTCTCAGCCATATCTTATCATGGTCCAACGATGTTTCACTCGTGATGGATCCATTTGCGATCCACTTCCAGTCAAGAGCCGTAGGACAGCCGTTGATCCAGCCCACGGGAATCCTCATCGGGCCTACCCTGGCACCATCGAATATCACTATCCGGGCCGCGTTATCGTCTTTGTGAATGCCGATGTAGGTGCTCTCGTCGCGGAACAGTGAGACACCGGCTCTATCACCATTAATAAGCTTCGAGGTGTCGAGACAAACGGTTATGCTGCTGCCGGGCCCGATAGATCGATGGGTGAGTGTGTTGGTCGCGTAGTGCAGACTTTGCGTGACGGAAGCCGTGTCAAGCGTCAAAATACCATCCTGAAGCCTCCACTTTGAGTTGTCTGGGTTGTGGTTCCACTCCCAGCAGCTGTCCAGCTTAGCTTCGGCAAAGGTGTGTCGTTTGAAGCATGTTCCACAGTATTCTTTGCTGCTTATTTTGGCCGGCTTGGGGTACTGGCCGAGCCATTGACCACGAGCATCAGAAAAATCAGCCACGACCCTTGGCCATTTCGCCTCATCGAACTTGACAGGAGCTAGAACAGGGATTCTACCCGCGGGCCAGGCATCAACAAAGGCCATGTAGTACCAGTCGCCCTGCGGAGTATCAATCAGCGCTCCTTGGTGTGGAGCGCCTGATCCTGGAATCGGAGATCGCATGTTTACGATGACGTCTCGAGCCTCGTAAGGCCCGAACGGACCGTCCGAAGACCTGAGTACATACTGGCAGTTACCTGTCTTGGTAATCCAGATGTAATACACGCCGTCGATTTTGTACATGCGTGCGCCCTCGAAAAACTCCCCAGGCGCGAGGTACTCGTCTGATGTATACACGGGCTCAATGAGACAATCGTTAGTGACGGCTTGCTGCGGTGGTCATGGCACTCGTCTTACCTGACTGACAACCTCTGTTAAGCCGTCGGCTGATAGCTGAGCGACCTCAATTGACTTGGCGCCATAAGCTAAGTAGAGAGTGTCATCATCGTCGATGAGCAATCCGACATCGTAATAGATCTTATTCAGTGGCGGATGAGGCGTCCACGTATCACCAGGGTTTTTCGCCGTATAAAGATAAGTTTGGTTTGTGCCTTGAATAGTAGTGTAAAAGTAAAAGAGCCCGTCACTTTCACGGTACTTTAACGATGAAGCCCACACACCCTTTCCATACCCGGTGTGCCATTTGTTGTTGCCCGTGTCAAGAGAAAACGAGGGGCCGCCTGGGAGTTCGGGAACTGAATGGCCAACGTATGCCCAGTCAACTAGATTGTTGGACTCGAGGACCGACGCTCCTAGTGAGAAGTGAAAGGTCGAGGTGCTCATGTAGTAGCGATCGCCGACACGGATAACTTCGGGATCGGGCAGGTCCTCCCATCGTACAGGGTTACAAAACTGAGCGAGCTGTGTACTGGCCCCGGGTTGAGCGTCCATTTCTGCGATTGAACCGGCTACAGGCCTCGTGGTATGGAGTTTAAGATATTGACTCGAGCCGAGACGTTGATACTGCAATAGTGACGCCTGATCTATATAACGTGGCTAGGGAATGCGCCCAGCTCGATGAATTGATGGCCAGCCGGAACAATCTCAAGTATAGGGGGTTAGATTCCCCGACACAAGTCCGGACAATGTCTGCTGAAACCACAATTCGCCCGGCATTTTGGCACGGAGGAATTTCGAACGCCCTCCGAAGCTTGCGCTAGAGCTCTTCCCCACTCAGCGACCCGCCCATCCTGCATCCTGCAACACGCTGGCACGCCTCGCAGTCCCGAACATGCACTCCGCCGCCCGTCCAGCGCACAGGGCAGTGGTGTAAAGTCTGCATGGGTAATGGGGGGAAGGTGGTGGCATCAACATATGAGCCGACCAAAGCTTAGGAAAGTACTTTGCTGATGGCACTTGGTAACTGGGCAAAGATGCTAGTAGTTATGATTTGCCCTTTGCTCTCCTTGGTATTGTTGGTTTGCATGGCAAGCCATTGCAATCACATGGTAGGGTACTTGGAGCTTTTGGACATGCAGTATCTTATTGTACCATCCTATTCTGATGCCACGTCATGCGGCGATGTGTTAAACTCAATTGCTGCATCTACGGAAAGTTGAGCCGTCAGCTTCTCCGACGCCTGCGAGTCTAACCTAGCGAGAATGTCAAGAAGAACATTGAGCTGCGAAACAGCACGCTGTTTGTTCCTACCGTCCGATCCCTGTGACACTGCAAGCAGGACGCTTCCCACACTTCGCATAAGCTCGATCTTTAGTAAAAAGAAATTAGTTCAAGTCCTCAGAGTCGCTGGCTGCCATGGTAGAAAGACTTACCCCAGGCTCTCCGAGCTCCTGTAAAACGTGGAACTCGACACTCTGGAGAGTATATATGTAGTCACGAGCAACATTAACCTCCTCGCTGGCAAGAACATCATCGTCATCACGAAGCCCTACAACTAATGCGAACCCTAGGACTCTGCACTCGTGGATAATCATAAGCTTTGAAAAATAGTATGTGCTCAGCAGGCGATAGCGCAGTGAGATGAAGCTCGACCGCTCTGCTGTACTCAGCGAGGCGTCCTGGCTCAATGGTTTCGAAGGCTGGAGGATTGCGGGGATGTCATCCAGAGACTCGCTGAAATCGATATACATCTCCCGATTCCTCATCAACTGCGCTGGGTCAAAGTCTGATCTCTCTCTTTTCATGCGCCCAAGTTGCCGAATCGACAGCAGCAGCCGTGAAGCGTTGCCCCAAGTACGCCGCAGGTAGTGGAAACTCTGTAATAAACCGAATTCCAACGTACCCATGCAGCCTTCGCGTTCGCAATCTAGCAGTGGTACTTGATTCAGAGCGGGGCCTTGCAAGTCCATCTCAGCATCAAACAAGGGCTCGTAAAGTATCACAGCTCTGTTTTGACAGCATATCGCCGACGAATCCGCCGAATATAGGCTCCAGAATGCGTTGCGAAGTAGAGTCGCCTCTAAAGGTGGATATTGACTTACGACACTCTCTCTATACAACCGCAAACGACGGGCGATGAGACTTGCCTCGTTAACGAGGTGATATGCCAAGCCAGATTCTCCCGTATGCTGCTGGATGCATGTCGACAGTAGCATGCGTACCTGGAGCGATGTGGCGTCGGGAGTTTGGCGATCAACGTCTTCGTTGTAGTGAAACATGGCGCGCGCGGCGGCAAGAAACTTAGGGCCAACGGCCTCGCCGTACTGAATAGTCGTCTTGGCGAAGAGGAACGACTGGGCAGCACAGAGGACTGTCAAGACTGTGAAGGACCTCATGAGAGCCAGGCCATGTTTGGTTCCATGCTGTCCGATGCTAGTAGGGAAGCATTCGCCCTCGGCACCGAAGAAGTATGTCGCGTCTGCCCGCAAACTTCTCTCATGCACGATGGGGAAGGATCGATGACAGCGTATAGAGATGCACAGTTGAGCTATAGTGCTGATGGGGACGGAGGGCTGTTCTTGGGCGATGGCGTCGTTGAGCTCTGTCCGGAGCTTTTCGAGCAGCAGCAGCCCGTCAGAATACTGCGGAGGCACACCAGGCAGCGTCGCATCTGTCGGGGTCACAGGGGTGCGATTCCTCTGGCGACGTTGGTCTCTCGGTCCCTTAGGACCTCTCTTACGGATCGGCACATCGTAAGAGCAAGCCTGGGACGAGGTTCGGCAGCAGAAGCATGGATCTGCGAAGTCGCACTGAAGCGGCGCATGTCATTAATCTCGTCTTGGCGGTTGTGAAAGAACGGGGATGGGGTTAGGCAGGACCAGGCTGCCAGCTGAGGGAGCGATTAGTCCGAGTAGCCGGCCTATTTAGAGGCAGACCATCATCCACAGCAACGTCCTTCTTCTTACCTTGATCTTCCGCTTTCTGCAGCGGTCACAGGCGCGGTTGGCCAGCCCTAGTAGAGATGACATGAGAGTCAGTCCATGCACAATTCCGCCGCGTCAAGTGGTTGCATGATCTAAAGTGGTGTAAGAATTCCTCCGTGACTGCGATGGGGGGACGGACTAAATCGATGTTGTCAGAAACAAATCACGCGGTCGAAGAGGTGTTCACTGTTGAACTATTAACCGGGGCGGAAATTCCTTGCAAGGACCTATACCCACCATGACTAGGGTGACTGAGAGCTTCAATCAAATTGGTGCCGCTTGTAAATAGAGCCGAGGCTTAATTATGATTCGCTCGGGGAAAATATCAAGAGTATTGACTAATAATCCGACCTCCTGGGCGTCGAAGGCCACAACTAGGTATTTCCCCACTCTTGCTAAGCCCCTCAAGCTGTGACTTCGGGCTACGCATAGCAATAACAGAAGCCTCCCCAATACGAATTACGATGGCAGAGATTCCTATAACTCCTGCCCAGCCCTAGCGGCACCGCTTGAGGTTTTCGACGATGTGGATTTTTACATCCGGCTAGATGAAGCGCAACGCGAGCAGCCGGTTGACTCAACCCAGCGCCCTCACAAGCCAGCAGCCAAGTAACGCGGCACGCGTTTTACCCTCTTCTCTATGGATCCCATTCGCAATCCACGCATTACCGAGCTGCCGCCAACGCCCTTGTTACTTTTCCGGGCTTTTGTACCTTCGTCTTTTGGGTCAGACCTCGCCTCTACGCTATGTAACATTACTCACACCCTAAACCCTTATACATGGGGACCTAGCATGCGAAATATTCAGTAAAGGTGCCAAGCTACAGCAGTTGCACCGTTTCAGTCAGAGGATGGCTGGCTAGACAACTTAAATACCGCTATCAACCATAGAGCAGAATAGATCAAACAACGTCGTGAGATTTATCTACCCTATAGCCCGACCCTGTCTAGACTTCCTTGTAGTCCGTATCTTGATCGCTCCCTCCAAGAGCTATGAAGTAAAAGGTAGGAGAGACTAGTGTAGGTGGGTGGAGAATAAGGAAACTCTTTGCAGTATTACATTGGCACAGGCGTGCGCAGAGGAGGATAGAATCTAAAATCAAGCTCTCGAGGACTGGCACTGCTGGTTAACGAGGCTACGGCATGTATGCATACGATAGTAGAATCAGACGAACACCTAGTTTCTGTTTCAAAGTCTCGATAGATTCCTCATTGGAAGAAAGAGCGCAGGTGCTTCATATCAAATTGCATTCATGTCGCTTCGGGTCTGGCTGTTCTATTGGGGTTGTATGTCGAATACCGCGGGTCTAGGGTAGTGAGATCAGCCAATTCCGCGACGTAATGTGCAGTAAAGGACAGGCAAGGCGGGCATTACGGCTTATAAGTAATAGGTAGGCTATGCGAGAATAACGCCATTTGCTAGGCTATGACCAGTATTAGGTTTGGGACCTCTTGGTGGATTTTCATGTATCGTCGCGACTCCGACATCACCTAAACAGCGCCATCGACTCGGAGAGAGCAAGCCTTACGACTGGCATATTCCGCCTCTAGTGATACTGGGGTTAGTTAAGGAGGGAAAAATAGGAAATTTATTATTACTTATAGAGGTAAAATAAAAATAAGTTTGAAAGATTATATGTTATATTCTCTAAGTCTACAGCCAAAGATTGGCTTTTAAGCTTCCTAGGAACGAAGGCAGCCTCTCAGTATCAGCTGATACGCTTCGCCTAACGACACTCGTAGTGAGTCCTGGTAATCTTTGTGCAGGCCCATGGACTGCAACAGCGGCCACCGCCAACCAGATAACAAGTTACTAAAATATTCAAGGCATTAGTGATCTCCTCGAAGAAAACGGGCACTTGCAGGCTGGAGGACAATCTTACTTGTTTTCGGTATACAAGCCCGATCCTGAAGCTCGGGAGGTGTTTCTGGGACCGCCCCGTCTTGAGGCACGGCAACGGCTGAGACTATGCCAAAGGCACTCATTGTAGCTACAAGAGCAAAAGTAGTCGTCATAATGCCTGGGAATGGGTTTATGATAAGAGCTGAGGGAGTTGTGAAAGTGGAAGGTGAATACTAGACTGATTGAGATAGAACTCTATAAGTGCAGCAGCGCTCTTGTCTTTTATAGTTGAATCAATTAGCAGTAATATGAAAGTAGATCGGTTACTAACAGAAGCCAAGATACCTATAGAGGTACGGAAGTCCCAAGTCCATGAGACATTTGTTCCACCTTAGCTCACCTATTCATTCCTGCTTATGGGCCTTTCGAGAGTAAAGTCTTGGATGATATCATGTCTGCAAAACCACTTTCTCATTCAATTCAATTGGAAAGCGGTAGTTAGCCTGCCATGCTCGATGAAGCTACATTGTATCCTGGTCAAGGGTTGTCAGCAAGCTGAATCCAATGAGGTAGCTCGAACAGTTTGAATAGTATCCCGATAACAAACCGATCGCCCGAAATCCAATGACACTTCTGTTGTTGTCCTGATCTTCTGTTCTTTCATCATATAGTCTCTCGGCCCAAGGCCTAAGGCTTACTGCCCAATGTAAGCTTACCTGAGACAAAGTAACCAACATGACATACGTGGGAGGGGCACGTACTCGCCACTTGTATCAGTAGCTGGCTGCTCGCTGCATTGTGTTCGCATGCCGTGCTCTGCTAAACAGTTGGCGAAAAAAAGCCACCATTGAATAGAGTTTGGAACGACGCGTAAGTACTCACAGGCGGCCAAGGATGACATTCCTACAGCAGGTAGATCACTTGATCACCAACCAAGATTGGAGTAAATGTGGATTGGGGCCGCCAGCAGGGTACGACAGAACACGAGTGATCTACAATTGCCAAGCCAGCATTCTTTTGTTTCAGTAACATGGTGATGTCAAGAAGTAAACCCTAACGTAGGAGAAAAAGGAAGTGAATTCTCGCCCAAAATGCCTGCCGGGCCGCTCCGGGTATGCAAACGAGAGTTGCTTCCCACCCTTTCTACAGTGGCACTGTTTAAATCTAAGTCAATTCTTCTCATAGGAGTTTCTGGCGTTGACTGTACTACTCTCTACTACAAATCTGAGTCGTCCCAAAGATTCTTATGCGACTTCAGTCACCAGGACAAAGAAACACGTAGAATGGTCTCATTGTGCAAGGTATTATTGCACTTTTATATGTTGGCTATCAGTCTTGAATCATCTAACATCGGGCTGTTTTGGCCCCGCTGGACTCTTGGAGGCTCGTCCGATGTGTCCATGGCTGAATTAAACTAAGGTAACGGAGGCCAATATACGCCACGCTGCCGTTACCGGTTCCAAAACCAGGGCAGCCTTACCCTGCCTGGTCAATATATTTCTCTACGAATGGATGGCCCCATCTACGTACACGCGTGGTGCTTGATAAAAAAACTTGACACTACTGGTACTTCTCACTCTAGGCGAATCGGCTAATCGTGAGGACAAAGCTTTGTGTTTGGTAACTTAGATAGGTGGAGGGTGGTCCCTCTTCCTTGGAGTTTTTGCATGTGAATGGTAGCATTCAGAGAAAAGAAACAAAGGATATGGGCTAAAATATTGTTTGTATATTGGCGCAATGTACACGGACTGCCTCATCGGGTGTTAGCCATGATAGTTTAACTTTTGGGTCGTAACTCGTTGTTTTCAGCTGGGCATATAGCCAATGAGATTGGTTGAAACAGCGTCGTGCATGGGTGAAAGAATCCAACAGCGCCTGAGTGGCTGGTTACTGTTCCCTAGAGGACCGCTTAACGAACAGCTGGCTGACCAATGACACACCGTTACTTCTACAAGGAGTATGTTTTCCATGTCAGCCAAGAAGATTGAAGCTGCTCAGCTGGTTTAGTGAATAGAACTAACTGAATTTGGGTAACAGCCCACCTAATCGCGGACAAGATTCAACATCCACGGGATTGTTCGATACCCTCCTCGGTTTATCAGCCTGTTTGGGCCACAGATGGCCACTGAAATCTGTATTGGCTTGGATGAGCTGTTGGCGAGAAAGTAACAACAGGGGGTGTAGGGATGGAGCGATGCAGAAATATAAAATGAGGGATACTCACTGCACATCTTTAAGTCTGACTTTTCCTCGATAAAATCAGCGTTTTGCATTCGTTGGACATATGACTATTCTTCGCATCAATTTATTCCAAGAAGATGAACCTCAGTCGGTTCTTTTTAGGGCAAAAACAACTCCAACTCCCTCGACCACGCCAGTTGAAGATTGTAAATATCCCTCTCAAAAAGCACGATATATGCCTTCAGGTACGACGATCAGTTTCCTGCAATATACCCTATGTTCTACCACTAACATATATTAGCTACAAGTCCCCAACGTTGATCTAATTCCTCAAAGGTCCGAGCCCATGGTTCTCAACTCAACCCACCTCGGCACATCAACCCATGCCTCAGCAGTGCAAAAGGCTCATCTAGAACTCAAAGTGGCCATGCATCCAGCTGCTACATCATGTCAAACCTTCGAAGAACAGAGCAGAGTTGAGGTCGGGGTCATTGAGAGCTTTTTCCCTGGTAACCTAGCGGATAGCGTGCGGATCTGCTTCGCAGCATGGCTCGCTTTTGTCTGCGCCATGGACGACATCTTGGAGTGCCTTAGCACTTCTGATGGAGAGGCTGTTCTGTATCGCTGCATTGGAATGTTGAGAAACAATCACAAGATCAACACGAAGAGTAAGAATCCCAGAGTCGAACAAGCAAGGGGGTTGCACGACTGGACAGCCTACTAACTTTAATCCATCGAACAGGACAGGTCCCGGACACTGAGGTTGAAAGGCTAACCCGGCTCCTATACGATCATAGTAGGCTTCATCTTCCCGCGGGTGTCTGTGATGTATTTTTTCGGGCAATATGCGAAGTTTTAAAAGCTCATATCGCTGAGTTTCACTTCCTGGATGGTCAGACTCCCCACGATCTGTCTAGGTACATGTCCATCCGAAGACGGACCATTGCACTTGACCCTTTCTTCGAGGTAATCAAATATGTACATCTTCCAGAGAGCTGGCGTCGAAAGCCTACATGGAAGAAGCTCCAAGAAGAGGTTTGCAGCACCGCAGGACTGCAAAATGATATTCTCGGGTTGGAAAAAGATATTGAGAACGGCGACGGACTCAACTCTGTCCTTGTGCTTCTACGGAACGAAGGGGTAGGCAACGCTTACGACCGTGACCCTGCAATGTTTGCAAAGTGTATTTCTATCGTCGTCAAGATGCACAATGAGAGCGCCATAAGGGTGGCGAATTGCATGGAGGAACTCCTACAACCAGCTGGCAATGTTCTGCCAGATTCAGTAGTGGAGGTTGCGAGGCATCTGATGTTGGTCTGTGAGACACACCTGGCATGGTGTGCCTCTGCAAAAAGGTACATGCCAAGATTAGAGTGATAGATATGTAATTCTTTCGAATTATATCTGAGGCCTTAGAGGCGCGGGGGTTCAGTTCCACAGACAAATACATAGTTAATTCGGATCAGAGTGAAATTTTGAAGCAGACGCACCGTGGCGCCCACTTGGCAACAAGTGGAGGATCAGCTAGACGTATATGAAGTAACAACCCAAGCATGATCCTCATGCTGTTGTTTCTTAGAAAATTACACAGCCTTGCTTAGAACGGATTTCTCTCACCATCGGTAGCAATCACCAAAGACCACCTTTGCGTCTCAAGAAACTCAAATTCGATTTAGATACGCTCTACAGGTCTATCTCCCCTTTTCTAAGCCCCAAAAAAAAGTTTCCTTTGCAGTCCAACGACACCCGGAGTACCAGTGCATTCCCCCCTTCGCTCACAACACTGCTTGTGAAACACATCGTCCTTCTCCATGGCTTCAGTTACAAGTAGCCCAGTTGAGTTCCCGGCCGCCATCATTGGCCCTAGACATGCCCTTGCATTCCCCTCGATACTCTCAATTCCACATTTTGACAAGGTTTTGAGCCGCTGAATCCAGAAACCCCAACGTTGAGGGTTATATGCAGTTTGGGGAGCCGTTGTGGTTATCCCTGCTTGGCGAGCCAAGTCTCCAAGATCGGATAAATGTGGATGGTCGGCATAGTCGATCATAGTCGCAGTTACAGCTAATGACTGCTGACTACTCAAGATGGCTAGGCTATATTCAGAATTCTGGCTCAGCTCCGTAAGAGCTCTGGTCAAATCCTCCAGGGGTAATTGTTCCTCCAAAGCTTCCTCCGTGTCCGTGCTCTGGATTAATGGTCGAGAAGTCTCGAAGGTCTCTCTGAACAGCGAGAGGGCACATAGAGCAGGGCCATTATAAATGCGAGCACTTAATAGTCGCCCGATAAAACCCCCCATATTTTCTCTCTGTTCCGCAGCATAGCTTCTCTGATAGTACTGGTCTGTAAACTCATTGACGAGAGTTGAACCGAGGAGTGGTAGGCCAGACCAGAGCGTATGGCCATCAGAAAAGATGACTGGCTGTGGACGTTGTAAAGGTCCGAGGGCTTGGACAGCTATGAGGTAGCGTATAATTGTGTCTTGGCGGTGAATATGTGTGGTGATGTTCTTGGCTGCCTGAACAAGTATATACCAGAGATCGCGGATTCCGCTGGCAATTTCCTCTGCGGGAACAACATTGCGCATATACTGCTCCGTAATTACCTGGATGTGGCCCTTTACATTGTCACTAAGGGAGTTGCTCTGGTCCCTTTGGACGACATCGTCAATCAGACTTCTCAGATGGCTTGAGTATGGTGTAGGAGAATTCATCTTTAAGTTTAAGTTGATCAAGTAAAGCAAGTATAGGCAAGGCTAAATTGAATGAGTGAATGAATTTGATGCGAGGTGCCTGGCGCTTGGCCGAGGGAGGGAAATGAATTTGTAGAGGGCTCTCATTAATGCCAGGCAGTTTCCTGCCCTACACTGCCTAGTGGAGAATTGTCTTGAGGATGAAGTTCTTTCAACAACACGAATACGGGCCGAGGCACAGCCACCTGATTGCTGCATGGTTGTACTTAGGCGCCTGCAAACAAGTGTCATGCATGCATGCATCATCCCACCTACAACGCTGTTGGCTACCTACTGTTACTATGTATATGTAAGACGGTGCGCATGGGTTTCTGCTGTTGGTCAGCCAGCGTTCTATTATTAAAACCTTTACAGTAGTAGTCATTACAACTGAATAGATAATGTCTACTATTGATTCGCTCATGTTAAATCGAAGACCAATTTCTAGCCATTTATTCATTGACTTTAGTGAAGGTTATTACATGAGAGGCGATTTCTTCAGACTACGCCCACAATTCGCAGTGTTATGAATGGAAGGACTGGATACTTGACGGAGCTGGAAGATAAGTATGTGGCAGGCGCCAAGCGTCTCACAGGCTCAGCGTTCTTTCACGAAGGATTTGATAGTGAAGGTGACATTCCATCCTGTCTGTGACCGGAACCATATCCAGAATAGAAACAATGCAAGATTCTCAGCCAGAAGTGCACATATGTGAGTGGCTTTTGTGCTTCGGGGGTCTTTATGTACCAAGATTTGGGAAACTCGACAACGCCTATGTCGAAGAGGTGGTATGATCATGGTAGGGATCCCCCGTATTTCCGGCAATAGTCCATTTTTCTGTGCATAAATATCACATCGGAAACGTAGGGCCGGTTCTTTCTATACTGGGATCAAGGGTAAATTATCGTTATCATAAGTCTATCACGGGTACGCAGAGCTGCAAGTTGTATTCTAAGCCAAGTCTCCATCAGCCGCACAAGTAGAAAGAGATATCTATTATTAGGTTGACATTACGTACGAATCATTATAGATATGGAAGGTAATGGATTAAAGAGGGCTCTTGAACAGTAGAAAAGGTCGCGCTATTCCTTCCATGGGACTTGGTCTTGACAATCTACCTCAACTCGAACACAATCAACAGGAAAATAAGCCAAGCCCAGAAAAAGATTCTATTATCGCATCATGAAGTTCAGCGCCGCTATTCTCATTCCTGGCTTTGCGCTTATTGTTCGTACTGCGGCTCTTTATCAAAACACGGATCCCAACAAAGGAGTAGGCACAGGTGTAAGTAGTATTTTTGCATTTGTGACATACGCTGCTCTGTTATCAGTGCATCTCATTTAGTCCAATGTTTATATTTAATTTGGGGTTCTCTAACATGTCCTTATTCTAGACCTGCAAGAAAGTTTCGAATCAATGTACTATCTACTGTTGGAAAGCAACCGGCCATGCAATGATAGAGGGCGAACTTACACTACGATGGAATTGGGAACCCTGTGATCGTCCGTGCTCGGCAGGACACGAGGTAAGCAGTCAGTTGGATACATCAGAAAAGGTGATTGGTTTTAAGTTCTCAGTATTCTGATTTAACAAAATGGCAATTTGGTGCAAAACAAACAGGGATTCTTGCACTCATAATTTTGCGGATGGGATTACCAAATGTTCGAATCTCAACTCTCAACCGAATACCGTGTTGGCCCAGTCCAAGCTACCATCTAAGGCCGCGCCGAACAAACCATCGAAAGCAGGTCTAAAGACGCCTCCCAAGAAACCTTCGAAGGTCACGCCTAAGCCCTCGAAGGTCGCGCCCAAGAAGCCTTCTAGAGCTGCGCCCAAGAAACATAAGCGGGCGCTATACGGAAAAAAGAAAGGGACCCGGCGTTCCTAGCTTGGTGGCTATATTTCAATTAGAGGTCCTCAGGCTTTACGTTCAAGTCAAAGTAGTTGATGACGTATTCCAGTCTCTCGCTCGCGGGATAACTTTGGCCTCGTTTGTCACCGCATCAATAGTATTTGGTGGTTTAAAAAGTGATATGCGATGTCTCAGCTGGGAAGGGGCGGTGTTGTAATTCGAATATTGCTGTGTTAGTAAGGTACCTAGAGGCAGATTTCTGTCAAATAGGTCGTTTAATAGTTCTCTTATTAATGTCACAATCCTCAATCCCATCATCATACCCCATTAAGGGGGTAGACGCTATAAGCTTAAGAAATGCCATTAGACGGGTAACTATCTCATTAGCTTTCTATTTCTATCGACCTTGTTGCCCCTCATTATGTTATCTTTCATTGTATTTAAAGGTAAAAAAGCTTTTTTTATCAACACTATCCTCTTTCAAGCCCTGATCTCTTCCAAGTCTTTTTCTTCTCTTCTTATCAGTACTGCTAGCTGCCCTACTTGCTCCTCTCGATAACGGTATTCTTCTGGAATGATACTGCCTTGGGCACAAGAAATTAGAACCACTCCAATCCCTTGCTCCTCAATGCCGAGATGACATTGGAATCGAGTTCATCCACGGGCACACGCCCAGGGATGTCTTGCTCAAAGTTGTAGAGGGCTTAGACCTGCTCGGCAGAGAGGCTAGACTCGCGCTTGGTTGAAGTGGTTCTAATTCCTTGTGCCCAAGGCAGGATCATTCCAGAAGAATGCCGCCATCGAGAGGAGCACGTAGCGCAGTCATTAGCACTGACAAGAAAGGAGGAAAAGACGTGGAAGGAAGCCAGGTGAAGGGGTCAGCTTTAATAGTCATTCGACGCGCAGCTCGTCCTGACGGCAAGTGAGTCATCGGCATGAAGGTTTATAGAATTTTCTTCAGCATGATTGCAGCCTCGGGCTACCGAAGCTTTTTCCATTAACCTTTCGTATTCATTGTATTGAGTTGTCTGGTCTGGCTTCTTCTATTTTTCTTTTAGCTTTCTACACAAACTCTCTCCCGTATCGACCTTGTTGCCTTGGATGAACCTGCCTCGTTCAATGCTCCATCTATGATCTTTACCTCTCACATCTCGCCTGAAAAAAGAGCTCGATCAGGCTACCTCGCAAATAAAGTCTCTTAAGCCGGAACAAGGATAAGGAATCCACCGAGTTCACTGTTGATTGACTTTGGGCGCTTCTGGAATGGGCCAGGTAGATCTATTTTAAGTATATGGCAGCTGACCTCAACAGCCGCATTCATCATCAACGCTCTACTATATTAACAACTTCCAATAGCCTCTTCACTTGACCACCTTTCGATGCGGTACACGATAAGCCTCTCCGTTTCATTGTGTATGGACCTTGGATTATGCCCCGGGAGCGATGTATCTCAGCCATCTACGAATTCTACGGTGTATCAGTGATATTGTGAATGACTGTAAACTCCAACACGATGAACGCAGCATAGCCAGCCAGCATTGCGCCTCCAATCCAACGGTCCAGTCTGCCACCAAACCAGATAGTCAATGTGAAAGCCAGAGTTGAGCCCCACAACACTGCAAGTTCTGTAATGTTGACATTGCGGCCATCGAATTCCCCAGAGGTGTCCAGCATGATAATTCCCATACAGAGGGAGAGAAGAAAAATATTGCTTCCAACGGTATTGGCCACGAGAATACCGATTTGTCCCCGGTGGCCGCTTATAACGGCTACGAATTTCTCGGGAAGTGTGGTGGCAATGGAGAGGATAATGACGCCAAACAGGACGTCAGAAATGCCGATACCGTCCGCAATGTTTGTCGCGGCGTGGGCCAAGACATAGCCAGCTAGGCAGATGGATAAAAAGCCAAGGACTAAGTAGAAAATATGGTATACCAAACTACGCCGGTGGTGGCTGTGCCGCTGTGACTGAGGTCCTATCGCTAAGTTACCCTCATGGTTTAGCAGCGCATCAGTCTCCCGACTCTCTGACCCTTCTTCATCGATGGATGTCCTGGCCGAGTCCGTGTTGCTGTCATCATCACTGCTGTCGTCATCCGAGTCTTCCGGAGCAATAAGGCTGCCCTTGCTGATGGCCCAGCTTATCGAAATGACATAGGCAGTGAAAGCGGCTATCAAAATGGCACCACATGCCAGCCAGATCGTCCTGTAGTGAAAATATGTGACGGGCGTAACAAAGCTGGTGATAACCAATAAGATGAGAGAGTATATTCGAGAGCTCCTATCGAACTCAGCTGGCCTCCCCCTCTCGCCGAATAGGAGGCCAAGTGAGAAGGCACCTAGGATATTCGAGATGGCGGACCCGATAATATTGCCAACTGCCAGTGAGGACCGCCCTTGGGCAAGAGAGGAGATAACGACGACGAGCTACAGCCGAACTACTGATCAACAGGAAAGCAAAAGCAATGTTGGGCCCGTTGAAACTAACCTCTTCCCATTCTGCGCCGGCGGTAAGAAGCGCGATTATCGTGCCGGGGATTCTGGTGCGTCGTGCGACAATGGTGGTATGGTCGACGAACTTATCCGCGCCGAATTCGAGGAGGAACAAAGTACTCACGAACGTTGCTACGTTGTATGCAATGGCGTCACCGTTAGTCATGACGGAGTGTTGGGAAATGAAAGCGTTTGGGATGGGCGTTGCATTGATGTTAGCTGAACAACTCGGTTGTTGATGGAGACAGAGTTATGGATAATCTGCGGCACTACTTTATTCCCCTCCACTTTAATAAATACGGTCCACTATCCTTTTGGGTTATAGGGTATGCGCCAAAGTGTGATGTACATTGCCGATTGGCACCACAAGCGACTTCAGAACAGCATTACTGCAAAAAAGAATTTTTACACACGGAAGATTCGAATTTGGAAACTGGCCCAGGCGACAAAAGAAACAGAAAATGGCTAGAGTCAGCTTCGTTCAATCCTACAGGCCCCGTCGCACAAACCGCGACTGGTTTGTCACTACCGTGTGTCAACTTGTCTAGGTAGGTTGACAATTGTCGTTAGAAAAGAGTCTTTACCTCTACAATTGTTATTCTACATCAGCGTACACATTAACTAGCTAGAGTCCAGAACGGTCTATCGCAACGATACATACTTTGCATACACGTACAAACAAAAGCTCTCTTCAACAGGTTTGCTCGGATATTCGGTGCCGCCAATGCTCCGTAGCGCCCATGTGAGCATAGTGTTCAGCTTTGACCGGTATTTTACGTATGTAATGTTACAGCCATCGTAGGTGGGCTGTAGATCATACCCAGAAAGAAAAGACCCGGAAATGCCCCTACCCTTATCCACATATATGCGGAAAAAGACCGAAAATTCTCCATTCAGAGCAACCCGAAACTACCAAAGAGTCCTCCGCAAAATTCTGAGGCCGTCAGTGATTGAAGAAACTGAGAAATCACCGCTGTTCGGCGATTTTCTATCTTTGCGCCTCTATGGATGACCCAGTCCAGTCCAACACTAAACCCTCCGAAGCCGACAAACCGCGGACACCAAGAGCATGCGATCTTTGCCGCCGTAGAAAGGTCAAGGTATGGGGAATCATTGCTGGTTAGCCACGTTCCGTTATTGACTCACGCCCCGAATAGTGCCGTTGGGCGGCCCATGATGATGCCACTTGCGTGAGCTGCTCGTCGATGGGAGCTCGTTGTACGTGGGATATTAAGCCGCGGAAAAGAGGAAGGCCTAATCGGTAGTAGCCCTTTCTGGAAGCATCAGTACATGGATCAAGATTAACCAGTCTCAAGTAGCCATGCTCCTGCTAGTCCAGTTACCACTGGCCGTGACGCGAATAGCTTGCCGCAGTCTCCCCACGGGACGATTGTAGAAAAAGTCCCGCGGGACCAGGGTCCATCGCCCGAAGGATCACAAGGAGTTGAGACCCAAAGCGAGTCTCTACTCTCACTGCTAGGAACTGCCTCGTCCATACAGAAAGCTCTAGATGATTGGTTCGAGTTCTTCTACCCTATTCAACCGCTATTGCACAGAAGGTACTTTATATCACGATTCCAAGGAAGAGAGATGCACACGAACTCGGAATTCTTGGCTTTGGTGATTTCCATGTGTGCTGCCACTGTTGCCACCCTGCCTCGGAAGGCTGCCACGGAGTATAACGAAATTACAGTCTCAAATAGCCTCCATCTAATCCGGCACTACAACTTGCTACAGTCTACCATGGGATGCAGCGTGGACTGGTGCGTGGCGTATTATTTACTATCTTGGGCACAGATGGGCGAGCATGGCTTCACCGGCTTTGACGTCTTTAACAACCTCAAAAGTGCCATGTCAGGCGTTCAATGGCTTTTGTCTTTCCAGCCCAGACAGAAGAGTGTTCATGACGAAGAAATACTAAAGCGACTTTATTGGCAGCTGACAATATTGGACATGTTGGTGACCCATTTGCTTGTTGTCGTTTTCATCTTTCTGTTGCTAATCATAACCTTGCAGAGGGCTGGATACGAAAGGGTGGCCGGGCTGTTCTTTTTACCCTCTAAGCGGTGACCAGTCGCGACTACGACCCCGATGTTTATCTGATGAGGATCTGTATACCGCAGAAGGCCTGATGACAGGCATATGTGCAAGCCATGATGACACTGTCGATTACGTGACTGGCTTCAACGCGCACGCAGACATCATCCTAACTTGGTGGCACGCAAAAGCAGATAGTGAGCATAGGAGCCCGCGCGAAATTATTGATCGCGGCCTTGAGCGTCTACAAAGCATATTGGATAGCCTCCCTCCTGAGCTCAGGTGGAGGGGCGGCTTATCACGAGACCCGAGAGCAACACGCGGAAATGAGATGCAAATGCTCAACATCATGATTAGTTTTCTTTACATCAAATCCAACCTCCTGGAGATTTACGGACCAGTAGCAGAGCCACCATTTACCCATTGCACAATTATTAGGTAAGTACAACTTACTATCCAGAGCATGTCCAGAGTTCACACTAACTAGTCTTCTTCTTTCTCAGTGATGTTCTCGAAATACTCCACCATGTCCCCCGGACCATCTTGGAGTCGGTAGGGTTCTCAGTAGTCAAGAGGATCAGAGACATGGGTGCGCCCTACCTCGAGGAGTTGAAACTTATGTCCAACGCGGATGCTTTAGCGTCGGAACCTATAAGACAGCGATTATGGCAACTTCTGAGCGAGCTCGAGTTATTAGATTATCAAGGACGTCCAGGAATTAGCACTCATTTCTAGAAACTCAATCCAAGTCATTTATAGAGCAAAATGTAGATAAGACTGTCCCCATTTCAGATGCCGAAGCTACCTGGCACCTGAACTTTTACGGAATGCCCAAACCTCCCATCATATTTATGAATTTATGCAGACTGGAGTTCATAGTATTAGGCCATCGAAAAAATAAAAATTAGCCAGCCAATTGAGGCATTCGAATTACAACTTAGTCTGATCGACTCGTCGGAGCACCGGAAATTACCACGGCCCCGAGAAAAGATGTGCTCCGTCTGGGGTATTTTCGGGGATTATCGATGCGCAAGGGTGACATGCTTGCCGTACGGCTCGGCCCTAACTTGATGCAAGTCTTCGGTGCATCAGCCGTAACCCAACCCAAATAAGCCATATGCGTCATTCGTTCAGGGGACTAGTGTAATGATGGCGGTGCGAGAGTTGTATTGCAGATCAATGCACTGCAGATTGATGAGGTTGTCCTTCGTCTTGTGGGTTCTTCACTTCCAGTTGCATGTAGCGAGCGCCTGCGCGTAAGGTAGCAACTAAATTGTTGAAGTCAGTCCGGAAAGACCGGGCTCATGATCTATGCCGAAACCCCTTGGAAAAGGGGCTGTAATTTCTATATAAATTCTATGGGGTATTGCTTCAATGTCCAAGACTTAAGGCAGTGACCGAAGAACAATAATTGACTATAAACTGGCATTTTTACACCTCGATGTACGGTCGAAGCAAAAATGACTCTTTCAAATTCCTCGACACATTATCTTCCGGCAAGCAGTGCCTTGATATCGTATTTTGACCTCTCGACTTTCTCATTCTTCTTGGCAACCACTGTCTTCGTTGTTCTGTTGAGCCGTGCTCGCCAGTCCCGAAATGATATTCCAATCCTCAATCCGAAGAATAGGTTTGAGCTTACAGCTCACAGAGTCAAGAAGCTGTTCCTCACCAATGGAAATGCAATGGTGGATTCTTGGTTCAACGCGAATCCTCACAAGCCCGCGCGCCTCCATGCCGATTTTGGCGAAGTCACAATCCTTCCACCAAATCTAACCAATGAGATCCGAAACGACGAAAGATTCAACTTCTCAAAATGGACGCTCAATGTGAGTCGCAGCACTCTGCTTTGAACTCTTTCTTTGAAACATGACTGACGAAAGTGTAGGCGTTCCATGGCCACACACCCGGCTTCGAAGGCTTCCGTGAGGGCGGTCACGATTCTCGCATACTGCAAAACGTCATCATTAAAGACATTACCAAGTCTCTCAGTATGTCTCGGTCATTGATATGTAGGCTAAATGCTAATTGATAATAGACCAAATTACAGAACCGCTTGCCGAGGAGACCGCCCTGGCAGTTTCAGACGTGCTCCCATCTGATAAAGGTAAAACGTTCCATTCTCCAAGTTGAAATCAACTACTTACTATATCTTCTTGAAGAATGGCATACCATTACCGTTAGGAGCACAATCGCACATATCGTTGCGCGAGTCTCATCCCGTGTGTTCTTAGGTACGGAAATCTGTCGCAACAAAAGATGGCTTGAAATCACCCTGCGCTACACAGTCGATGCTTTCATGGCTGCCGAAAATCTCCGGTTGTGGCCGGCGCCTCTTCGTCCCCTAGTGCACTGGTTCATGCCAAGTTGCCAGAAACTTCGCCGCGAGGTTGCCGAGGCAAAAGAGATCATCACCCCTGTTCTAGAGGATCGCCGTCTGAAAAAGAAACAAGCGCAGCAGGATCAAGTCAAATATGAGGCACCAGATGATGCTATTGAATGGGTCGAGAGAGCAGCAAACGGGGAATCATATGATCCGGTGTCGATTCAACTGATCCTGTCTGTTGCTGCAATCCACACAACCTCAGATCTGGTCACTCAAGTGATGATCAGGCTGGCACAGAACCCCGAGATCTTGGAGCCTCTAAGGAATGAAATTCAGACCACTCTGAAGCAGGATGGCTGGCGCAAGACGTCACTTTACAATATGAAACTGCTGGACAGCGTGATCAAGGAAAGCCAGCGTATAAAGCCAATTGGAAACGGTATGTTTAAATCTCCCTTCAAGTTTTCCCCAGACTCACAAGTTGGTAGTTGTTATGCGCCGCGTGGCATCCGAAGATGTCACGCTCAGTGACGGTACCCGTGTCTCGAAAGATAGCACCGTCGCCGTCACATCTCGTAGATTGTGGGACAAGAATATCTACTCAGAGCCTGACAAATGGGATGGCTATCGCTTCTACAACATGCGATCTGACCCCGACAAGCAAGCAAGCGCTCAGCTCGTCGCTACTTCCGACAAGTTCCTCGCGTGGGGGCACGGGAAACACGCTTGTCCAGGTCGTTTCTTTGCTTCAAACGAGGTCAAGATTATTCTCATCCATCTCTTGATGAATTATGACTGGGAGTTGCCTGAAGGAGCTTCAACAGCTATTCATAATGTGGGCCTTGCAATGACTATGGATCCAGCACTTGAGTTAAGGATCAAGGAGCGGGAGGTTCCCTTTGAGGTTTGAGCGTGTCCCTTGTCAGTATCTGGCATCCAAATTGTAGATTGCGTCTTGGATGCGGAAGCCGCTCTGTCGCATATTAGTTACTCATAGCGACGCTCAGATAATTAGGAAATGTGTCTCTAGTTTATTAACATTGTCGTTGGTATTAAATTAACTGTAAATACTTTGAGCCAAATAGCCAAAGCCAGACAGGGCTTGAAATACCGGGCTTTAAAGAAATCGAGTCTACTTCATACCCTGATGTAATTCAGTTATGACGGTGTGATAGTACTCCTTTTTCTTTTTGAGTATGGAAGATTTATGAATTCTTGAACAGTATGCGGAACATTCCTATCTTATTGAATATCATGGAATGCCTAAAAATAGGCAATCACCGGAACAGCCTCAAGCAAGATTAACTGGTTGGGGTTGTGTCCCCAAGACATCTGTTGCTTAGATACATTGACAATGCAACTCGTTTACTGGTTGGTAGTTACCTGTCAGTAATTGGTGCCGTTAAAGAGCTTGCGTTGCACTGTCCGAACCGGGCGGCACAACCTCCGTCAGCACTCGGGTTGCAAATTCGGTAAAGCCTGGTGTGAGTTATTCTGCTTACGTGCATATCAAGGCATCTGCCTCCCCGATAGCATTATATCGTCGTGGCTGCCTAAAAGCGGTCTTCGGTACCTCGATTGAAGCGCTGGATTCATTGTACCTCCACCAGACAAACCAATGATATCACAGTTTTTTGTGTTAAAATGGCCATCATTCTGAGTCTTCCAGATGAGCTTTTGGCTCCTATACTGCACGACTCTGTACCTCAAGATTGTGCCCATCGTGTAGCGCCACTGGCCCTTGTTTGCCGACGCTTCCATCGCATTACTACACCGCTTCTTTATCGCGACATCGATATTCAATGCAATGGTGCCTGCGGGCCACATCGAGATGTTCGTAGAACCAAGCTACTTCATCACACGTTTCGCTCGAATCAGTCATTGCGGCAACATTGCCAGAGTCTTGTCATTAAGTTTGGGCCGAATTCATGGGACTCAATGGAACCTATCGATGGGGACGACTCCACCCCCAATCTGGCCTATATCGCCGTGGACTTTGTCAAGTGGCTCTATAATACTGCGGAGCTTCGTATCAGCCTTGTGTCATTTTATGACGACACGTGGTACGAGACTTTCAGGACGTCAACGCCATCGGATCTGTCCGTGTTGTATAGTCAGGCCCCCAAGTCCCTAACGCGTCTCAAGCATCTCCAGATAGGTCAAGAAAATGTGCCTATGCACTTGCCTACTCTATTTGGAAGTCTAGAGTGTTTGGATAGTAGCGCATGTCTACGAATTCTGGATCTCACTGGCGTGTCTCAAATTGGAACTGAACAAGATTGGAAGCGACTGAAGGTGAGAGAGAACCATACCTCCTTTCTGTCTAATGATGAAAGCACGATGAGTGTTTCTGAGCGAACGCTAATATTCTTTTTGGTATAGGCTAAGGCGGGCACTGCTCCATTCACAGAGCTCAAGTTGCGCCATTTCACCCAAAGCGCAACTGCTCTTGAAGCGCTCGTGATGTGGCCGGTCAGGTTGGAAGCATTTCATTTCTCGATGCCAAGGTCCGACTACTACAGTGGTGACTTTGCATTAACGAGATACGACTTGGGTATAATGAAGACGATATTATCGCATCAAAAAGCCTCGTTGAGCCATATAAACATTCATGAGCTCCTAACAAAGTCTGGCGTGGAGGACTTTAATCTTTCTGGGTTTCATCAATTGCATACCCTGTGTATGTCACGCGATTTAACAGGCATTGATACCAGTGACGTGGCCAATCTTCTTGCGCCCAACCTGCTGATATTTCGCTGGGATATGAGACTCGAAGATCAGCAGTGTTGTAGGGGTCTAGATGGATTTTCTCAACCTCAAGAAGAGTGGATAAGAGCGTTCGCTAAATCTTCTATGGAGCGCAAGACTTCTCTCAAGCAGATTCAGATCAATTTCTACCCAGAGAGCTGGTTTCGTGCAGACATTGATAAGGACTATCAATATCCATGGGATCGAATGGAGAGACTTGCCGGGGAATTTGAGCCTCATGGTATCAGTGTGGTATACAACCCCCCTAATATCACTAAGGAGGAATTCCAGAGTACCAAGGAAAAATGTTTAAACTTTAGAGCTTTCTTTGCCGGAAGAGGGACTACTTGGTAACGGAGGAGTGTTTTTTTACGGCCTTTGGAAAGCACGAAATTGAGAAGCAAGCTTTACACGGCGAGTAGAAAATGATTCCAAGCTTTCAGCAGTTCATAGAGTAACTAAGACCTCTATAGCAATATCTGATGCTGATTAATGGTTGACTCATTCGTCGTATCTGCATTGACGAACAAATTTATGATCCTACAAGCGAGACTAACCAAATTTTACATCATTGGTTACTAGCATAGAAGGAAGTACGCGCTGATGGCAAACGGAAGGCAATTGAAGCTACTGCTGTCATATTTAGCCAAGGATGAAATATCATTTGACGAGATACGGCAAAGAGGGTTTTTCTCAGTCTTTCCCTTGGGATGAAGTCCATGATATCCAGGGTAAGTGCCCCGATGTCTCCAAAGACTCGGCTTTTAAGAGAACTTTGCTTAGGCGGCTAAAAGTAGTATAGAAGTAAAAGTATATAATATAATCTATAAGTAAGCTGATTATATAAGTGAGCTGATTACTTCTATCCAGAAATTAGAACTTCCTCTTTATAATTAAATAACTTTCTATTATAAAATAAATATAACTTTATATAAAGTAAATATTATTCTTATAATCTAAGCTCTTAATTAAAATCTGAAATTAAGTATTAGAGTAATAGTAAAAGTCTATTAAGTCCTATATATAACTCTTTATAACTAATATACTGATTATATAGTAAAATATAATACTTAATTAAAATTAATAAATCTATTAAAATCTAAAGAGAAAGCTATTATCTTATATATACTTAAGCTATTTATATATATATTTCCTCCTAGGATATATAGTATTAAGGAAATAGCTAATATTCTACTATATATATATAATATACCCCCTATTAGTATTAATTAAGCTTCTAACTTTATTAAGTAGTAACTAGAGCTCTATATATACTAGGTTTAGAAATATAACTATTAGAGAGCTAAATATAAAGATCTAAAGATTATTATATCTTAGTTTAATCTTATATATAATCTTAAGATAAAATATAGTATTCTAAATAAAAATCTATATAATTTTAATAAGACTAGCTTTATAATAGGTATTATTTTCCCTAAGATAATAGTTATAACCTTAGAGAGTTATATAAAGACTAAACTAGTTTAGTCTAATAACTAGAAGTAGATAACTATAATCTAAGAGGTAAATATAGCTAGCTAGACTATTCCTTCTTTTATTATCCTAGCTACTTAATATTATCTTAAGAACTAGTATTAGGAATATAATCTACTATATAACTAGTAGCTTATAATAACTAAGAATAGCTAGATTACTAATAAGATTAATCTGGATTAGATTAAGTACTTTAACTTCTATATAGCTCCTTATATAAAGAGGGTATATTAAATACTAATCCTTAATAGCTATAAGAGCTATTACTTAGCTAACTTTAAGATCTACTATTAAGAGTAGAAGATTATTATAATCTATATATCTCCTTACTCCTCCTATCTTCTTTAACTACTAAATATTAGCTACTTTAAACTACTTAAGTAGTTATACAGATAAGAGATTAAGAGTCTAATATAGATATATATTATCTATATTAGTAAGCTTAAATTTCTTTCTACTTTTTATATAGTTTTCTTCTACTTCTTTATAGAGAAGAATATCTAGATAGGCTTTATTAGATCTAACTTAATATTATATAATCTAGAGAGAGTTCTTTTAAAGCTAGATATAGTATTATAAATACTAATACTACTAGAGATCCTGCTTAAAATAAGATAGTTCTGGGTTCTAAAGATACTATAGACTGTATATAAGATAAGTATACAGTCTAAGTATATTAAATCTTAAATCTTAGCTTATTAAAATAGCTCTTTAATCTCTATACTAGCTATAGTAGATTAATTTATAAAGGGGGTAATTATAATAATATACTAGATAGCTCTTTTATATACTAAGATCTATAATCTTTATATAGTAAATAAGATACTAAGTAAGTACTAAAGAGCTAAAAAAAGCTATATACAGCTTAGAGGGTTCCTAACTATATAGGATAGAATAGATCTATTAGATTAGAAGGATATAGATAAGTAGCTAAGAGGGGAAGACTGTAGAAGTAGTAGTTAGGGAGGGTAGGCTTATATAAAGACTCTATAATATAGTAATTATAGAAAGCCTGATTATAATATCTGAACCTATAGGGAGACTAGAGAGAAGTCTGATAAATTAATTTCTAGTATTATTATTATAGATAATTAGCTGTTATTATTTTAATTGACTTTATTATATAAGGGATAGGTAGAAGTGATCAGCTTACTTGTATGATCAGCTTACTTATGGATTATATTAATAATGTGAAAGTTGGAAGAAGATTAGACCACAGCTTAGATTTGCCAAGTTCAGCGGGAGCTTCCTTGTATGGTGGACTGACGTTGGAGTGAGTATGGAAAATTCGAGCAATATCTGGCCATCTCGATAATCGATTGAGCCATAACGCTTTGGCTTCATGTTCACTTTCATGAAATTTCTGCTTGTACATGCCGTTTTAGGGAATTATCTTCAAAGAGTTTAGGTGCGAAATCTTGCAATCAGGGTGTACCCTGTTCACTAGTTGGTTTACACATTCATACCTAATCAGCGGATATATGATTTAGGTAATTCCCGTTAGATCTACATTTGATCCTTCAGCTTAATAATTTAGTAGCATGCATTAAAAATACGTATCAATAATGTAGTAGTATGCATTAACAATACGTATCACCACATGACAAATATTATATGATTATGGCAAGCCACAATCATGCCCAAGATAATTTTTCATCTATAAAGCTTTAATTGTAGAACAATGTCTCCATTCCCTTTTGTCACTAAGTCAGCAACACTGTTTCCGTATCTACTTCAGTCTAATCGACCAATTTCAACAAGATGCGGTTCACGTCCTTCACCCACATGATCAGCTTGGCTGCCCTGGCTAGAGTTCAGGCCAAACCTTTCCCTCAGGATGGCGATCTAAATCTACCAACGCATACAGTCGCAAGTGTCAACCAGGCAGGATCATGGTTAGAGAACCTTGCCGTACGTCCCAACGGAGATCTCCTGGTGACGATGATGGTGCCAGATTCCACGCTTTACCATGTCCAGTCCCCCGGTTCTGCAAATGCACAGCTCGTTCCGCTCTACAAGTTCCCCAACGCCACGGGCCTTGTGGGCATTACAGAGCTCGGTAACGATAGATTTGCGGTGAACATGCATAACTTCTCATCATTCGTGACTCCAGTTGCCGACACTGGAGCTGTGTGGGAGATTAGCTTCTCAAACACCCACAAGGATGACTTCACTGCCCGGAAAGTGACTGTCATCAAGGGAGCCGGATTTCTGAACGGGATGACTCCTTTCACAACGAAGAACAACAAGTCACCCAAGTGCAAGGCAGAGACAAGTCTCATCGTGGCGGATTCCTACGCGGGGGTCATACGCCGCGTGGACCTCTCAACCGGAACCTATGAGACAATTCTTGATGCCCCCGAGCTGAAGCCCGGAGCGGACAGTCCTTTTGGGGTTAATGGTGTCCACGTCAGGGGTGATCATCTCTACTTTACAAACACGGCTCTTCGTGCGCTCTACCGCATCGCAATTGACTCGTCGGGCTTTCCTTTGAAGAATGCTGCTGTGGAAGTGCTCCTCTCGTTGCCTGATATCGCCATTATTGACGACTTTGCCTTCGATAAGAAGGGAAACATTTGGGCAGCAGCGTCAAGCAATAACACCGTACTGGTGATCTATAAGAACGGGGGATCCAAGGAGTATAGCACCTACAAGTCTGCTGCGGGAGAGATCACCTCTCTCGCCCTTGGGGGAGTAACAGCGACAGCCTTTGGAAAGGGGGGTGATTCACACACGCTTTTCGCGTCGACTTCTGGTGCCAGCGCTTTTCCTGTCAATGGCACAGCGACCGAGCCTGGGAAAGTTGTGGCTGTTGATCTGTCTAGTGTCCTGTAGGCCCGAGGAAACAAAAGGGAGAATATAAAAGGGAGCATACATTCGGTAAAAATAGAGTCAGTGGTGGCTTGTTATCAATTTCAAAACCATCATGTTGAGATTTCATTATGATAGGCTTCAGTGATGTAGATTTCACGTTTCTGGCTGTACAGCTCCTTTACGTCAAATAAAAGGCACGGCATGCGTGTTCATGCCGTTCCAGATAACATAGATTATTGAGGCAGAGAATTGACTTTCTTCCGCATCTCATAATTTGAAGTAGTCGGCGAAGTTGGCTTAACTTGACCAGAGTGCTGTAATTTAATCAGAGTATGACGAAGTTCGGACTCATTTAGTCGCCTCATACGCCATGCGGTATGTTTTCAATGATAAATTGGTGCAGCATTACCTTATTGACATCATACTGTGGGAAGGCTAAGTCACCAACTACAATACGATGCAGTAGCACGGCCATTTGATGGGCTTGGATGATAGTAACAATGATTGTTGGCGGATCTGCCCCTCAACTTCCCGTTGGCTGCCTCGACCCACGAACAATGTCCATCATCCGACCAAAGCAATGTCTGTTGGTTGTAACACACCTGAATGAGCTAGAGCTGTGGATCTTTCTAAATATATGGCAAGTACTTACGTATCTCACATCCACCGCTCTTGTTTAAAAGCAGTCGTCTGACCAACACGACGTAAAATTGTTCTTTCCCCCCTTCCCCTCCACCATTGTGCTGCCTTGAAGGTTTCGCATTCGAAAAACATAAACGGGAAGATGGCCCACACCGATAGTCTCGCCGATGCCGAGAGAAGGCAGGCTACGATCCAGAGTGAGAAGGCATTTGTCTCAGAAGCTATTTCTAAGCTGAATGCCATTGCGCTTCAAGTACCCCGCTTGGCAGGCAACAACAGCGAATGTGATGAAAACAGGGAACTCAAGGCTTTGCTAAGGCAGCTCTACACCGTCATATGCAGACTTTCAGATTACCGGCGAGGCAAGCACTACGCCCCATTTCCGAAGGAAGACGACAACGAGGATGAAAAAGCTGAGGAGAACAACAACGGAGAGGATGATGAAAGTGGCGAAGAAGAGGTCAGTGGGAATGATGACGCGGAAGATGACAGTGACTCCGACTCCGACGATGATGACGAAGACGCCGGCGATGACGGTGGCTTCAGTTCAGGCTTCGAGAACATCCCGGGCGGTTTTGAGCTGGACCAGATCTTGCTCAGTGGCTGGCGCGCCGTGCTTGAGCCAGTCGACGCACTGGCAAAGCTTGATCCTGATGGCCCCTTCCTCGCCGCTAGGGTGATCCTCTTCACCCAGCACGCCATTTCCAAAAATAAAGCTCTTCCAAAGAGCCTCGCAGATGGTGAAGAAAGGTTCCAGCTCCAGACTGACCTAGGCCTAGATCTTGATGAGGCCCTTCTCGTTCAGCTACGCAGAGCATGGAAGCAGGGTGGACAAAAAGATGATCTCTCCTGGGCTTCGACGTTCCTCGAAGTTGATAACTCTGATTGCGTCTCCAACGATTACAATCGCGTTGTCATGTCAGCATGCTCTCCATCTGAGTTCTGGGAAGTCCAGAAGCAGGCAGCAAAGTACATCATCAAAAATAGGAAGCGGCGACGGGAGTCGATGTGGGATCTTCCATCCAAAGGACCATCGACCAAGCACGGTCCCATCGCCATACCGCTGTTTAACGTCATGATTGAACAACACGGCTGCATAATTAGCAGCATGGGGTACAGGGGTCCGTGCTTGCGACGCTCCCATTATTTCGTTCAAGACATACGGCAGAAACTCAATTCGGCTATGCCTGAGGAGGCACTTCGCTTAGTGTCTTCACTTCTCCATCAGCACATCCCTCTTGAACTGCAGACAGCTATTTTAGAGCATATCAACCCTTCAGGAAGTGCCGATATTCATCCTTATCTTTCCAGGTGGGATATTGGAGCTGCCTACATCCCGATCCCAAAGCGGGTGGTTGACGATGAGGAGTGCGAAATATGCGAGAATATCATCCCTCGACAACCCATCTCGGCTCAAGCCACATGCCTCAAGCGAAACGTATATATTTGGAATGTGGCCTTGCGGGCCCTTCACACATTTCACAGGGGACAAGATGGTCGCGTTTCCATGTGCAAGCACAAGGGCATCTGCCATGGCCACCACTCAAACGAAGAATGGCGGGTCACATCGAAAGAGGATGTTCAGAAGTATGCCCTCGACATCTTCGAAGGCCGGTGTCATATTTCCTCACTTTCAACCTCAGCCCAGGACTGGTTCAAGGCTATGACGACCATCAACCCGCATCCCGGTCCTGTGTCAAGTAATTATTATAAAGCAAAGCACTACATTCGGATGAGATTTCCCCGCCTAGGACTAAGGGGGGAAGAGGCTGATATTAGATATCGTAAAGAGGGTGGACTCTGCGGCTTGGTCTTCTCAATGATCCACCCAAAAGTGCACAGACAACATCCAGATAAGGCAGATCCGTTCGACGTCGACACCAACAAGCCTGGACAATGGGCGTACGGGCGGTCTATGGACGAGGAGAAAGAGATGACTGAGGCTCTATACAAAGATGTCAGAACACAAGAGGAATGGGAGGACGAGGTGCAAAGCAGCGATGATTCGCTTTCGGAAGAAGACTAAACGGTTTTTCTTGCAGACGTCACTAGCTTTGCATTACCACTCAAAACAATCATATTCGAGCATGCTTCTGTTTCTAAGATCAAGCAGTGTTTATACGCACGAAGTTCGCTCGCTATCCCCGTCTGATGCGGCTTGTCACATCGGAGTAGAGTGTGTAACACCGCTAGGTTGTAGTCTTATGATAAATCAGTTGCTAGTTTTCTGATAAACTGTCCCAATCTTCAAGTTTAATGTGCTCAAAACCTAAAGGAGGGTGGTATAGGCACCATGAGCCCCCCAGCATCATTAGAAACGCCTTACACGGCGCCATTAATGGGTTTTACGCCCCGGCTCCGATACTGGGTCCGAGATGCCAGAAAGATCAATGAGCTTCTAGTGACAAGGAGAGTTATAACATTCATGAAGGGTCTGATTCCTTTATGCTAAAGAAGCGTTTCCCACAGCGCCTTGGACTGTTCTGCTGGATCTATTAGAAGTCATTTCGTTGTAACTTCGGAACCAAAGTTCGGCGATGCCTCCAATAGATTCTTCCGAACACTCGCTTCGTATTTGATTTGAAAAACATGTCCAGAATAGGATTCATTGTCTGGATGGCGACACCATGATGGCATCAAGAGCGGGCTTAAATAATCCCCGGGGCTCACGGACATAAGGGTAGCCTATTGCCGCACCACAATTGAATATTAAGTCCAGCCATCTACCCCAAATATCGATCTCTCTGATTGAATCATTTGAAATCAATCACTTTGAATATCAGTACATAAAACCACTCGAGCCACCGCGATCTCAACAATGTCTTTGTCTTGGGGTGAAAAGAAACTCACCTGGCTCATCACCGGTGCATCCTCAGGCTTTGGTCTGGCTCTAACACGGCTGGCTCTAGAGGGTGGTCATCGCGTCATTGCCACATCCCGAAATCCATCGTCATATCCTGATATCGAAAAAGAAATATCTTCAAAAGGTGGTGAGCTAGTGGCGCTGGACATCAATGCTCCTGACTCGGCCGATGTCATTTACAAGCTCCAAGAAAAAGGAGTCGAGGTTGAGGTTCTGGTAAATTGTGCCGGAGCTGCCATTCTGGGCCCTGCCGAAAGCTTCAACGAAGATGAAGTTAGGGCTCTGGCTGAGACGGCGTATTTTGGTCCCTATCGACTCATCAGAGCGGTAGTCCCCGGGATGCGGACGAGAAGAAGAGGTATGATTGTCAATGTCAGCACCGGGTCAGCCGTGGATGGGCGAGAGTCAATGGCCGTATATGGTGCCAGTAAAGCCGCAATGGACAGTAAGTTTCACCGTGTTCTATACTCATCAATCGGTACAGAATCAACTAACACTACTGAAGCGTTGATGCATGTCATGGGGAAAGAGCTTGCTCTCTTTGATATCCGCACCTTAACCATTCACCTTGGAGCATTCGATACTTCTTTTGCGAGCAACAGCGTCAGAACCACATCCAAACCCCTTCCGTCAGACTACAATGGTACTACAGTTGATAAAGTCGTTGGATCGGTCAAGCAGAAATTTACCCCGGATGGTGACCATAAAAAAGCAACTCAAGTGATGTATGAAATGATTGTGGGAGAAGGGTATGGCAAAGGAAAAGAATCTGAACGTGTCATGCTTCTTGGGAGAGATATGTGGGCTTCTCAGCAGGCCGCTGCTGATAAAGTTCTGCACAAGATGAACACATTTGAGGCCATTTGTAATAATGTTTACCTTGATAAGTAGTTAGGTTCATAATGACTTCATGGCTCGTTCGCTATTTATCATATGCAGATTGGAGGTCTTCGGCATCTCATTTCTCTAAACTTAGCTTTCGATTTCATTTTAACGGTAATATGAATCTGTCATCACAATATGCGCAGTAATAGGCTTTACATGAGAGAGAGCTAGCATTAATATCATGGCATACACAGGCCATCCGGCGGCGCCCTGTAGTAAGCGTACCACGTCTCGTCGTCGCCCAGCTCGACATAGTAGTGAGGCGAAACCACGCCCAGATGGATCTTATCCAATCCTCATTGTCCACAGACTCCCCATTTGCGTCCGTCGCCTTCTCTTCTGGTAGCGGATCGACCCAAGCCCTGACTAGGTTGACATGGGCGCCGCTGAGCAGAGCGGCATTATAACTACCGGGGTCGGGCACAACGCTGCGCAGAGCTTCCTCATCAGCCTGGACGAAGAGGTCGTAACGCGAGCAGCGGCTGGTCCCAGACTTGTAGGCATCGAGGTCGCAGGGGGGGGCAGCACGCGCCCAGGCCCGAAACCTGCGCTTCAGCTCATCCAACGACGCGCCCTCGAGCTCCGGGTCCGCCACAAAGGCCCAGTCCATCCGGTCCGCAATCTCGAGCGCGTTAGACTCGGCGACACACTCGCGCAGGTCCTCGAGCACCAGCCGCTGCAGCGTCGCCCGGGCCGCGTCCAGCCCGGGCTGGTACGCTGTCCGGTACACGACCCAGCCCCATATCTCGATGACGCCGTCGGCGATTTGTCGCTGGATGGTGCGCTCAGGCGATGACTCGCGCCACTCCAGCGAAGGAGAGGTCATCTTTAGGGCCTTGGGTAGCACTGTCGAAATGAGCCGGGGTGATGGCAGCGCGCGACTGAGCTGGGGGATTGCGAGTTTGCCACGGTACGAGAGGCGGATGGTGGTGTAGAGTCGAGAGCGGAGGAGACATGGCGCACGACTTAGGTTGCTGCTCATGGTGCGTGGTATCGTGGCCACCTGGGCTTTCTTGCGAGCGAATATTGCAGAGACCTAGCGGCCAACATGGGAGGAAGAAAAGGAAGATGGCATTGGATGACTAAATTATATCAGCTTCCACGCCCATGCACGAGGTCTCATCAAAACGACTGTATTAGTTCTCCAATGCTACAGTGTCTCTCGGCATCAACCTCTCAATTTCAAAGATATTCCCGAAAGGTCCACCCAAACCGCAATCATTTACAAATTGAGGGTTATGAGCAACAATAGCTGGTTGTCTTTTCATCAATGACACGTTCGCCCTGCTATCGTATGGTCTTGGAGTAAAGTAGAGTGTGTGGTCCAACAATAGAGAAAGAGGAGTTTCATCCCAAGATTGATGCCAGTGGGCACCACTACCAGGTCCATCCATGCATGCCGTACGTGTCAATCAGGAACTTGATTGCCCTATCGAAAGCTCTGTCCTTGACTTCTTTCGTCACTGCCGCATCCGGTACTAGAACCATGTTAGAAGCACTCCTGGGTAAGCAACAAGCACCAGTTGGATTTCTTACCTTCCAGGTAGCCATGAAAACCCTCCGGCTCTGCATACACTTCCACCCTTCCAGGTTGCTCAGCGTTTAACCTTTCAGCCAACGCCTGTTGTTCTGCTACTAAGATATCGATTGCGGGTATCACCATAAGCATCCGGGGCGGGAGTGTTTCTCCTCTGGCAATGACGGGGCTCATTCGAGGGTCTTCTATGTGTGAGGCCCGTACGGGGCCCGGATAAGAATCGAAAAGCGGCAGCAAGAACGCCAAAGGGTCAGTTTTGGGAAACTTCGCTGGTTTAGGCTTTTCCCAAGGTGGAATCCGGAGATCAATCGAGGCATAAAAAGTAACGCTCGCTTTAAGGGCAGTTGGCGAAGGAGCTTGCAGTTCAGGTTGTTGTGTAGCTGCAAGGGCTAGATTTCCACCCGCTGAGAACCCGCCGATGGTCATGAGGGTACTGTCTGCTCCCCATCGAGACTCGGAGTTCTTTATGATCCATCCAATCGTAGCATCAATATCATCAATGCCAGCAGGGAAAGGATGCTCTGGTGCGTATCTGTAAGTAAGGCTCACAACCACGGCACCCGTTTCGACAGCAACCCTCTCGTCGAACGGGGCACTGCTCTCCGGGAGGCCACCAATGAATGCTCCACCATGTATCTCAATATGAAGAGGCCGAAGCTTACGACCCTTTCCAGTACCAGGTGTCTTAAAGACCAAAGCGCGGACGGAACGCTTTGGAAATATGGGTAGGTGCTCCACATAGAAAGGTCGAGAGAAAATATATGGGAATGAGCCAATAGAGTAGGTGAGGAGTGAGATGGGCTGAAGTAGCGCAAGCCTCCAGCGATACTTCCACGGTATTGATGAGTTAAAGAGAGCCACGCACAAAGGACGAAACCAACTGTATAAAGCCCACATCTTTGCGCGATTCTAGCCAGAATCCTTGTTCGGACCGGCGACCAAGAAGAAAAGAAGTGGTTTGGTTGAGCTGAATGAAAGGATAGAGATTGCATGAGCTTTTATCCTCAACCGTCTTCATCTGGCTTAGCACACCAAAGTCAATGTGCATTGCACTAGCCAATCGGGTGACAGAGCTTGGTGAGTCTAAACCTGATTCATTAAGCGAACGCGACCGATACGACCAACTGTTCAGGAGATTAATCACCCAGTCACATGATACCGGCAATCAAAGCAGATGAAGAGAGAAGATTCCATCGTTGCAAGCGGCTGTCACGAACTAGATGGTTACATGTTATATCGACATTCAAAATCAGCTTTTGTAATACTTGGTCTCAAATAGAAAAAGAGCCATAGTCCCAAAAGATAACAGCTCCCTCAGTCATGCCGCTTTGTCCACGGGCTCAAAGCTTCTAGGAACTTTTCATGAACTGTCCGGTCACCAGTGCTCTCCATAAAATCTTCGAAGGTTTCATCACCTTGGACCTTGAAAAAGAGTAGAACCCCGGCCCAGACAAAGTCAGTGTAACTGACTTGTTCTCCTTTGAAAAAGGGGCCTTCCTTTTCTTGTAACATCTCAGTGATCTTCCGCAGATAAGGGACGGCTTTTGCAAATGCCTCGTCCCGGGGTATCGACTTCGCGTATTCCTCAAGCGCCATACCCAGCATTTCCTCGCGAGTCTTCTTGAAGAATTCGACACTGCGTTGGCTAAGCAGGCGAGCTGGCACCTGAGTAACATAGACCGTTGTCAAACTTCCCATCCCCCCCTTTAGCTGCTCTATCAACCTCGCGTAAAGTTTTGGATCCAAATGGATGCTGGGTTCAGGATACTTTTCCTCAAGGAGAGCCGAGATGTGTTTAGAGTCCATGATGTAAGTGCCATCAGGGAGCCGGATAGTTGGAGCGGTATATATTCCACCTGCCATTTCATTTGGCGGTAGACTGAGGGGTTGAAAACACATATTAGACAGTGTGGACTAATCTCAAACGGTTAACCTTACTCACTGTGGCTCAAATGTTGGCTTGAGATCGGGATATTCGATCTGCACAGTATCAGCCGTCAATCTCCTCAATGTCTCTCGCAAGGAGCTCACCCATTCAGTCTTGTAGTCTAGGCCTTTATAATTGAGTATTAACCGGACTAAATCGACCGTTAGAACAGCCCTAGAGCTAGATGCATGTTCAGGCATGCCATACCTCTCCAAGTGTTGAATGACCAGCATGTCTTCGGCTCCTTAGTCGGAATGTCGAAGAAAGTAATGGTATTATCAGTCGACATGTTTAGTTGTCTATCGTTGATGTGTATCTGTGGAACTATTTCTTGCGCCAATTCTTAGGTTTTAGGAGTCAAACGCTGATAAAGGAAGAGGGGAAACGTCAAGATAATTAATCTCAAATGGGCTTATGTCATATGATCAGCTTGTCGCGTACCCTTTATTGGGAGCTGGTGGAAATTCTCCGCAGTTTCAGTCTCCATAATCAATACTACGACTAAAGTAGAAGCTTGTAAGTGTCCCTGATAAGTTCCCGTTCGTATTGCGAGGTCAGATAAATCCGGAATCTTATTCCCCGCCTTGATAAACTCGATCCTTCGACCAGTGCTGACCCATCTTCACAAGCAAGGCCTCAGGTTGCTTCACAACAGAAACCACTGCTTTATGGCATGGAGATCAATTTGGTATAGGCCCCACAGAGGCGGATCCCTCCTTTGAAGACTTCCTCGGTAGTTGACTCTCTTTTCTACTTGAAAAGGGCGAAACCCCACGAGAAACCCGACAACAGTAAATGTTCTATTTGCATTCTATAAGATGCTAAGCTCCATCAGATACCAGTAGCCCTTCTCAATTAGTCAACTATTGATTAGTACGGCATACTTCGAATATGATGCTGTTTTATGGCAGTACTTGTGGCAAGGCCCTGCATACGCTTGAACTGCTGAGAAAGTCGGCGCATTCAACCCAGCGCCTCATTCGACATGGCAAGTAAAGCAGCAGTTTGTAAATTTATAAACCCATGTACCTCTGCCTTGGCCAAGCCAAAAAGCGAGTGGCATTGGCTTTAGCAAGACCAATCAAGAAATAGTAGGCTACCGATTTATATTGTGGTGATGTTGGCTGTGAAATATGTTGTTCAATTTCAGCAACTTGAACTGGTTTAACAAATCAAAGAACCACATCCTTCAAGACCATTGGGATCATAATAATTTGCAAACTCCATAGTTCAGTGATTCTACAGTGCAATGGTTTCCATCCGGCCTAAAATCGCTGGAGGCTAGCATACATATTAAGAACAACCTTTCGATCATCAACAGAGAAACGCGTGAATGGCTTTGTAACTACATCAGGCAAGAGTGGGCTCCCCTTTACAACGCATCTTTCACGGATGATGACCAAATCCAGGAAACTGACACGCCACGTAACTGGAATTTGGAATTTAGCTTCGTCTGCTTGGATTACGCATCCAAAAGCCAGCGCGCTGACTACCGTGTGGGTTATCTGAATGGCCGCATTAAAGCATGGCCAATGCAAACTTATTCGCCAGGCCTACTTCTTAGAGATTGTCGTAGCCCATGATAGTGCCAGAAAAAAGTTCGCGTCTGCAGGCTCACTCATTCGGATAATGATTCGTGAGCACCATGATGACCGCAAAGATCTCCGATATGAGCTCAAATCACGAGCAAGCAACACTTCCAAAGCCGCATCCAGCAATAATAAATGTCATTATCAACAGTCAAACAAGAGGCTTAGATACCAAAATCCGGGCTCTGATTATCTCGCCCCGACATGATTAGGAGAGCGGATGCACCCGTGCTACTCTTACCGATTCCTCTTGCAAACTTTGGTACGTAAATGCTGCGCGTTTTCATTTGTTCCACGAATTGGACCATGGACTTATTGTTTATCCGGCTGTTTCTTCATGACAATTATTCTTAGATGGTAGGGAGAAAGGCTCTTTCGACAATAGTGTGGTAGAGGCTCTTGAACTTACGCCTACCCTATGGCCAATCAACATTGCGGCTTGTTTTGGGCCGCAATTCAAGCCAATTGCCCTCTTTGCCGTGGAAAAGGGATCTCGGTTTTTGTTCTTTCTTTCCTTACAGCTGTTCGATTAAACTTGTTTACCTTTGTGATGTATACCTACGCTGAGGGCAGATATTGTGGCAAACTGCTACCATGTCAAAACGAGTTGGCAGCGGTTAAAAAATCTCAATGCTCCGTCATTGACTCAAAATCAAGATAAAGCAGGTTTTATCATTTTTTTAGTCAAGATTTGCTATTAGCTCAAGAAACAAAGCCCTCTACAATAATTAATATCTGGGGAACACCAGCAGACGATTGATGAATCTACCAATCCTTTTGTAATATGCCTTCTCCAAATACTTCACCCCCTTAGACGACCAATGTTACAGGTCTCCACTCCTGGAATGGTTCGAGAAAACTCTTCACCCCAAATGACTGAGCGGCTCTCATGCCCCCTCTTAAAACTCTACGCTAGGAAAAATTGGCAACGCTTTTGCTTCGGACGACTGCCGGGCTTTGAATGAAACCCGATTGGGTCCCCAAATGTGCATATCGTCATAGTACGAGGAGAACGGTAAACGCAATTCACCTTATGCTCACGCTCCGATCTTTGCTCTTTGGGGCTAATGCCAAAAGAAGTGACAGCTACCGGGTCCCAGCAAACCAAAAACTTTTGCCATCAGAGGCACGTCTTGAGTCCTTAGGGCGTCGACACTCGGGTTACGACGGAGTGCGACCAAGCTTGAAAAATTAATGTCATCATACCGACCCCCACAGTCTTTGTTTGATAAGATGTTTTCATCCCTTGTGGACTCGCTCTCGGCTCTAAGTTCCACACTGCCATTTTCGAAGCACCCCGTGAAATCTCATTGGCTACCGGCCCGGGAGAAAAAGTATTCTTGCTGCCTAGAGTAGCGGCATTTGATGATGGTGGTCAGGGGAAGTGCCGAGGGTTTGTCACGAAACGGCTCTAGTTAACGCTGTTTCAGCTCTTCAAGCTCGCAATTTTCCTCGATCAAGCATAATCAGTATCACGAACTGAGTACAAAATAAGCGTAAATTTATTAGCCTTATGAACGATCCCAGAAGATTCGGTGAACAACATCTTGGGAACATTGTTGATGCCGCTCGGTGCTTCTCCGGTGCTGGTTCCCCCAAAGTCCACCCGGCCAATCCGCTTTCTACTGAATCAGCGAGTGATATAGCTGCGGAATGTCGGAGGACCACTTAATGTCGCCTCATTCATTGCCGGGGGCGAAGCTAATGAGATCCCGAGCCCACCACAACCCAGGTCAAGACAACAGGAGCTCTGTAGCCAATTCTCCGCCGCTTCTTTAAGAGGGTTCACAGGCCGTGTTTGCCGTGGTACGTAGCATCCAAAGGGGGGCCGCGAAACGAGGCTTCAGCACATTATGATGGAGCCTGCTTCCACTCCCCAACAACAACACTTCCATTCTCGGCACGACACGGGGAATTGTATCCATGGGGTCTGTCAATGGAGAAGGGGGAGCACGGGGAAACAATTTGGAGATAATTGGGGTTCTCCGATGTGGGGATTAGCTCAGAAAACGTGTGAGCCCGGTTATCAATAAATATCAGGCAAAGGCCGGCCAGTCGCTACCAAGTCCAACTCATCTGCCCTGCCCTCCGATTCTCTTCTGCTAAGGCGATCAACTCTACAAATCGTTTCGCCATGTCGTCCCAAGTAATTGATGACGCCAAGCAGGACATTGCTGCCCACGATGAGCTCAAAGACTCCCCGGCGCCAGCCATGGACCCAGCGCGTCGAGCTGAGGTTGAGAAGAGCCTCAAGCGCAAACTTGATGCACGATGCAGTCTGTTCGTGCTCATTTACATCATGAACTATCTCGACCGAAACAACATTGCCGCCGCCCGTCTCAAGGGCTTGGAGGCCGACCTCAACCTCAACCCGACCCAGTACGCCACGTGCTTGAGTATTCTCTACGTGGGCTACATTCTCATGCAGGTCCCCTCCAACATGTTCATCAATCGCATTCAGCGACCCAGTGTGTACATCGCCTGCTCCATGCTCTTGTGGGGAGTGATTTCCACTCTCACCGGCTGCGTGAACAACTTCGGCGGTATGGTCGCCACCCGGTTTTTGCTCGGTTTCGTCGAGGCCGCTTTCCTGCCTGGTGCTCTACTTATCCTGTCCAAGTGGTACACTCGTCGGGAACTCACAACAAGAAATGCCATCCTTTTCTGCGGTAACCTTATCTCAAATGCCTTCTCAGCCCTCATCGGCGCCGGAGTTCTGTCCAATATGCAGGGTGTGTTGGGGCATGCTGCTTGGCGCTGGCTGTTCTGGATCGAGGGAGCCATCACCATGAGCATCGCCATCTCTGCCGCCTTTATCCTTCCCGACCTCCCCACCAACTCTCGTGGCTTCACGGAGGATGAGCGAAGAGTAGCACAGCTGCGAATGATGGAGGATGTCGGCGAGGCAGACACAGATTCTGCAGAGCAGGGCATGTTCGACGGTCTGATTATGGCCGTCAAGGATGTCAAGATCTATGTCATGATGTTCACCTTCACTGCCTACGTCGTCGGCCTCTCTTTCAACGCCTTTTTCGTGAGTCTCACCATCTTTGATTTTGTTGCGTAATTGTTGAAAATGATTGCTAACTCGCTTACAGCCGACCCTTACCAACACTCTCGGCTTTAGCTACGTCCCGACTCTGCTCATGAGCTCCCCACCCTGGGTGTTCTCATGCATTGTCTCGGTCATCGTCTCATGGCACTCTGATCGCACACAGGAAAAGGTACTTGCCAGACATCCCATTTGATAAATCGTCATGAAAATAGACCAAGATTGCTAATACTGAACTTAGTTCTGGCACATCACCTGCCCCATCCTTGGTGGAATCGTCGGCTTCGTCATCAGCATGTCCACCCTAAACGTTGCCGCTCGCTACGTCGCCCTCTTCCTCCAAGCATCATCGTACGCAGGATTCATCGTGTTTTACTCCTGGATCAGCTCCTCTTTCCCTCGCCCACCCGCCAAACGTGCCGTTGCCATTGCGATGATCAACGCGTTCAGCCAGCTTGGCAATATCGCAGGATCGTATGTCTGGGGCCTGAGCGACAACGGTTTCAGGAAGAGCTACGGAATCGTGCTGTCCATGTTTGGAGTCACCATTGTGGGCTGCTTTGCGTTCCGGTGCATCCTTGTCCGGCTCAACAAGAAGCTGGATGAAGGCGAGTCGGCGTGGGAGACGAGACCGGATGTGGCTGAGCAGACTGCTGCTGTCGAGATCATGGAGAATGATGATGAGGCTTTGCGTGTGCGGAGGGGATTCCGCTACCTTGTGTAGAGCTATACTCGCAACTTCCACTCCGAATAAATTGCTTCTTACATTTAGTTACAACACTTGATGGATGTTCCAAAAGTACAAGTTTTCCATTCATGTTCAGAAACTGTAAATCATCGAGTTGTTTGCTGATTCAATGTTTCAGCCGGGAGGCTGTTCACCTTAACTGTCTCGGACAACCTTGTGGAATGAAGCCCAGTCTTCTTCATTATTAGTCTGCAGGTCGGAAGAGTCTAGGTCTAAGCTAGCCATGCCGAAATGGCTATCGCAACAATCTACCTAGTAGCTTCGCTCCTAATGATAGCCGCTCATAGCGAGATCTGCAACTTTAATTTACTTATCGTTCCTTCAGGATCATCTACTCTGGTGCTAGCTGTAGAAAATCACAAGAATTGTAGAAAGTGCATGGATACTTTTATTTGTAACACGAAAGCAATTTCATCGAAAATCACATGCCCGTTTGGATAACATGTCGATATGCTGGAGCATACCCCAGGTCATAGTCACAATATTTTCATTTATATAAGGAGCTAATGAAAATACAAGACTATAATCTAAATTTCCTAAAGATGGGCTATAATCATTCAGCGAATCTGAGAGAAAGAAGTTACGCGCTACGAGAGTCCATAAATGGTTGAAAAGGTTGGACCAGACCTATGGGTGCATGTGTCACTCCAGAGTCTAACACATCAGACGAGGAGCCGGGGTGTCATAAATCGTCGGCTCCTACGATGTTACCCCACCGAAGAAAGGCGTCGTCTTTTTCTTCTCATTAATCATTATGTCCTGGAAGATGTAAATGCCAAACTCATGCCAGTCTGAACATTCTGAGATTTCGTTTGGATCAATAATCTTTCCTTCGTTGACGAATTCCAGTCTCATCTTTCTACCCAACGCGACAGCAACTACACGCAATGCAGCCTAAAAGGCATCAAAGGAGTAAGGCAAAACTCGAAATGCAACTTAGGTGTCAAACTCCCTGACCGTCCGGATCCTTATGGTTTCCAATATTGCTGCGTTTGCAGTAGCAAGGAGCTCCAGATGCCGCAGGGGGTAAACTGCGACTCCAGGCACTATACCACTTGACCACGGACGGGCCCTCCCCAGAGAATAGTCTCTACAAATGGCAGCACGATAAGCCATGTGGCCAATGATTCATGTGGAATCTGCAATGTGACTCAGCGGGCATGAGCTGCTCGCAGAAAGGACCGCTTTGGATTTGTGAAAACGCCGAGCTTGTGGAAAAGTCGGTCAACTTGACGACCAATTACGTGTGCAACTGGAGAGGCCCAGCAACAACTACCTACGTACTGACACATATACAGACCCAAGGGTGTTCCCATCACTGGAGGAAGAATGCACCAGCGCCAGCTTGATGGCCACATTAATAGGTTCAGCCGTTTCGACCGCCGCGGTCTCTTCTGCCCCAGCAGCCACATCGGGTTTTGCGACGTCTGGTTCCGCAACATCCGCTAACAGTGCCTCAGCAGAGCCCACCGCCACATCCCAGGGCTCAGGGACAAACGCGGGGAGGATTTCAGCTGCCAAATACGTTCCACTTGCCGGCAACTTGTTTATGTCCGGGCTGGGTAGCCTGATTCTTAGAGCTTAGTCAGAGCTGCCAGTTGTCAGCAAATTTCGCTTCGATAATTTACTCAAGCCGAAAGAATCGTTTCATCTTGAGTTGAGTCTTCTCTGTGCCGGTCAGAGTTTTGGAGTGTATCATGGGGTGTCTAGCTTCCTGCCAAAGGAACCCCGAGAATACGTTGACAACTCATTTCTCTTCCCTTACCGGGATGCTAAGAGGTCCAAAGCGAGCTGTGCTGGAGTTTTGTGAGTCGAAAGATCTGACATGCCGGACAGGGAATCTCAAACCATAGCTGTCTTGGCGGCCCAGTTTTTGTACGCTGGCACAAATCGATATGTGCTGTGCAGAGCTTCCTGGCTTAAGTGCATATTAATAGCAAGTAACGATCAGCTGCTCAAAAGCCAGTGATTTTTCTCGTGCTAGGTGCAAAAGACTGGGTCGCCAAGGATGGCGATTCCGGGTCATGGCACAGGTAAGACGCCCAGCCTTCCAGCCAGGTTAACGGGTGGCTGTGCTCCTTTTTCTGCCTGGTAAAGTGGGGGATGAGGTCCCTGGAGAACAATGCTTGCACCAGCCTTTTCGTGTTTGGTCGTAGCGCGTTCTTAATTGCATAGTCTAATGAATAGGTTAATCACGCTTGGACGCAAGTGAGTAGCTCGGGCCAGTGAGCTTGCTGTGGGTGGGCTTCACAATCAAAAGAAGGAGGCTAATGAGCAGAGCTGAATTCAGCTTCGAACCAGTCTGCCCGTGCGGCTGGGAGCATTCACTGTAGGCTTCTGATCTAGGCTCTGCCGTGGAGAAAGATGTTTCTGTTCCTTCCGCCCTTTCCCTGACTATGTCAAGACAAGAGAGCAACCATAGGCGGAAGACGTCGGGACCCGGCCATTCACTATTAATTACCTACCCGACACTACCTACTTTGCTTATGAGTTTTGAGATGGGATTGCCACTGATGGAGTTTAGGCAGATGTAACAGTTGACTCTAAAAGCAATAATTAGTTGACATAAACTCAACGCGGTGATATTGTCATGACTTTGAGTTGCTGTGTTTATTCTTAAATAGAGGCTTAGAACTATGGTTAAAAGGGGCAAACACAGCCCACACGTCTGACAACCACGCTATCCAACTCGACGCCACTGCACGTGGAAGCGTGGGTATGCACACACTGGGAGGAGCACGGCACCAGCAATCTCTCTGCATGAAACCCGTTTTGGCCCCCAAGAAGGAGAATTGCCCTCGAGAAATAGCTCCAAAAACATTAGCATGACCCTGCAGACCTGACACGTCGTCGGCACTCTGGGTGGCATCTTTCAGCCCTGCATTGGTAAGCGTAACTGTGGCCCCTGTCCAGAGGAAATTCAGTGGATTTTAGCTGCCCCTTTTGAGTGGCCAAGTCAGGGGTCAAGGCTCCATTCTAGTCGAGGGGCTGTGATGGTAGTGGCCCGTCAGCACCGCCAGGGCTCCAGACCTGGCTAGGTTGTTGCGAGCTCTCGGACTTGGACAGACTACGAAGGCTAGTATGCTTACTCGAGCCAGGTATCCCATGTCGATGCATAGGGCAATGCCCAAGCCAGCCCGACCGATAGTTGATTGCTATTAATAAAATAGCTTCGGATGTGGCTTGCAGAGAGTATCGATATAAGGGTAACTGATGCTCCCGCTCAGTAGTTCACTCTATTCTCTGGATCATCCACTCTCCTGTCATCCAAGTGCCGGACTATTCCCTTTTTACAGTTAATATTCCGTGTTGTGTGAGTGTGTTAGCAACAAGTCACAATGAAGTCCTCGATCTTCGCCGCAGCACTCTCCCTGTCTGCTTTCGCAGCAGGGCTTTCTTCCGAAGACGATGTTTCAACTATCAAGGTCGTCGGAGGAGAAGACGCTGGTGCATCCGACTTCCGCTTCATTGTGAGCATTGAGAGCACAATCGAGGGCGAGGCGGGCCACTACTGCGGAGGTACCCTGATGAACGAGTGGACTGTCCTCACCGCCGCCCACTGCCTTGTTGGCGAGAACGCCGGAAGCACCCAGGTCCGCGCCGGTCACAGGGTAAGCATCTTTGATCTTCTTTGGTCCGATAGAGAGCTAACAGTGGGATTAATAGGTTCGCAACACTGGCGGTGTCACAGTCGGTGTGACCTCCTTCTGGCGTCATCCCAAATACAACTCGACCACGACCGAGAACGACATTGCCCTGATCGAGTTGGATGAGCCTATCGAGAAGACCAAGGACATTACCTATGCTACCTTGGCTGCTCCCAAGAACGACCCTAAAGCCGGCCTCAATGTTACAGTCGCAGGCTGGTATGTGAAACCAACACAATAAACTCTCCTGATGGATATATCACTAATTCTGGTTCTCTTTAGGGGTCACACCAAGGAAGATGGTGATTTGGCCGTCAAGCTCCAGAAGGCTTCCTTCGCAGTCGTTGCCCGCGACGAGTGCCGCAAGAAGCTGAAGTCCCCCGTCACCAACGACATGTTCTGTGCCGGAACCCCCAAGGGTGGCATCGACTCTTGCCAGGGCGACAGCGGCGGTCCTCTCATCAACGCCGAGAACGGAAACGTCATCGGTGTTGTCTCGTGGGGATACGGATGCGCTCGCGCTGACTCGCCCGGCGTCTACGCCCGTGTTGGATACTTCCGTGAGCAGATCAACGCTGAGGCTTGGTACCCTGCCAACAAGAAGCGATGGATGCCTTTCAGCATGAACAACCGGGCCGTCAAGGGACTTAGCCAATAAAGCACCAGCTTCTATGTATATATACACGGGATATAAAATCAGCGGCTTGACAATATGGGAGGTTTTCTCATTTGATTTATGACTTGGGTCAACAGGAACATTGATAGAAAGCAGCATGGCATTACGAATTCTTGCATTTATAATACATTGGCATTGACAGTTACGCTTATAAGTTGATATGATTTCCCTTCCTGTTGGTTTAATGCCCACAAACCTAACTAGACAATTTAATTCGTCGCTATAGAGGTCCGCTTGTTCCAATTCCATGATGATTCCGTATATTGATTAGTGACGCTACCAAGAAAATATCGCAACTTACCGTCCGTTTAAGCCTGAGTCGATGGTGACGAGGAATGCGATGATCCCCTTCATCCAAACCAGATGCCCAAACATGACCCGTTATGTTGAATGAGGAGCGGCAGAAGTCGAAAGAACTGTATTATCTGGTCATAGTGACTTGATCCGGGGGTGAACATTTGCCACCATGTCAGCTTAACGTAGAAGCTGATATCTTTCGACGAGAAATCTTGTGATCTTTGGCCCAATGGCTGTCACTACTTTGATCCAATTTCATTCGAATGAATATGTCTGTTCAAGTTATGCAAAGGTGCGTTATACTCGTACTATTCTATTAAAGGCTACCTGCCCAGTGTTGCTCCTCTCAACCAGTATCATCGCACAGGGTAGGATATTTGGTGGAGTGGGGAGACAAGATGCCACCCGAGCATAATACATCCTTTAGTTGCGGTTAGGAAACCAAGGACGGCTTCAGACTTTCAATTAAGCGCTGGCAATGGCTGTGACCGGGCCACATCTTGTCCTAATTTCCACGATATGCAACCAACTTCGTCCGCCTGCGTAAATCACCACCACCCAGCGAGGGCTTCCTCAGCCAGCTCCTGGCTCTCCATCTCCGCGCTGCTCATAAGATTCACTTGTGTAATTCTCCGCATTTTGGACATTCATGTCCATCCCCCGCGACTAGAGAATAAGCCACGATCCTTCCATCGCTATACCGGAAACACCCTCGGCGATATAAGAGGTCTAACATAGAGGTCAGACCCCGTTCCAACATTTCTTCTGCAAGATCCCTTCCAAATACAGTATGCAGGCATTCCTCTGTGAACTGGTCCAAGAGCAATTCTACCATAGCTGTATACTCAGAATGAAGTGCTTGGACGACAATAGTGTAATCACAAACAGCACCATTTGTAAGGAGTTTCTGAACGATGGCAATACTGCCGGACTTGACGGCGCCTTCCATTGGACGGTGAATTTGGAGACGAGCCTTATCAACATCTGCACCGTATTCAAGTAGTAGATTCACCACATCTTCATTCCCAAAACGAGCAGCAAGGTAAAGAGGGGTCTCCACATTGCCATTACCCACACTGCCTTCGGTTGCCTTGCAATCTCCGTCAACATGACACCCAGAATCAAGTAGGTTCTTCACAACATCGAGGTTGCCGTATTCAGCAAAGCGCCTCAAGTGCATAGCACGAACGTGATCGGGTAGTTCAGGGATAAGAGAGATCAACTTGGTATATACCGCCCAGTTTTTGGCGAATCCTGCCACTTTCCCGAGTAAAACTTTGGGTCTCCAGTGCTTTGGCAAACTGTTATCTCCGTTGGGCATATAGTCAAAGTAGGCAGCACTCTGATCAGCCCGAGAGGGGGGATATATTGCCATCTCCAAAATCCCGGTATCACCATTCATAGCAGCACCAAGAACCCCCTGGATATCTGCTTTACCCTTTTGGTAAATTTCTCCCAAGGAGTAATGGCAGAGAAATGGCCGTGTCTCTGATCCAGTATCATTATAGGTGGGCTCAACATTGTCAGGCAAACTCTCCTGAAGAAGTTGTAAGATCTCGATCTTTCCAGATAGTGCTGCTGCTTCAATGGCAGATGGGAAGATTTTATCATTGTGTGTCGGATCGTTGCCATTCTCAAGCAGGCGCTTTACTACAGTCGCGTGGCCCAGGAATGCTGCAGCGCTGAGGAGACTCGCATCTGGGCTGGACATGTTCGCGTCGACTTTAGATCGCCGCCAAGTCCTCCCCAATGTCACGCCAAGTCCTAACCAGCATAATTGTTGAAATGTCTCTTGAATATCGGCACCTGTCTCGTGGCAAATAGACTCTGCGATTTGTCTGACTTCCACATATCGAAATATAGAAGGGTCGGATTCATTTTGCACTCTATAAACAAGATACGAATGCAAAAGTTGTTGGGCGCCATAATTTTTCCTGATAGGCCATTGCTTTATGAAGGATATATCGTGATGGTCATATGCCTGAGGTTCATAGTCATCTAAGATCCGCGTCTTGAACAATGCTCGTCTGCATAGCGTATTAAATGTTTCTAATACAACTTGATCAGACTATGAAAGCACACACACACACATATATATATGAACCTGACTTACTGCAAACAAGTCTCAATCTCAAGGCTCTTGAGAAACCTGGCCCGCAATGTGAGGGAGAGAATTGGAATCGGGCCTGGATTGCATTGACCAGAATAGTATCCAATATCTCACGAGGAAGCACAAGAATGGGAGGCTCGTAGGTTTGCATAGCTGGTGGTAGTGCTGAACGAGAGAATAACTGCATACCGTATGATGGCGGTGGGTGGAGGAGGGATGCGGCCGCACCAGAATTTTCTGAGCAGACGACCTCTGTGTCACCTGATATTACCAACTACTGTGTAGCACGTAGTAAGCATGAATATAACCGCCACACAGGAGCCAGTTAGCTGCAGGAACGCCTGCGGTAGTTTCTGACTGCGCGTTGCTGATTGCACAAGGTGGCTGCATCGGGCGTCCTATAATCACACCATAATTGATAATGTGTTCTCAAAATTAGTCGCCATGGGTTGCGGTCTTTGGCTGGAGGATTCTCTTGGCCAATCTTGATTAGGCCATAACATATTAATTGAGGTACTTCCGTATCCTCTGTCCTAGCTGGAGATCATATAATTGGTGAAAAATTAATTTATTTGAGAGCTATGAGTCAAAATATTGGCGTTAAAGAATTAAAAAGGTGGTGGTCAGATAGCAACATCCTATTTTTGCACACATGCTCTGTACACTAAGACCTGTGCCTCAGCCCCTCAGCGTGTCGTAGTAATATAATGATCAGGAGACATAACAAAGAGAAAGTGTGTGGTTGCTATGCCACAACATATATACTGGGTGTTAACTTTTCTTTTGATTTCGCTATATTCAGAGGTATCATCGCTCTTTTATGATGACTCGGGTGGGTGAACTTTGTTCAGATCTGATATAGTTACAGCGATTGCTTCCGCTCTGTCTGCCATGAGGTCCTCCGTTTTCCGGGCGACCATCACCCTCGCCATACTTCTTGGGCAGGTGATTGGAGTCCAATTGGAGACTCAATACGCCCAATTGGTGGGTACTGCTAGCAATAAATTAAAATCTACAGAACTGACAGAGATATAAAGCAAAGCCGAGACATATCTATTACACCAATTCCACGGACAGTTGATCGTCTTCGCCATCAAAATGCCGGAAAAGAAGTCCCTCAAAGGGGCAACAAAGAGCGCCTGGGGATTCCTGATAATAGCAAGGCGGTAGTTCTTGGAAAACGGGCTAAGAAGGCCCAGAAGCCAACAGCCAAACCAGCAGCGAAGACAAGCAAGCCAGCTGTCAAAGCAGCCAAGCCAAAAGCTAAACCAGCTAAACCAGCAGGTAAAGCAGGTAAAGCAGGTAAAGCAGCCGGCAAAGCGGCCAAGCCAAAAGTTAAACCAGCCAAACCAGCCAAACCAGCAGGCAAAGCAGGCAGGCCAAAAGCTAAGGCAGCTAAACCAGCAGGCAAATCAGGAAAATCAGGCAAAGCAGCTGCCAAACCAGCCAAGCCAAAAGCCAAACCAGCCAAACCAGCCAAACCAGCCAAACCAGCCGGCAAAGCAGCCAGGCCAAAAGCTAAAGCAGGCAAAGCAGGCAAAGCAGCAGGCAAGCTGGCAACAAAGACAAGAAAGCCAGCAGCTAAAACAGGGAAGACTAGTAAGAAAGGCAATGCAAGCAAACCCACCAAATCAGCAAAAGGAGGCAGGCAAGCCAAAGCGACCAAGCCTGCTAAAACCAACAAGACGACAAAAGCCAAGTCAAGACAGGGAAGCAAGCCAGCCAAGGCAGCAGCAGGAAAGCCAAAGACGCCCGCGAAGGCAAAAAAGCAAGGCAAAGCAAATAAGTCGCCCAAAGCAGCAGCAAAGGCAAGCAAGGCAAAAAAGCAAACCGCAAAAGCAGCCAAGGCAGCAGCCAACGCGAAAAGGCCAGCGAAGGGAACGGGCAAGCCGACGAAGGCTGGCAAGCAGGTCAAGACCAATAAGCCTGCTAAGCAAGCATCAAAGGCAAGAAAGCCAACAGCAAATGCAGGAAAGCCAACAGCAAAGGCAGGAAAGGCTGGTAAACAGGCTAAAGTGAAAAAATCCAAGCCAGCGGCCAAGGCGAAGAAAAGACCAAAAGTACCGGCCAAGACAGCGAATTCGAACAAATCAGCAAAGTCAGCCAAAGCAAAGAAACCTTCAGCCAAGCAAGCGAAGGCAACGAAGAATTCAAAGGCAAAACAGCAAGGCAGAGTGGGCAAGTCAACGAATCGTGCCAAAGCCAACAGGACCGGGGAGACGCCGGGCAAGCAATCCAAGACAAACAAAGCCGGGAATCGCAATGGCTCTGGAAAAGCATCCAAATCTGCCAAAGCAAAGAAGCCCGGAAAAGCAAACAAAGTTGGCAAGGCTAAAAATGTCGGCAAATCAACCAAAGCGAATAAGCAAGGGAAGCCAAAAAAGAATGGAAAAGCAGGAAAACAGTACACGCCACAAAAGTCAAGAAAGCCCAATGCTTCGAAATCCAGCAATCACAAAAAGGCCGGAAAAGGCAAGCCTGGAAATCACCAGAAGGCAAAGTCTTCCAAGTCTGCAAAAGGAAAACTTTCGAAAGTCGACAAATCTAAAAATCGAAAGCAAACCAAAGCTGGAGGTCGCAAGATTGGGAAAGCTGGCAGGGGAGGTGCTTCTAAAAAGGGCAAGGAAACCCCATCCAAGGCGGCCAAGCCCAGCAGAGCTAAACAGAACAAGTCAGAAAGGGGGAAAGCTAGAGCGGGGAGCAAAGGCAAACCTTCGAAACTAGGCAACGCTCGAAAATCCAAGGCTCAAGCGCCCAGGAGGGGCAAAGCTGGGAAAGGTAGCCCCGCGAATCTTGGGAAGACCAAGTCTACAAAGTCTAGGAAAGCGAAGTCTACGAAACAAGCCAAAGGGAAATCTCCAAACCCTGCTAAATCCAAGACCAGAAAGACTGGAAAAGGCAAGCCCACGAAGACCAACAAAGGAAAACCGAATGGAAAAGGAAAGGGCGGCTTGAAAAAGGCAAACAAATCGAAGAACGCAAGTAGCCCGAAGAAGGGAGGCAAATTAAAGAAAGGCGTTGACGCCAAGAAGGCAGGTGATTTAAAGAAGGGAGAAAAGACTTTACAGGAGAGCAAATCAGCGACACCTGGAAAGGACAAATCAACAAGCCAGGGCAAAGACAAACAAACAACCTCTCGAGGAGGGTGTCTCTTGAGCAGATCCGGGGAGGGAGAAGATGGAGGCAGTTGTGCCATTAGGCCAGCTCGTACCGAACCCATTGTTAGTATTTCTCCAGGCTGTCATCATCTACAATGAATTACTCTGGAATGGATACGGATACTGATATTTCTAGGAACCCTTTGATGAAAATAATAAGCAGCTCGGATATGTTGCAGGAGACACGCAGGAGATCATAAATCATGCTGGTAAGACGTTCAATAGGTGGGATGTCGCACGGAATGATCTCAACGGCCAGCCGGGAAACATTATAAACCAATTTGGCTTGAAGACTGGTGATGCGAGCGAGGTTGTGATAGCCGATGCGCAGAACAAAGCAGACAAACCGCGAGACCAGGACGGCAAGACCAAAGAAGAAAACAAAGCAGAGGGGAACGACGATAAGGCAGCAACCTACGATAAGGCAAGCCAGGCAGAGCTTCTGAAAGGTGTTTACCAAAAGGCGGGACAGGACCCATCCCAGCTCAACACGGTGCATCTTAAAGATATAAACGAGGAGACGACCAAACCAGCAATCGGCGAAATTAGGGGCGGAGCTAAAGGCGATATTGTCATGAGTGAGACTCAGGAACCAGAAAAATTCAAAAAGATCATGGACACTCCGTGGGGAAAGGGAGTTACGAAAATCGGTAATGAGTTCAACAAGAAGGTCGACAGTGTCATCAGTCCTGAGCCCCAGAGGGAGAGACAAAGGCGAAAAGGATGGGTTGAAAAGGACCCGCATTTAGAGTTCAAGCTTTCGGACAAGCAGAATGAGGACACTCAGCAGAGCGGTTAGCTATCGACCTCATCGTTTTCTGTATGGCCTCGCTCCATATCTAGATACAAGTTATACGTAGCTCTATACGTAGCTCACCAGGAGCTAATGTGGTTATGCTTAAGCCTTATATAAAGATTATCTCCTTTGTACAATGGATCGTATTACTAGTCTTATAATTACTCCGGCCCTTGAGTATACCTGGCATAAACTAATCCAAACACCTCACAGAGGTATATTGTGTGAAGGTACATACGTCTAATGAGCCCTAGTTTGAGGACCATCTATCATCAGCAGGGGTAGACTGAGTGGCCTAGTTCTTGGAACTGTGCCCCTTACCACAATTGGTTGTTCACGCTGTGTTTATTGCTGACGCGCGCGCGCTGTTTCTATTCTAATGGGACATTCGCATTTGGCTGGCTGCTGTAACTCGGCCGATGCCCAATTCGGCATTGTCGGCAACCGTGTCTCTTGGCAGCAATTAAATGGGCTTGCTAGGCATCCGCTTGTTTTGAAATTAAATGACCCGCAGGGTTTTCCATTCACGCCTCTGAGCCTGAGTGACTACATTCCATCAAACCACCCGCTAACTGCCCGCCGTTGGGCTACTCTTCATCAGAAGCGACCGTCCTAAATGGCGATTGTGCGGCGGAAACCGAGCGTAAGACCGTGTGACATCAACCCTGAACGGCGACAGCGACTTCGCAGCGACTCCGACGATGAGGGGCCGCCGAGCAGAGCGACGCGCGCCCTGGAAGCAATGGAGGATATAGGCAGATACTCGGTCTATTATGCCAGAAAGGGCGCCAGTGCTGGGTTGGACTTCATATTGGGCAACCTGAAATGGATTCTTATCGCTCTTCTCCTCTCTTACTTGGCAGATCTGCTACTCAAGAGTCGCGGCGGGCCTACTGCCCGTCTTCGAAACAAATACCCCTGTGGCATAGGAGGCGTTTCGCACCCGATGTGCAGCGATTGCTCGGGTTAGCCATGAGCTCGGGTCCCCGGGATTTAGGTTGAGAGGATGGAGGTAGATTGTTGTGTCAACAACGAGGAAATAATTTCGTCAGTGATTGGAGACAGACAGAACCGCTTATGTTTGGCTACACGCACTGAATTGAGCGATGGATTACGAAAGGCGTCGCAGTCCCAGGGACCTTGTTTTGAAAAGGAGGCCTACGGGAACAACACGCTCCTCCGATAAATGCGCATGCAGGCAGCCTCAAAAAATTGTGGTAACGTTTTTGAGCAGCCGGTGTAAGCCGTGTCAGAATGAGCTTTTCTTTTGCCTAACAGGGCGAACACTGAACCGAAGCCAAGTTGACACGGCCAGACAACATCTCTATGATACCTGGAACAGTGATCTCGAGACTCTTGGCCTTGGCCAAGTCTAATAACTAAGCAGAGATAGTCCGAGAAGTAGAAAAAGCTAAATAGAACATCTACTCTCACAACGCTTCGTCACTTCCTTCCAGAGCTGCCACTCCCCTTCCCGCTCGCCGTCGCCCTCGAGGCTAAATGCAGACAAACTAGGAAATAGGCTTGCAAGGTTTCCCGCTATTTGAAGAATACTGTCGCTTTGTGCCTGGTTCTGCACCAACTCCTCGTCGAATGGAAGTGGTTGCTGGTCTTGGTGCAACACAAAATGCAAACCCCAGAGACCATTGGACACCACCGTTTGTCTGCCGTCACCTCCAGCGTCGGCCTGTATCTCACTCCATTCAATGGTGATTGGACCGAGAATTAAGTCTTCCAACTCGGGGCAAAATCTGCAAAGCGACTGTACAGATCGGAAGGTCATCTGCTCTTCGTTCGTCTCTATCCGCAAACAAAGGGAATAAATACGGGGAAGGTGATGAGACAGTTGTTCTATGAGTCCATCGTTCAAACAGGAAGCTCCAGGGCGATGGCCGCTTTCAGCTACTGCAACGTACCTCAAATCTGAACAGCAGCGAGTAATTAGAAGGAGGTGCTGAGCTTCAAAGCTGGAACCTGGTGAGAAGTTCAATTCGAGGTTCGTTAATCGCGTGAAGCTTGCCACCACGGAAAGCGAGGGCTGTAGAGATTGGAAATGGAGCTGGGCTTCTAGTAGATATGGCAGGGATGCGGCCAACAGTGCTAGCCCACGATTAGAGACACTTGTATGGAGAGATTTGAGCGCCTGGAATCCGGTAATCTCCTCAAGCCAAGATTCTTCAATCAAGGGGAGGCCAACGTCATCCAAGTTGGGAAGCTGCTCAATGATACGAAACACATGTTCTGACCACAAGTCGTCAAAAATATGGCGTATACGAAGAGCCTGTAGTTGCCTGGACCTATGCAAGAATCGTACTAGGCCCTCTCCGGTCACCTTATTGTCTGCACAGTTGTACAGACATAAGTAAATTAGCCTTGGACATTTGCTGAGAAGAGTGTCTAAGAAAGCGTCGGAAAGCTGGCTGCCCGTTGCGACATGGAACTCGACCACGTTTGGTTGGGCATAGTGAACCAGAGCATGCCCTGTGATCAACCCCCTAGCGCTATCATCCTTAAAGAACCTCACTGTCTGGAGTTGCGGGAATTGTAGCGACAAGAGCTCATGGTGCCATTCAAACTCGCTGCGGTACTCGCTGCCGTCGAACCATTCGCCAAACTGCAAGATGCGGATGAAGTTTGCATACATCTGCGCTCGCAGCGGATCTTTTCGGCTCACCGAGACAAGATGTTCGACATCGGCTAGGGCATGGCCTAGCTCGCTCGGTTTCCAAACTCCTCCACCGCATCCATACCACAAGAGCCGGGCAGATTCTTTAAAGAAGACGCGATTGACCAGAAGACAGGTGTACAAAAAGCCCTTGTAAGGGCTACCGGACTTTACGATGACCGCAACTATCTCAGGAACAAGGATGAGGTGGTGCATATCTGACTGATGTGCGGTTGAATCGGATTGAAGTTGCTCTTCTAGGTGGAGAAGTGAGTTGAAACCGTGAAATTTTTGCCATTCACTTGTGAATGGTGATTACTATTACTCATCAGACATGCAATTCTGAAATGAATGGACACCCCTGACTTGATTTTGGGACCAACAATAGCCGATATATAAACTTGTCGGTTCCAAGTAGCTGACACATCTTTGGGTCATTTGCTGCTTTATCGCCTATTTGACTTCATGATAATGGTTTAAGATTTAAAGGCACGGGAATAAAGTACAACGAATTATACCAAGAACTGCAAGTATATCAAACGGTGCGTTGTATAGGTCAAAAGTCGTTTTCATTGAAACAACCACACTAGGACTGATATCTGGTCTTGAACCGAGAGGTTAAGCTGCTGCACAAACCGGCTATTGTTGCCTAGGTAATAACGGAGGGCTGAGAGAGCCACCAGACTAAAAGAATTCGATTCGATTGCCCGAAGGAACAGGGTTACTCGAAGTGACTGAATTCACGGTCGGTAGATAATTTCAGCCATTTCCAGGCTTTCTACAATAACCGTGAATTAATGAGAGACCGATAATAATGGCACGCTTCGCTAGGTGGATATCACCGCAACACCATCGCCTACGCCAAGGCGAAGGATTCGTTACTTGACCAATACTTGACTGACTTAGTGATACTGTAGCCGCCAAGCTTCTCTAGCACCCGTAATCCGAGATTCTTATGAGGCAGAAGGTGAAGCATAACGCGACACGCGCCAATTTTCTACACCCCACCAAGGCAAAGAAAAATTGGTAAATAGCTGGGGACTTGTTGCGTCCTAGATTTTTTTATTCTTCCTGACACCTTCCGACGGTTAGTTGACCTCCTGCAACGTAATTCTTCCACAATCTTTGACCGAATAATTGCAACCTAATAGCTTATACCCAAAATGGACGAATTGGCAAATCTCGATGAACTTCCATCCGAAATCAAGTCCATGATTATCAATGGCTGTGACAAAGACGATCCCCAAGCCTTGCTTCTTACCAGCACACGTCTCAAAGGTGTCGTGGAGCGCAAGCTGTATGAAGAAATCACTCTCGATGAGACGCAGTCCAAGGGCGATGCCGTCATGGCCATAGCGGACAGCCCCCGTGCCGGTCTTGTCCGTACTATTATCTACGCCCCCCACGACCCTCAACCCATGCAGTCCGACGATCATGATGCTGAGATCGAGTTGAGCGAGGCTACTGTTGAGGTTCTCCGCTCTCTACACAAATTCCCGGCCTTAGAAACCTTTCGCTTTCGTTGTGATATCGGAGGGTGGGACTACAACAACTGGCCTCACGGGGCATATCACTTCTGGATGCATACCCGGGAAATGGCAGAAGGGGCACTGGCGGCCGAATCAGAGGAGCCTTGCAGGAGGCTACTGAATGGGAGCCTTGTTGCCCTGTGTGAGAGTGCGGGGGCTTTCAAGGCGCTGGAGTTGTATAATCTGCCTCCGATTCCCACCCAAGAAGGGTCCTACTCAGTGTTTCGAATGGGTAAATGGCTGGCCCTGGTGCGAGGTCTGAAATCATTTGACTTGCAACTCGCCGGCTGCGAGGGTGGAGGTGCACTCAACATGACGTGTGCTCACCAAGAGTATATTGCCGATTTCGTGGATCATACGATCAGAAATCTAACCAGCGTGGAGCGCCTACGCCTGGCTGGTGACCCGGAGGGCACGATTGGGCACTATGATGAACAGGAGAGTTTTGACTGGACGGTACTGGACCTTCCTTGCCTGAAGGAGTTTGAACTGAAGTGGTCGAGCTTTGAATCTGGGTTGCCTCAGTTTCTCGCCAAGCATGCCAAACGGTCTCTAGAGGAGATTCATCTCCGTCGGTGTTTCGCGATGGGCTTGGATGCTTGGGAGCAGATTCTGAAGGGAATTCAAGATTCTCAGCCCCCGAAGCTCGTCAAGGTGAGAATCGAGCCGTACCCGGTGCTCAAGAGTACAGCATTCGGGGGCAGCGAGAACTACGACGACTTGCCGCCGCGGTTTGTGGAAAAATGGGAACGAGGAGAGGTGACGTTCGACGTAGAGCTTGATCGGCGGTTCAGGCGGTTCGTCATCGCGGAAACCTGCGAGAGCTACGGGGCTCTCCAAATAAAGGACGACGACTACGATTCGGGTCTGGAGGGTGAGGAATTTGAGGATCAGATGGAGGAGTTTGGGTCGGACCTTGATGAGGCCAAGCTGGATGGCGATTGGAAGGCGGTGCAGGACATCTGCGCAAGAAACAGCATCAAGGCTGCAAAGGCGTAGGGGCATATTTCTACTTGATGAGAGATAATATGTTACTCAAATGGGCCAGACAAGAAACCGTCTTGGTGCATTCAAAACAATCGAGTCCCTGTTCGTATGGGTGAAATGTTCAGTGCCGTTTTCAGGCGTCAACAATCACAACCGAGGCGATAGCGGGATCCCCCCTCACCTGCCGAAAGGTTGCACTACATCCATGGATACCTTACTGTACATAGATTGTTGCTGTGTTATTGTTGCTCTCTTGTGTGCATGGTTGGTCGTGTGTGAGGTAGGGCTTTCTTGGGTGTACCTGAGCACAACCCGCCAGGGAGTGCTCCCTGTGAGCACAGTGCATGAGCCCGCTGGAACGGAACACTGCAGGTCAACTCTAGGCAGCAGCCGCCCACTAAGCCAATGATCATCCACTGAACGGGGTTGTGCAACAGTGAATTCCACCTTGTGGCTCTCTGCTTTGTGCGCTGCAAACAAAGTTCCAGCCCGCAGAGAAGCTCACCTCCCACTCACTCCTTCCTCACACCTCTCTCTCACCTTCTCCTTCTCTTCCTCTTCTCTCCTCATCTCTCGCCTTCTCTTCTCCACCTACCTTCACCTTGCACTTTGCACTCTCTGTCTTTCTACCTTTCTATCTCTCAATTCTCTCCTTCATCACCACCCTTCTCCCCCCACCGCCCTCGCGCGATCTTCGCAGTCCATCTGCACCATGGGTCAACGCCACCAGCTCTTCGTGATCGCCAAGGCCGGCAAGTACTATCGCTCGCTGGCCGCCGTCCATCACCAGTGGCTCTACGGCATGAGCGCACTTCGCCAGTGTCTGCAGCTCCTCGAAATCTTCGGCCACAGCGAGAACCGCCTCGCCTTGCAGCAGGAACTCCGTTTCGCAGAAGAATACTACCGCGGCAAGGCAGCCCCCTCCCAGGAGCCGCCAGAGCTCTCATGGGGTGACAGGGACAGTATCTGCCCGTTCCCCTTCATCACCACCTGTCTGATGATGGGTGCTTCTTTCAACCAGGAATCAGCCCAGGCCAGTGCTGTCCACGAGGAGCCCTTCGGCATGGGTTTCGACCAGGGCGACAACAACGACGGCATCACTGTCATCGACATCACCGACTTGGAAAGTGTCAAGTACTGCTTCGTCAACTTTATGGGTAAGTAACCCGCCTCCTCTCGGTGCATCTCTCGTGCCACTTCCGCTTTTCTAACCCACATCTCTCTCAACCCTTTACAGATGACTACGATGCAGAAGAAGAAGAAGGGACCCGCAGTCTACTGTACCAGCCCTTGACAGGCTGGCAATACGTCAAGAATTACTACTCCGAAGATGACACTATGACTCAAACCCACATCCACTTGCCCACGAACCTGGACACGAAGCCTCTCATCAACATTGCGACTCTTGCAGGCAAGTTACCGCCCCTGAGCCTCTCCCCAACCACTAGCTGACATTGGCTTGCGCAGAAATATGGCCGTGGGGCGAATGGGAACTGTGTGATGCTGTCCGGCGCGACACAGACCATCCTGATCATCATCCAGTTGTGCAGAGCTTGGTGGACAAGAGCATGGAAAAGATTGTAGAGGCACTGCTTGTCTCAAACGACATGGACGAATTCAATGCAGCCAAAGATCAGCTTGAGGCGCTCCCTAACTGCGCCGCCATCCTCAAAAAGACGCTCCTCAGCCGGGCGGGCCAAGTTGGTAAAACGCCACATTCGGTTTTGCTCCTGGGCCTCGCCTACGCTGGTGAAACTCACCTCGACTGGGCACCTTTCACCAACCTTGATATTGCTGACCTAAAGTCTGCCTTCGAAGCTGGTTCCTTCGCGTCTGTCAAGTCACTGAATCTCTCTGGCACCTTGGCTTGCCTCTCACCATCCGAGCTACCACCCGTCCTCTCTAGTTTGACTTGTTTGAAGTCACTGTACCTTCTGAACAGACCCGATCGGTTCGATGATGATGAGACCGCCCAAGCCGTTCTCGGTCTCGCACATTCGGACTTAGGCCTCGCGTTGGACAAGGTGGTCGTGTCTGCGGTCATGTCGATTGCCGTTCGCCTCAGAACCTGGCTCCCTGACACAAATGATGCCGCTGATGCAATTCCGGGATTTCCAATTGCACAACTTCTAGTCTACCATAAGAATGATGCTACTAATGTCCGCGGGCGAGTGGTACCATACGAGTACTTCTTTCTTGGGGATGCTCTCCTCAGTCCTGTTCGATTCGTCAATGCCTTGTTGCGCTATGTACGGGCCTTGAACTCACAGAGGTACATATCGACAAGCGGTTCTGGACTCGAGTTGACCGCTTGCATGGCTTTGAGCTCCTCGGTTCCTGGTGATAAGGATATAGGCGAGGTCGGGGCTCTTCCCGCCCAAGCCTACAGGTTTGGCAAGGACAGTTACCACAGCAGCCTTTCTCACGGCTGCTACTCTGAAATGCGAAATCTCAAGCCTGGGCAGTGGACGGTCTTGCTGAGCCGGAATGCAGGCCCTGAGGGATTCCAAGCACCTGCCGACAAGGGTTTCCAGTATGCCTTTGTCCGTTGCAAATCCGAAATCAAGGTGCGAAACCCAAAGGAGGGGGAGCGAGACGAGGTTGTGGCAGACAACCTCGAGGTATACAGCTTGCGTGAGTTCCTTGATGAGACAGTGCCAAGCTCTGGCTCCACGAGCTTGGACCCTCTTTTCAACCAGCTCCGCTTGCAAGTTGCAGAGACTGATCAGCTACCTTCGGATGACGCCGTGCTTCGGTGCATGAATGCCGGGCAATCTCGGGACTTGCTGGTCAAGTTCATAGATAACATTCCCACGATGGACTTAGTGAAGGAACAAGCACGCCTGTATCAATAAGATCTCTTCGATCAGCTACTTGGGGTGCGAGGGTCTTGCGTCTAAGGGCTTATACTTGGAATGCGCAATAGGGTCTCTATTAAGCCTCAGCATATTCCCAGATGGGCTCGTATCGTTGTTGCCTTGATGAAAAGTTGAATTCGGAAAATGGTTCAGGGGTTGAAAATAGTTTACGAGGTGTCCAAATGAGTGTAGTACCCTTGGTCAAGACGTCAAGACCGTCACGCACCCAAGTTGGTATCACTAGCTAAATCTTGAAAGGAAGATAAATCAGGCCACCATGTACCTAATAGATCCCTGCTTTCAATAAAGATGTATGCAGTTAATATCTTTTTTTCGGGGTATGCTTGTTTTCCCAGTAAGACCCCTACTGGAGGCTTTTTAAATCGCAGTAGATGATATGATCTTGATCTAGACAGTAAAAGGATTTTCCCATACCTGATGTCTCTATGAGTACGGAAAATACGGAAGAGAAAGAGAATAGAGTTTAATAACAATGAAGCTGCCAGGGCCCGATAACTCAATATAATGAATACGAAAGCTTAAAAATATAGCCTTTCCTAGTCCGCCCAAGATATAGTTATACGGCAGGAAAATTCTATGAACCTTCGTACGGATGACTCACTTGCCATCAGGACAGCGGCTCGTCGAATAACTATTAAAGCTATCTCTTTCACCTGGCTTCACACTTGTCTTGTACCACGAGAGAGGAAGGGTTAATGGAGATAGCATTAATAGAAATGCTTTTAAGCTTTAAAAAAAAACACAGTGAAAGCTCCATGAGTACAGTGACCAAATAAATCCGCTAAAGATCCGAGTGCCAGAGTAAAATAACGCGCAAAGTTATGGATTAATGTGCTGTATTTCACGAGGAAGCAGGCAGGTATAGCTTAGTTCGTAAAGCTTCAGCGAGGACTACGAATAAATCTCTTGGGATAGACAGTCTAGGATAACGTGCCGCCACAGGTATATTCCACCTCATTCGGAGGTAGATACTATGTAATGGATCACCCAGCCTCAGCTGCCCGTGTAACACGTCCAGATTAGCAGGCCCCATCCTTGTTGCCAGGTCCGCTGTAGTTCTGGCAGGGAGTTTTGGCGTCGGTGCAAACGTTGACGAGCTTCGCAGTGTCGCCGTTGCTCTTGGTGATCCCGACGACCTCGCCACCCTTGCGAGCCGTGACTCCCTCGACGTAGACTTCGCGCTTGCAGGCTTGGCACTAATTGAGGCTCGAGTTAGGACCTGAATCATCCCCGGATGCACCTTCTGGTGTTATGAAATTGGTCGGAGATGTGACTTACAGTTCCGCAAGATCGGTATACTTTACCGTAGTCTTCGGCATAGAAGTTGTAGATCTGGAGGAGTCAGTGAATGTCGCTTTGAAGCTGTGGGCTTCCTTGTATTGCATACCTGGACCTTTCCACAGCCATTGTGCTGGACGATCTTATCGGAAGCCTTGAAAGCGCCACCTCCTCGGATGGTGGTGACAGCACCGGCAGCATCATCTTTCTACAGAAGCGAAAGCAAAGAGCAATCTCGAGTCAGTCTTATTGCAACGCCAGATAGTGGACTTTCGGAATGAGAACATACGATGGAGATGGCATCCTCACAGACGTCCTCAAACCAGACATTCTCGATGGTGCATCCTCCTCCAAGACAGTACACACCCTCGCCTTGGTTCTTACCAATGATGACGTTCTTGAGGGTGGCGCCCTTTCGCAGGATGAATACAGTGTCGGCCTGGCCTGAAAAGGGGGTCACACTGTCAGAGTTCCTGGTTCAGCGAGTTGGGGGGAGGGGGGGAATCTACGCACCTCCTTCTGATTGGTTCTTGCAAGTGTACCCCTTGCGATCGTAGCGTTTGTTTCCGCCGTCGAAGCTCTTGCCCGCGGCGACCTCGATGGGGGCGGAGCTGCTGACTGTCGACGAGGGCGAGGGCATGTTGCTCTTGGCCACGCAGGCTAGAGCCGAGGGGATGCCGAGAGCGGCGAGGACGATGGTGTTGAAGGCAACCATTTTGGTAATTTTAGTTTCTCTGAAGAGACTATATCGTCGATCAGATGCAAGTGGGAATCTGTGTTGAGGCAGGTTTGTCTAACCGACGTGGAAGTGGTGGTGGTTCGAATAGAGTTATATATGCATGTGTCATGCTGCGTATTAGGGGCTTTTTTATTCCGGACAAAGTAAAATGAAACAACATCCAGGTAGAACTCCGAGACTATCTCCAAGACTGTCGAACGGATGCAAGTCTGCCGTGGCAGCCAATTGACACGGGGTCACCATGGTGTTTGAGAATTGAGCGGTGCATTCAATTATACGCTTGTACGCGCTTGGCCTGCCTGTTCCAGCCAAACAGCAACCGAAAAACTGACAATATTAGAGGGCTTGCCAGCTTCATGCAGACTTGGCTCAAGTTCGAGATCGCCCAAATGCCGACCAAGTTTCCCCGTCTGGTGGAGGACTATGTTCCGTTTCCTAATGCGGCAGATTTGAAACGTACAAAGGCTAATTGTTTTGTCGGTAGCTAGCCTTGACACATTCCTGGATGCATATACGAGCTTGGCAGTGATCCGGGGTGATGTGCGGTGTGCATTCGAGACTCTTGGCAACGTGCTAAGCCGGGATGCGAGGTAAAGTGGGCGCTGTGTCAAGTCTCAGCGTTGGTCCAATCAAAGAGGGAAGCTTATGTGTCAAGGCATGGGATGCTGACCTCTAATCTCCATTTTTGGTTGCCTTGCCTGAACTTGCTTGCTTCTTACTTGACCCATGTGTTCGGTCTGGGCACAATCGATATGTCTCTGGTGATGGTACGGATTTGGAGCCTTGGCTTTGTTCTTGGGTAGCCTCCAGACGGTGCATTACCGGTAGCGCTGACGCACTGATATTTCTCAATATAGCTTCTGTGATTTGATTTATGGATTAATTGTGATGATAACTGCAGCCCTCCCCCCGGAACAGTTTTCTTCTGTACACTCCTTGTAGGGATAATGGATGGAAATCCTGTGAAACTGTTGACTCGATTGGATGGTGAATAGGGGCTACTCATGCTCCTGGAAGATAGTCTCGGTTTTTTCATTGTTCTTCATGCCAAATATCTTGCAGGTTGCATTCGGAAATTAGTGATGTTGGCCATCTTTATTCTACAGCCTTGCTGAGTGACTGCTGGTAATTCTAAGACTAGGTAGGTACTTGAGGACTAAAAACAAAGAGTTCCGGGGACTTGCTGTTTCGGTATCAATTGAGATTAAAAGCAGCCTTCAAGCTCACTCGTGGGAGCGTAAACACTAAACCGAATCATAGCGGGAAAATAAGTCGAACATAATATTGAAGCTATAAATAAAATTATGAAAAGTAGAAAATTTGAGGGAAGGGAAACTTTGTGGAAAGAAAGCCAGCCTTCAAATCCCTTCCAAGTCTGCGTATAGGGTAGTTGAGGGTTCACTGGATGCATTAGTAATGAGGCACCAGCGCCAAGTCATTTCAGCTCTCATCTCATGCCAAGCTCGAATGGTGATCCGTCTCTTTTCATCGTCACACGGAAAGATGACTCCGATTGGTGTGACCTCTGAGCCCGCGGATGAATGGGAATTCTTTCGCTTGTGTCCGATATGCCGCAAAGCATTCGTGAAAGGTCAGTGCCATGTTCATGTGGTCGACGATGACGTATTGGTAGATTGACGGAGATGTTTCAGATAACTCCTTTAAGCGACACCTCTCGTATTGCCGCAGAGCCCAGTTCAAGCGGAAGGGCCGACCTAAGCCGTGCGATGGTTGTTCATTGGCCAAGACTAAATGCAGTCTGGATGAACCGACTTGTCAAAGATGTCGCTCAAAGGACCTGCCATGTGTATATGGAGCAAAGCTTTTGGAAGGACTCTTTCCGAATCCTGATTCGCAAAATGGAATCCCATTTGGAAACCCGGACAACCTGCATCTTGAGCAAATGTTAACCGCTGGAGATCCGGCGAAGAGTGTGACTGGGGGTTCAGATCCGCCGCCAGAATTCAATAGCCATCTAACACCGCCACAAAGCAGCTGGCCCTTGATTTCCTCTGACATTTCGAATGGACAAGAAAGCGTAGCGGAACCGACGAGCGCACCTTCTGAGAGCCTCCAGAGCTCGGAATTCTTACCTTTTGATGAAGCTGCACCTGCTCAGTCAACTGAGCTAGCCAACGAGCCAGCAACTTTGACAGCGCTGAAACAACCCAGCCCGGAAGCAGAAGCCAGTGCCACCATTGTAATGCATTGTATCCGCTCATACCCTCAGATGATGCTCCGTCGACAGACCTTTCCACCGTTCATCCATCCTCATTGGCACACGGAAAAGCTACCCGAGAACCTGGTTAATTGCATGAGTATTGCGCAGTTGTTCGTTACCCGGACATCGGAGAACAGCCCCTTCCTGTGGCGAACTATAGATAATGAAGTCAGCCGATTTAAGGATGAGGTAAGAGCCATGGAAAAGTCAAACATACTAAGCCTATTTTGCGAACACTGTCCCGCATTTTCTACCCTTCTAACACTATATAGGCCAATGAAATGGACGTAAGAGTGGTTCAGACAGCGGCACAGGCCACATTGATCTATCTGATCATGTTGGCTGTAGACGAGGCCGAAGATATGTCAGCCCGGGGTGCTCGACTGTTAGAAGTTTTTCAGGTAGGTTAAAGCAACACACTTCAACCATCCACGTGGGCTATGCTCTCGATAGTAACCACGTACAGATTTTGTCCTTTCGGACAAGAGACCTCTGTGGTGGAATCTTCTTGGCCCCTCCCGAATGCAAACATCCCAGTCCCAGCTGGGAAGAGTGGATATTCACGGAATCAAGGAGACGGTAAGACTTGTATTGCTCTAAAGTTCTATGTCATCGCACTAATCGACCGGTTTGTAGAATTAACTGCTTTTATTTCGCCGTTCGCGAAGTTATACAGGCAAAAGCCGACGTACCTTGCGTGCCCCCTGGTGCACATCGCCAGGTGGCACTTTGCTCCGCTAAAACAATGTGGGAAGCAAGATCCCGCGAGGGGTGGGAGGAAGAAATGGCTATTCAGAATATGGGACGACTGCACATCGATCTTTGGAGCCTTGGAGCGCTTCTGGATGCTCAGCGGCACCCGGAGGATGCAATGTATGCCCAACTGCTTGAGATTTGGGGAGCTAATACGGATAAAATGGGGGTGCTTATGAGTGTGGTAGCAGTTATTATGAACCAACAAGAAAGCCAATTAGTGGAGGGATATTAACATCTAGACTTTGGGCTTTCTGGAGAGGGGCACACGGGCAACCTCGTGACATTGGATAATAAAACATGTGCGGTAGAGACACCTGTCGTCTGACCAAACTATCAAATCCCATCCTTAGCGACTCAATGGGCAGTCACCATGTGCAGAGATTGGACGGTTGACCACATCAACAATAGTCCACGGAAGGAAGACCGGACGCACGTAATCGGCGGAGAGGATATAATGACCACACCGGCCACCAACAAGTCACCTATTGACCGAGCAGCAAACATCCGGTACCTGGCAGGCTCAGGGTGATTGATGGTTCACGAGCTAGGTACCCATGGCATTATCCCGTGTAAACAGCAGTTCACATAGATTGAGGGAGAATCTCAACTCCATGTGTTCACTTCAGCTCGTTCGGCATTGAACAATTATCTCACCATGTTGAGTGCAAGGTCATTATCCTCCCAAAAACCCAGGTTACGAATCAGCTGATGTTATTCCCAATCGGGATATCCTTGCGCATGCGCTTCCTTTCGGTATAGTGTATAAAAGACGCACAACGATTTTGAGGTGGATTTATAATCCCGCAAAGTTTTCAATCAAATCATTAACTAATATCACATCTGAAACCTCCGTCGCTCTCTTTGGAGGATGCCTCTTCTAAGCCTACCAAATGAGTTGATAGAAAGTATCATCACTCTATTATGGGAAGAATCCGACCTAAACGCCCTTGTCCAGACCAACAGGGAGCTCTATAGCATGTTCAACACCTACCTATATTCTCACAACATACGGCGATGCGAACTATATGAACTTCCCTATCCGCGCTATGCACTCGTGTGGATCGCCCAGAATGAAGGGCCCTTGACGGCCTTTGAGATGGCACTTGATGCCAAGAAGCAGAGCAGCTCGGAAGCTGCCATGCACCTAGGACATAAAGCCTTTGAGCAAGCTGTGTTCAATGGCAGAGCGGATCTAATCAGGTTATTATTATCCGAGGATGACTGCTCTGGAGTGCATCCCAACTCTGTCAACGAGGCGGTTATTCGGGGTCACGAAGAAGTCGTTAGAGTCCTCGTGGCTTCTGGCGTATTTGATCTGAATTGGCCGGGTCGCTACCAACGTACGCCTCTTTTCCAGGCAATTTGCCACGGGCATGTTGAAATCGTTCGCATATTGGTGGCGGCTGTGAACATAAATCAGCAGATGTGGATAGCAGCGTTGACTAAGGCTGCAGAGAATAGGGATCATGAGATTGTACAGCTTCTTCTTGTTGCGAAGGCAGCCAAGTGACTTCGTTATATGTTACCCCTGGACAAGTGATTGTTGGTTGAGGTTTGCATGACGTCTCTTTCCATGAGGCTCATGGTTGGCGAAGTCACGAAGTGAACAAATGACGGATTTGGGTGATGTACTTTATTGTAGGATCACATATGACATAGCATGGAGTTTCAGGAATAAACGAGCTTACTGACTTGCGATGAGATTTGCTTTGCACCCATTTCAAGTTGTCATGCCCATCCAGTTTTCATACAGGTAGTATATAGCGGGGCCAGTGTATGTGTAAGCATCTTTGACCTAACCGTCGGCTGGTTTCTGAACGTCAGCAAGATACATGGGGTTATTTTTCACGTACAGCCGAGGGTCTGAGTTATACATGTAGACTGAGAAGAATTAGGAGCAGAGATCTTATATAATTCAACTATGGTAAGGTGCCAATGAAGCCTGACGACTATTACCTCTTCCATAATAATTTAAAAACCTCCCATCTACCAGTCGATATTTCCAAACCGGTTGCTGAAAGTGGCAGTTGGGCCGTTAGAATCCAAAGTGGCAAGCTCCACGATGCGAGTAGCACCAACCTCCGGAGTATCACCATCATCAGGGCTCCCGCTAAGTCGCGTATTGACCAATCCAGGGCAGGCAGAATTAACCTTGCCTCCAACATCCGATAAAATGCGTACATAGTTGAGCATGAGCAAGTTGACGGCTGCCTTGCTAGAGTCATAAGCCTTGATATCAATTGGATACCACCTGGAGCTCTTGTCCAGGGTCTCGGCAAAGCTACCCATCTTGCTGGAGACAAAGACCACACGCGGCGGGCCCTGGGTTGCCTTCTTGAGAAGAGGAAGCAAGCTCTCGGTGAGAATAGCAGTACCGATGACGTTGGTTTGGAAGGTACGCCCAAACAGCTCCCACGGGTCTATCTGGTTGAAGTCGAGAAGCACCCCAGCATTGTTGACGAGGACGTCGAGCCGGCCAAAGCCCGCCTCGATAGTTTTCACGGCGGCTTCAACAGAAGGCCTGGAGGTCAGATCTAGCTGTACGTGGGAGGCAGAGTGCCCCGAGCTCCGGAGAGACGCGGCGAGTTCAGCTCCAGCAGCATCGCCGCGAGAACCAACGATGACATGGTAATTGTGCTTGGTGGCAAGCGCAGTCGCAACGCATTTTCCAATGCCTTGGTTGGCTCCGGTGACAAGAGCAATGGTTTTGTCGGTAGCTGGAGACATGTTCATAAGTTGAGGCTTGGGATGAAGATGTGGATGATGTAAGTGAAGTTGAAGTTATGATATGGCGTCCTGAATTTGCACTTCAGAGATAGGTTGATGAAAGAAGACATAAGAACCGCAGGCATGGCAAGTCTTAAATACATAGAATTTCAATAATCATAACTTGTAATTGTAAACCATCCATCCCAAGCTCGCCGGATCTTGTTCGCCAACTCTTTATAAGACCAGAACCGCCGGTATTCTTGGTGGGTCCCGGCGAATTTGGCCGGTTGCATTGATTGATCGATTGAAGCTGGGCGAGATGATTTTCAAGCCCGTTCACATTTCTTGATACGGATTTATCATAGAATACCTAGGAACAAAGCATTTGTCAGAAGTTATCTAGTAAACGCCACTGAAGTTATCTACGGTGGCATGACGAATCGACCATGTCTCTGTCTCACCATCTACTGCCTCCACGATATCACCAATTATGCGGGCCCTCTCCGGAGCATTTACCTCATTGCATACCCCCAAATGATTTGTATGCCCGCATCCGATACATCCGGATCCTATGACAGCTCCCATCCAATACTGAGCGTCAGTAAATGTAGCCTTCTGCTATGGGGTATTTAGGGGTGCAGCGTCTCCCTCCAATGTGAGACTCATGTGCTGCTCTGGCCTTGTTGCCAGTGGCGCTTCTTTACGAAAAACGGGCGTCGATACGCAGAAATGGTAGTAAGTCTAATTATTGCGATCTTCCCTCAGACAAAATCTGATACCTCATTAACGCCCCATTATCCTAATCAGAAACCAATCGAACCGCATCCTACGCGTATTTATAGCCCGCCCAAGGGGAATCAGTTGATGAAAGGCTTGGATAGACGTGTCCACATTAGCCATAGGATGATCAAAGCAAACAGCTCCTTCATCTTCTCCTCCTTTCCCCGGGGATTAGTCTCTAGCTATCCCTGCACGCATTATGGTAGAAATAGCTAAAGTATGTAATGGTTGTGGAGACTCGGACTCGGTGGTTGGCCTGCGGGTGAATGTTTTGACTCACGTGAACATGAGCTGGGAGGCTAATATTATGCACCGCTCATGTAGACAACATCTCGGAGGGTTTTTAGTAATACGATGTTTTTGGTAGCATGAATTGCCCATAATTGAGTACTACCAAGGTTATGGGCACATTGGCAAAGTAGCTTCCGACTCACAGATCATGAACAGCCTAACGTCGGAGGCTTTTTTTTTTCCATGGCAAAACAGAAAACTTCTCCCTCAATGCTAGTCTCAGTTTTACTTGAGATTTCCTTGTACCGCAACCCACGCGCCGAAGAAATGACAACAAGTTTGGTTAGCCCTATCCGGGGCCTGATGCTGACGGAAGGTGTCTTGAAGCTAATCGGCGGCTTCATCTTTATCCATTCGCCTCAGAAGATTCTCTCATTAGCAATGCCTCGACCGTTCCCCTCTTCATCATTGCTTCTGGTGCGAATGCTCGGAACTCAGACGGCAACATTGGGCGCCTGCTTGCTGTTGGCCTCGACAAAAAGCTCAAAAGCTGTTGCAAGCCGGCGGGCTGCATATTGGACTGTTTTCATAAGAGATGCCACTTTGGTTGCTGTGCTTGGCTGGCAACTGCTGTTTGCGGATGTTGGCCAACCACTCGGTTTGACGAGAAAGGGTTTGCAGACTTGGATTGCGGAAATTTCCCCCTTCATGATAGGGCATCTTTGGGTACTGCTGCGGCATCCGCAATGGTTTTAATCGACATGGTCCATGGCAACTCGTTGCATTGTTGCGATTGATATCAGGCTCAAGGCTGTATCATTTCTGCATGGAGAATTCAAATCAAGGCTACTTGAGGCTGCTCAAAAATATCACATGTGTATTTCTTTCGCGGAGATTACTGGCTGGATGATTGTCGATAGGGTGCTCTAATGAAATCGTATCTTGTTAAAATAAGCACGGCCATTGCCAAGGGCGTTGTCTGCGCAACTGCATGGTTGGCTCAGAAAGAGCAAAATAGCGCTGAAATCTTCTTTTATTTTAACATTCTATCAAACTCTCTCGGGGAGCAAAATAGCGCATGTGAGCATGTGAGAAAAATGAGAGGAGATAGCGCCATTCAGAAAAGGAAAGCTATGGAATTTCTAATCTGGTCCTATGGAGCATTGTACCTAATATGGCAACCAGAAGCCGTTTCCATACATCGGAGCACATGTCTGCGTTGGAACCCTGATTTACTGAGGAACAAGGCTCAGTTTACCAGTCTTTATGTCAAACACATAGCCACGGACATGGGCCTTCATGTCCTCCCTAACAAGGGGAGAATCTTGCAAGAGCTTCATATCCTCCCGCACTACCCGATTATGGCTACGTTGGAGTTCAAAGATTAGATGCAATCTTTCACGTCAAGCGAATTCCGGGGATGGCTTACTTCTCCAGATCACCGCCTTTGTAGGTTCCAAAGTCGAACTGGTCGATTTCATCGGCCATCTGAGGGTATTTGGATTTCAAACTCTGGCAAATATCTTCGGTCGTATTGACAGAACATCCGCAATCTAGTACGGTTAGTTGTTATGGTAATCTAGCGCATGTTATTCGACGTTAGTTTACTATCAGTAGCTTACTGGTATGATGAATAATGATGACCTCTTTCAAGGCCTGGCTGTTGGTAACTTCCTCAAGAAATAGAAGCGCGTGAAGCCCGCTCTTGACACGGCCGCCCAGATTTCGAATAACTAAAGCTTCTGTCACAAATATTGTTGTCAGCGCTGGAGTTAATTAAGATGCCGCTATGGTATTTGATATATTATGATCTTACCATCCGGCTTCAGGTCGAGAAATTCCTCAACAGATGCGCGGAAGTCGAGACACGCAACTAGAGAGGCTCGTTGTTAGCTGATGAGATCAATACTAGCCTGCGAGATACGGACATATGATGACAGAGGGGATTGCCACAGGGCCTTCCCCCAAGAACGTCTTCGGCTGATGCTTCGTCTCCGCGTAGACTCTATATAGTAGATCAGCAGAAGTCGAGGTGGAGATTAAGACAAAGATGAGCGAACCGGTTTCTCTCAAGGAGCTCATCCCACTTGGAAGCCATGTTGTTCAAGAAGGTAGATGATGGTCAACTTCGAGGGTAGATGAATGGACAGAGAAGAGGTAGAAACTGTTGGGTAGTTGGGATGATGAGAGGTTTGAATTGATGGACAACTCGGGTGTATGCTGCCCTTTTATAATGCAAAATATACCTGACTACCAAGGCGTTGTTCTTTGAGCAGACATGCTTCCATGTAAGCAAGCCCACCCTTATCCCAAATTGGTATTTGCTGCAACATCCTAATCGAGGATGGGTGACGCTACAATCATTCGAAATAGAAAGCATAGCCGGTAATACTTCCACCGAGCGCAGCACGTGTTAGAGGGAGCGTAAAGTGGCTGGATTTCTAATATTACATCATTTTGAATGATTCAATTTCTATCATGGCCCCGAACATACGGTCATATTTCCTTCTTCTTAGCCAGTTCCAAAAATTTCGCCAATTTCCAAGGTTCCACTAGTCTCCCAGTACCTACGGACTCTTGGAAGTCAGAGTGCGTGGCGATGGTCGCATCTGCTGTCATCGCCTTTTGTGAGATTAAAAACGCCGCACGGCCATGCTTCCCAGCTACAGACACCTGGATCCCTTTAAGCTCCGCGGCCTGGCTTTGTACTTCCTCCTCGAGGAACTCTCGCTCGTTGGGCGAGATGCATAGTAGCATGCGAGTAGTGAGGATATGGAGAACAATAGCTATTGCAAGCAGTTCATAGCGCTTGCCGGTCTCGTCCTTTGCCGTGTGATGGACGTCCACGGCGGCCAGAAGCGTTGTGTTGAAGCTACGGCGCCAAGCAATGATGGCAGATCGGAGGGAACGCAATTTCGCTACCCCAGCTTGAAGTTCAGCTGTCTGGAGGCACGTATCTGCTGATAACAATTCAAACGTCATCAGCGCAAGACCCGGGATCCTGGTCATGAAGGTCATGAGGGTCACGCCGAGGCGGGACCTATCGGAGAATGTATCTTGTGTAATAACAGCACTTTCGAGCACCCTAGTCCATTGAAGGTTGTCAAGGAAGCATTCTTGAGATGTGAATAATGCTTCAATACACTAAAGCCATGGCGCTTTAGTTTGCCATAAAAATATCTCGACGTGGGTGGGTGTGAATGATGACTGCTTACTATTGGGTAAACCAACGCGGTTATCAACGACTTGTCGAACTCGGAAGTAAATCCAGATGGCCCTCTTGCTTGTATGAGCTGTGAAGCCCCAGAAATATGTCGACTCCACATGTGCCCTGTGGTGGGATTCAACACCTGCATAAAATGAGCGAGTTTGTGAAAGACAAGGGGTTAATTGTTCGGTAAGTGTGTTTCTTACCTCAAAGATTGCCAATAGCCCTATTGCACACAGTGTCTCTGCAGTGTATCTATTCATCTCGTCGTCTATGGCACATTGAAGGCTACGCAGAGCTTTCCCATAATCTTTCATTATCAGATCATCACTTGTCTTACGAGATGGAGCGAGGGTCGAATGCGCAACGGTGCGAAGACATTGAAATGCATTATGGAGCGCCTCAGTTTGTCCAACTCGTGATGGGATGAACGAGAAGTAGGACTGCTGTCGGCAGACTAATAGGTTTGATAGAGTTGACTCTGTTCGGAGTATGGTAGATGCTCTAGTGCCATCCGATATTAGCCTCTAATGTTCCTCGAAGTTTTCATCGACAGTGAAGCATTGAAGAGTATTTAGAGGACGTAGCCATACCTAATACCCAAATGGATCGACGTCAATGCAGAGAGGTCGATAGGATCCAGCCCGTACTCCGCGATTTTCGTAACTTCTAAGGCGAAGGTCGGGATGGGGTGATGGAGGCAGTGACGCATGTCTATACCTGGGGCTTCAGTGGGGAGTTTGACGTCAACTTGATTCTGTCTTCGACGACTTGCGCTCGTAGCCTTCATCGCATGGCTTCGAATCCTGGACCGAACGTCATCCCGTTGCTTCCCCTTGGGCTGGTAGGCAATAAAATCGAACCCGCTGGCCCCGCATTCCTCCATGGTCACTGGTTCACTGCAAAGTGCGTACACACAACGGTGAGACAATGTGCTGGGCAAGATCCACGTTGGCTCAGCAGTGCAGGAGTGGAATTATGATGTTGACCTGGTTCGTAAACTGGCGGACAGGGACACCTTTGAATTACTAATACAGGCTAGGAAGGATGCCCACTTTGGCAGTTGCTGTCCAAAAGCGGCAGTTGCTCGCTTACACTCCTCGGCCGTTGAGATGACACTAAAGCCATCGTTATGAGACTAATAATTAAGCCAATTAATCCTCTGCTATTGTAGTGATTAAAGGGAACAGTATCTATAGTCCATGCGTCATATCGACACTATCTGAACTCAGCCTCAGCCATGGCCACATCGAGCAGGCCAGGCTTTCTTCATAAGAATGACTCTGCCCAGTAAAGTTGGTTCTATTGGTTCAAGCGCGGGATGGCCCATGATTGGCTAGAGCTTCGGCTCACCCTGCCGCCTCGGTTTGTGTAATTTCAATCTCTTAAGCTACCCTGGACAAGGCTTGCATCAGAATACCTTGAAACCTCTGTAACAACGCAGAGATCACAGAGGCATCTCGTATTAAATATTGTTCTTAAGAGATGGGATATCGATTCAATGGACAATTTTAGAATTTTTAGGAGCAAGTTATTTTGTTTTATGGCCTTGATGTGAGTTGGATACATATGTTGAAATGGACGCTTACATCGAGGCAGCCATTGGGACACCAATTCAGGCGTGAAGTTTTGCCCTCTCTTGGCTACATAGTTCAGGAAATATGACTCACAAGCTCCAGATAAATATGAATTTCCCATCTTGAGACTGACGATGCCATGCTGCACCGGCTTACCACATATAATAGCATAGGGTTTTGAGGGCAGGTATCGAGCCCCTGTTCTAAAAATGGCAGCTGTGGAGTTACTAAAAACAGCGTGTGATTACCCCTGTTCAAGCTCAATTAGTGCTGTCAGCCGTATCAGAGCGGCGATTGGAGGAGCACAGATATCATCATCTGCCCTTCCTAGCTCTGACCTTTCTTTTCCTTTGTTTCTTTTCCTCAGATTGAGCTGACCTGCCCGGTGCACTATCGCCATTTCCTCCAATTCGCTTCTTCGATACCTTCTTTTCCAACAAGAAACTCTCGAGCCGGACTCGAGGATTTATTTTCTCCCTTGACCTCACACTGAAGCTGAAACCACACAGCAAACGAACGCGACCGTCGCATTCCTCGAAAAGTCTCATTGCGCGTCAACCTCCGCCGGACGTTTGCATTAGGTGATCCATTCGCTTGGCCAACACCTATCGCCATTCACAAAATCGATTTCTACAATTCTTCATTCCGCCGCCTATCTATACTCCCCTTCCTCGTCGACACCAAAAAACACTCGAAGCGAGAACGAGCAAGACAGCCAGGGACCTCTGCCTCACCCACGACAAGAGCAAAGCACCACGGTTGAAAAGAACCCAAAGACTATCTCCGTTAAATCAGCCCGCCATGATTCTATCCATTCCACAAGCCGCAGTCCTTCCTTCCGGCGCATTCATGGACAAGCGAGTTTTCCTATACCGCCCATCTGAGGCGCCAGCTGCCAGCTCGAGACCCTCCCATCGAACGCATTCCCGATCGCACTCTGCTTCTTTGGTGGATATCTTCCGGGAGGATGCCGAAGATATTGTCGACAAGCGACTCCGTGTTTTACAATCTGCTTGGGTATAGGAGGTATTGTCTGAGCGTGTTGAGGAGGGGTGGAACTGAAAGGATGTTCCCCGGATTTGCTGTCGTCCCGCGAGGCCTGGCGACGCTTTTCAGCTGCGGAAACGCAGAATTCGATTTTGTATATACTTTTTAAATTTCTTCTTCTAATGATGAGGTCTAGTTCATAAACTTCCGTCGTCTGTCGGTAGATGTCTCTCCATGGTATCAGTTTTATTCACAGCTTCATTCCGCCTTGTTGCCTCAATCTTCCTCCTCCTTCCCGTAAATGGTATCTATGCAAGCCGCGACGAACAGAACAGCATAGATGACCGCGGTTACGATATTGATAATCACTATAGCCATCGCGGAAGGCTTCTTTTCAGGCCACTGCGACTGGCACAAGTCTTGCCAATTCATGTAGACCAACGTTGTACTGGGCGTACGGTTGCAACGGCGATCAATATTCGAGATGGAGGTCCATTGCAATTACGCAACAACGACGCAGGCGAGTGCCAGAACGAGCGAGAGGCCGAGTTGGCCAAGGGGTAAGATCCCATTGAGAACCCCAGGGCCAGGTCTACCCTTCAACACGAAGATGAAGGCCATGACTTCGATAAAGCCCCACCCTATGGCGATCGCAGGCTACCGAGTAGATGTTAGATGCCATCGTAGGTGAAAATCAAATGAGGTGAGACGTACAACCGGAAACGAAAACATTACCGAAGACGAAATTACGTCTCTGTAAGGAATTAGGCTCAAAATCAGACCTAGAGAGGAGATAGACAACAGTATCGCAAGTACGTGCAGAATTAATTTCGAATAGGCCCAGGTTTTACTTTCCATAAAGGCTGGTGTGTGTATTTGTTCGAGGTGAGAGGGAATCTCCCGCTGGTGGTCAGTACCCCAATCGTGTTGGTAAGGCTGGCCGCCATGATTGGGTACCCCGTTTTGAGCATTTGGGATGAGAGAGATTAGGGGAATCCCAAACTTCGAGGCCCCGTTTTGGGGTCCATGGCTGCCATACTCGTGATAGGTCTGGTACACTGGGCCATGGGAGCCAAGGGCCCTCCTACGGGCCTCATTTTCAGAGACGGGCTCATGAGTTGCGGTTGTGGTGGGATGAACAGGAGCATTTCCCTCGTCGCCATCATTTTGATGAAGTTTATCCGGCGTAAGAGATGTTGGAGAAGAGGCACGAGGTATCTGCTTGATAGACGCCTCGGGTTGCGAGGAGGGACCACCTTGCTCGTCGCCAATTATGGCGCGCCTTCGCTGAGCCGGAGTAAGATGACCGAGTTGTGCCTTTGGGTTGTCTTTTTGATTATTATGTGGGCTGGATCTTGGGTCTGTGTATGCCTGTATCTCGGAGATCTCATCATCGGTCGGCTCAGCCCGAGTTGAGGAGTTGTCCCCTTCTTCGTTGCGGTCTCTAGGACTCTGGCGAGTGTGGCCATGAATATTCACCCTTCCATCCATATTTGGGTACGTTGGAGTGAAATCACGTAGCTGGATAATGTTCGAGGGTTGTGAGATGCGTCCAAGGCGAGAATTTCGTAGATCCGAGCTCTCTATCCATTTTTTTGCGCTTGCTAGGTGATTGGAGCCATATCTAAATTAAAGACACGGATGGGGAGTTGAAGTAACAGTCAAAAATACTGACTGAAAATCAAGGTGGAAAATATACGTTCTGTCGTGTGGGATAGGCAGCAAAAGGCAGATTCCGAACCCTGTCACTTTTCATGGGTGACCAAAGTCCGCATGACTCCGTCCTAAATCTGTATGCGAGAAGATAAGTTGACTCATTTAAGGCTGATATTGAGTGAGTTACCGCTCAGAGAGGATTAGAACATATTACGAGAAGCCGTTCTGATTTGTATGCCAAGAGGCTGCCACCGCATCACATACGGACAGGGGAGGAATCACACCTTCTTTTTTTGTCACATAGCATTTTATCTCTCGCGAAGATGATAGAACAAGAGGCTTTTGTGCGAATGAAGGGACTGTGAGTCACCAACATTTAGAATCAAGTCGTTCTGTGATTCTTGATGCTTCAGCTTGTCTAGGTCGTCAGGTTAGATATACACCGGATGCCAAAATGCGGCCATATCAGATTGTAAGAGGAGATGGCCTTTGATAATTACTGAGTCAAAGTCTTTAGTAGTATACTCTTGGCCCGCTGCTCACCGGTTTCAGCAAATGCGTCTGATTGATGCCATGAATCTATGAGTTCAAGTTGGGGCGGATCAACAAGAATATTGTACATTACACAAAGCAGGATGGAATGTTATGAGAAAAATAGTAGAGTAACTCTTAATTAGTTGATGGCAATTGAAATATTTGCAAGCAGTTCCAGAAAAGCCCCTTCACAGCCCAACCTCTCATAGACCCTCCAACAGTTATTCTAAGCTACTCATCTAGAATTAAGATTTCGACACTATGAGACACGCTCATCCTAAGAGAAGATAGAGGCGGCTTGCTTTGTTATGTTACATAATGCATCTTGTCAAGCAACTTCCTAACAGAAGGAATGCCCAGAACCCACGTCCATCCTGCAAGCATTTGAAGAACTTTCTGCCCTTCACTCGAAGGATTCTTCGAGTCCAGAAGTCTCATAGCGTATTGAAGTGGCGTCTCACCAGCGTTGTTTCTTGCATCGAGGTCTGCGCCACGTTCTAGTAAAAGTTGAATAACCGACGCATAACGGGTATTCACAGCTGCCACATGAAGTGCCGTATTCCCTCGCGCGTTACCAATTGAAAGGCTAGCACCTTGGTCAAGAAGGTGAGCTGTGAAATCTAAGACTTCGGTTTCCTTCCAACTGTAAGCAACTTTGAACGAACAAAGCCAAGTGTGCAGAGCAGTTGCCTTGTACTCGTTGTACTGGTTTATGTTTTCGACCTCGGACGCGAGATATCTAACGACCTCTGGAAACCATTTCCAAGAGATGATATCAAGGATAAATCTTTGTAGCATTGTCTCTCTGTTGAAGATCTGGTTGACGTCAAACCCGTGTTTTATCAGTACCCGGAGCATTTCGATGCTATAACAAACAAACCGCCATTGTCTGCAAATTGGTATTTGACCAGCTCGAATAGGACAAGACAAGCCAAGAATGTAGTCTGCAAGCATGGCATTGTCGTAATAGATGCAACTAGATAGACACGGCTTTATCTTTTCGTAAGTAAATGAGAGATCATTGTTGGTCATCCGCCGAACACGATCGATCAACAGCTGAGCCTCCTGTACGGCTTTGCCCCTGTCGTCTTGAAGGGGTATTTCCGTCAATCTATCCAAGATACATCTCTCCGTCAATAGCCTGATGGGGTAGAGGCTTAATAGCTTTCGAAAAATTGCTATAGCACCATCCTGGATCGCTTGCTTGAAGAGGTCACCCAGATGACCGGGTGGACCCTCAAAAACTTCATGGATGATACCTCTTTCCATGAATATTTCCAGAATGTCAAGACGATCGTGTTTTACGACGGCCCAATTTGCATTCGAGATAAATCTGATGTTGGGCCTCAGTGTTAGGATCCCTTTCACGACGGTACGGCTGGCTTCTGCGTCGGAGCAATAAATCGCGTATTGTAGAGATGTAACTGCACGGAGGTAAGGGTTTGCTCCCTGGTCCAGAAACCAGCGTGTTAGATCCCAGTCACCCATTTGGCAGGCGTAGTCAAGCACTGACATCCCATCAGAACAGGTCTTTTGGAAGTCCAGTCCTTGGATTCGGATGATACCATTAATTAGTGGTGGGCAACCTGATGCCACTGCCGCAAAGACCGGGCTGTTTGGTGTTATCCCAGCCTTTAGTTCATCGATAACCGTCTGCAGTCTCAACATGCTCCATGCGATATTGTATTTTTTGCACTTGATGGCATACCAGACATGAAAAGAATCATATACCTTTGGTGTAAAAAAGAAGATTGCCTTTAATGTCCACTGGGACTCATGCTCGATTGCCCATCCGAGGGCAGGACGGTGGGAGCCTCGGTGGGTTCTGCAGGAGGACGTGAACCTCTTGCGCCACCAGTAATGACCGGCGTCGCAAGGACTGTTCATCATTCGCGCGTTGAAGTCGTAGAGAAACCTCAGGACAATGAGTCTCAATCGTTTGCAGGTGAGCAATAGAGATAATAGATCCTGTGCCGTGGAAATAACCAGGTCTTCGGAGACGTATCCAGCAATTTGGCGTATCAACTCAGTGGGTAGGGATTGTAGGTAGTTCTCCCGGCGACCAACGTCAGTGCCAGGGAATGTCACCTCAATGTCTGATGATGTGGGCATGATTTGAATGATTTTCTGAGAGTTGAAAGCGTTGGGTTGAATGAACTTTTTGTGATGTGTAGCTCGTTGAAAAGTGCTTTTCTCTCAGATGGTGAGGACTGGAGATGGTACGCCTATTTATGCAATTTTTTCTTGGTACCCGAGAGTAACATTTGTATCGTACTACCTCTGGATAGGCACCGGTTTGCCTCTGGGCAAGCACGGGTCTGCCTCTGGATAAGCACGAGTCTGGTAGGGGATAGGCACGGGTCTGCCAGTGGATAGGCACCGTACTGCTATAGGATGGGCATTGTCCTACACTCAGAGGGGAGTGGCACCACCCTACCATCCGATGGGCGGTCGCATGGGGGTACCTTGATAGTGCCTCACGTTACCAACACCTGTTATCCTTCTGTTACACTGTCGTTATCATGGCGTTCCAGTTCGGCAGACTTTATGTTGCCTTTCCTGGTGACTCGGTCGATGGTGCGAGAGACAGGCTTGGTCGATGCTCGAGACTTGGCTTGTGTGTGATGACGAAGGCAAGCGAAATGCGAGGTGAATTTGGGATCTTTCGTAAGTACGAGGCAGGCTTTTCAGTTAGGACTAGGCAGGATTTTGAGGCTCACGACGGGAGTCATGCCAACAAAAGAATACCGTACCAGGAAAATGTTACTATCAGCCTTAAGTGTTATACAAAGCCAGATAAAATGTTACACTCTGATGTGTTGACTGTATTGTCCGTACAGCCTGCATAGCTTTCTCACTTACTAATGCTGCCATGGCAATTTAAATCATCAATATAATTTGATTTTAATTTTATGGAATGTTGCGAGCATCTGGAACCACTTCGACCTTTGTCCATTACTCCTTGTTTTCGAACAAAGAGGTCAACTGAGTCTAAAGGCATGTCTATACAGGAGAGCTTGAGTGTAAATTTAAAAATAACAATAGAAGATTCCAGAACCTGACATCTCAACACAATGAATACGAAAGTTCTATAAAAAAAATCCTTTACTAGCCCAAGATATAGTCATATGGAAGGAAAAGTCCATAGGCCTTCATACCGATGACTTACTTGCAGTCAGGACGAGCCGCTCTTCGAATGACTATTTAAGCTACCCTCTTTTACCTGGGTTCATTCGTACACGAGATGAATAAGTAGGGTAGCATGACACGAAGAGAGGAAGGGATCAGAGGAGATAGGATCAATACAAATCCTTTTAACTATAGAGTCATTTTACCTTAGGGATATCTATTATTCCGGAAAAACTGTATGGTTGGGTCCTATAATGTGAATGGAAAAAGAAAGATTCTAGCTGAAGAAGCAAGTATACAGTGCTTTTACATCCCTGTTCCACCAAATAGACCTCCTTGCCCGGAATCAACTCCCAGAAAACTGGCAGAGTTATCCTGCCATAAACTGTTCCCCATCTCAAAGAATGCTGCACCATTGAAGTCCCAGGCATTTGGGGAAGATTGAGGCTCTTGATCCAGACTGATGCTTATTCTATTGTAGTTTTGAACCGTGTGGTGGTCTAAAGTCCCTTGCGACCCCCTAGACGCAACGCATGGAGTATTTTCCAGCTTACGGACTAAGAACAAGCTGTACTCCAGATAAAGGGATGCCCAAGAAGTGCTTGGCAGCTTATTTGCAATTCTGCCAAAGTGCTCTGCGAGGTTCCGGATCAGTGCCGAGGCTTGCTCTTGCGCTTCTTGCGAGATGGTAGGGCATTTGAAAGACTTCTCTGTCTTAGCCAAGGTGTTACTCTGGTAGGAATTTTAAGATACTCACCCTGATAACTTCTGTCGCTGCATGGGATATCATGACGAATGGAGTATTATGATAGCCTGATGCCAGAGAGCTAAGCCTTGCGTCATGTACGAACAGACGAATAATCTCGCAGCTAATGTTGAAGATATCATTGAGAACGTTATTGATCTTCTCCTGCGAAGCGTTTAGTTTTACTAAGTGCTTGTATGTGTTGTTTCGAATTAGCAAAAGGCCGTGGTTAACTTCGAAGGTAAACACAGCGGCGAACATGGATTCCAATTGAGTGCCGTCTTGCCGAGAATAGCTCGTATCCTTTAGCTCTTCAAGCCTTGATGATGCACTTTTATCCCACTCAGCAATAGAACTGAGAGTCTTCTGCATTCCGAGAAGCCGCTCCAGGGCTTGCAACTATAATATCACAGTAAGTAACATAGATAAGAGATCGCAGCGTGGTATGCCTACCAAGTTGATGCGTAGTTGGACAATCCCGGTAATGGCGAGATCACCAGCTGCGCTGCCAGTGGCACGGGCCCAAGCATACAATCCCGGCTGCATCTCTCTCCAGGAAACACAGGGTGCGCGGCCTATGGTGATGCCAAAACTCTTGTCCATGAGGAAAACAAAGATCCACGTTCTCTCGTAGTTGCGGATCTGACGATCACGGATGCCGGCGTATATGTTTCTATTGGACGCGTTGAAGTTGTTGACCTTTTTCTGAATGAATGAAGAGTCATTGATTTTCAGTTCGCGGGCAATCGACAAGGCCTAGATGGAATAACGATATTTGTCCTGCTGTTAGAAAACTGAAACATACTGAGTAGCTTGTTAGGGGGCTTACATGACCGAAGCGCAGCCAAGAAGGATCATCAGCGTAATTTTGAGCGGCATGGCTCCAGAAAGTAAACATAATAATGGCTTGAATAATCTCAACAGTCTTCACTGAGTTCAGGATCGACCACTTAATGTTTCGTTCGGCCATATTATAAAGTAGAGGTGCGAGTAAAATGTCTCGATGACTTATCGAGAGCTCACATCCCAGAGCACAGATGACGGAGAATAATGTGAATGAGCAGCCGTGCACATATTCTGCTGTGTGTAAATCTGGGTCAAGAATGCCTACGGAAGGGTGGCGGATTTTGAAATACAGCTTGAAGTATTGCAAAACTTCTTGTTCATTGACAAGACCTGCAGAAACAGGGTCGCAAACTTCGGGATCCAGTCGACAAAAGCTGTCTGGAGGTATTCCTGTCATCACGTCCCAGTCCCTCAAATCAAGTTCCCTAGGGGCTGAAAGGCAAGAGTTAGCGCTGGTCTTTTACCGTAGGTAGGTCATTAAGCCCTGTCAAATGTTTAGTTTGGTAACTGTAAAGTACTGACCAAAATACTTTGCCAACTTGCTATCTGCTATCATTGCAGCACGATCCTTTTGAAACTGGCCTGAAATCGATGACTGTGAAAGAGGCTCGGGAAACCGAGGTGGCGGCACTGGTCTCCCTGCCCAACCTTTGCTAGTTGACCCAGGGGGAAATCTCTCAACTCCAACGGCTGCTGCCAATATCAAGAGCGGAGAGCATTGTGATTCAGCAAGATCAGTTTCGGATAAATCGTCACTGGCAACTGTCGGAAAAGGTTCACTCTGGTCACTAGCCCTGTGCCGATGGGATGTTGGGTAGGTGCCGCGCCTGGGATTATCGGAGTCTGGGTGCTCTAAATACAACGGTGAGCAGTTCTCCAAGGCTGAAGACGATGCGTTATGGTCTCCTATTATGTCGCTACTGATTTGACGAGAAGGATCTGGATCAGTAGGGACCCTCCAGGGCTCTATTTGTGGCTCTAGATCGATCGAACTGGTTTCATCAGGCGCCTCGCGACTCTGTTCTGCTTCAATTGCAGCCTTTAGATGTTCTTTCAGGAACGGATCTGAAATACGGGATAAGAGATCTTTTAATCCGAGCGGTTTGCTAATATAAAACATCGTTATGTCAACCTTTAACAGTTATCGTATCAAGCGAATATCACTCACTTCACTCTTCCAGGTTTGCGGCCGCGATTAGATTTACTGGGGTACGAGCAAGCCGTTCCGTAAATGTTACAGCGGGAGCTTGTTTAGCTTTGTGAGCCCCAGGGCCTATCCACGCAGACAAAAGGAGGTTTGGGGTGTTTGTTGCTTCCTATTGGACACATACCAGGGCTGCTGGCGATCACACTTTTGCCTTGCATTGCGACAGGAGTAGCAGGCTGTGGCTGGCATTAACGTTTGCGGGCTGGACTGAGAGTTCCCTTGCGAGGACTTCCTGGTCTGAGCTTGTCGCCACATTGTGGCCAATCGAGTTGCGGATAGCCTGTTTACCGAAGCCTTGACCAAATGTGATGCTGGTGAGGTGGAGGGGAGCAAGCGGAGGGTTAAAGCCCGCGGGGAATTGAAGAGACGCAGATATCGAAAGAGGAAATCCCGCCTTGTCTGGCGCTTATAAGCTACCAGGTGGGTTCTCTCTTTCATCGCTGGCACTACGAAGCAGTCTGGGTACATTGGTCAGCAGACTCCCAAGTCCGCATTTCTCCTAGTTTCGGAGGTTCGAATAACGTTAGCCTTCAGCTATAACAAAAGGTAGCTAGATGGATGTTTGTCTGCAGGTTTAGTCTTGTGGTACACTCAGAGATCCAGAAGTTGGCCCCTTTCTCTAATACCAAGCATGCGGAGTACTCAATGCCTTCGACAGAACAAATACGTGAGATACAATTATGGTTAATAGCGAAGTAGGCCAGCGTTTGGCTAGACTTATAGGTAATTTTCTGGATGTTAATGCACTCTGGAGGGTCTGAAGAACTACGGACTATTTCCTTATCGAGTATTTTTGACCGGCCTGCCTCAAGCTCAGGGATCTCCCCACAAATTATGCGAGTAAGGTCTGGTGACCAGAAAAAAAAATCCAGGCAGGTTCGATACTGTATTACGTAGGAAATAGCAATATCATTCAAGGTGTCTGTGTTTGGATCGTTTGCGGTTGGGCCCCCACAGAATCAAGATTCCGCGGCGTTCAACTTGGACGCCGCGGTGTCTTACCCTTTGAGGTGCCGTCACGTTCGCTTCGTCGACCTGTTAATCCTGTAGTCAAACACCTATAAAGGGCTATCAGTCTTGGGGAGAAGGAAGCTCCCGAGCTAGTTATATCACTTTGGCTAATTATTCCAACGTGATCCCAGCCCTTCAAGCCAGATACCTAGTATGGCTGACCGCACGCTGCTTACCAGGCTCGATGAGCTCTGCAATGTCGATGTCGACGACGCTGACATCGAATTCATTAAGGGTCTTCCATTTAAGCCATACAATCGTAAGCTTTTTACCCAATGATTCAATCGAGGACCTCAGCTAACGAGCAGAAGAAACATCGAATCAGGCTATTATAACGCAGGCCATAACCTCCGCAACGAACAGACAAATTCTAAATGACTGCATCAAGAAGTACGGCTCTCAAGGCTGGGAGACTGTCTTTGAGAGAGTGGTAAGACATTGTTTATATGAACCGTCGCATTTGAAGCTTTCCTAACGTAGGGATAGTCCGTTCGTATTTGTGCGAATAACGTCCCTCTCATCAAGGGTCGCGTTTTGATCCAAACGTCACCTAGGCACATCCATGACGACGTGGAAATAGTTACCCAGTGTCGACGCTTCGCGGCGGCTTTCGAAGAAGCCGGTGTTCCCAGGGATAGATTTGCGATCAAGATCCCCTTCACTGGCTCGGGCGCCGTAGCTTCCAGAACTTTAAATGCCGAAGGAATCAGGACTTTAGCCACAGCGGTGTTTTGTCTGGAGCAAGCCATTGCTGCAAGCCAATCCGGGTGTCTTCTGATCAGCCCATACTTCAATGGTAATTAGTTCACAACCCTATTTCAAATCTTCTTGGATGGCTTGAAATTGACGTGCCACAGAAATCGCAGCACATTTTGACCCGGCACTGCGACCAAACGTGGCGGATACGGCACTCGAGGTATGATATTGATGACAATCTTGAGAACATGTGCCAAGCTAACAGTGTCATCGAAGCATCCTATGTCGCCTCGTATCATTCAAATGTTGGAAGCTTTCAAGACTTTTTACACAGAAACCAGCGAGGAGCAGCCAATCATGGTCATTGCAAGGTTGGTCACATCTTCCACGATTCGAGTGACGATGCTAAGTGTCTCAGCCACCTTTCTCCGGAGGAGGTGTTAGCAATGGCAGAGCTCGGGTGCCAGCACGTTACAGTATCGCAGGACAACTTTCGACAATTGATAGCGTCGCCTGATGAACGCCCTGTAATTATCCATGCAAAGCCAAGCCACCCTTATGCCAGTCTGTCGACCCCTGAGCGGCTTCAGTCACTGGCACAGAAAGATCCGCTGTCAGCAACGAAAAAGAATGGCTCAGCAGCGTCGTTGGATACGGATTATGTTGCGCAGAATGGGAAGATACTGGACGCGGCGATTGAAAGAGATTCCGTGGCTGGAAAACGGATGAACGATGCAATGAAATTCTTTACCGAGTGGGAGGAAAAGGCCAAGCAGATTATCGAGGATGAGATTTCCAAGCTCCGTCTGACATAAGACCTCAGGGTAGGAAGCTGTGGATGTGTATGTTAACGTTGAACTCTACCATTCCTTTCACGTTTGTTGAGAGCAACAACATCGTGCCTTGCTCGTCTGACTTATCAATCTTTCTGTTATTGATAATAACTGAGTATTTATTGGTAATGACTGAATATACACTAGTAAGCATCATCAGTGCGTCTTTCTAGAATCTATGAATTCCTAAACCTCTGCCCCTCTTGATGTCACAGAGTCCTCGTCGTACACGACTACGCGGATGTAGTCAAGCAAGAAAACAGTAGGCCCCGCTAACTTCGTCCTCCCCCGGAGAGCGTGCACACCATTCACCGTAGGTTCGTTCGGTATCCTAGAAACAACTCGTCGGAGTGTGGGAATCTTGAGGCCACTTATCTCCTTGAAGTCAAAGCAATAATGTGACGCCGGTGCCTTGAATGCGGTTGGCGCGTAGTCTACTCTGCGTAGCATCAAGTCTTCGTCGAAGTAGAAGAGTTGGATCTTGCTATGCGCCAAGTGATTGTCCGGGAAAGTGACCTCGAGAACGCGCCATGTCTCATCATTCTCCTCATGTGAGTCAATTTCTCGGTAATAAAAACCAGGCTCAAGGAGGTGGAATGGAAAGGTCAAGTAGTTATGCAAGGCGTAGCCAGCGAAACATGCGAGGTCTAGATCATCCCATGGCGTTGTCCGGGTGTGGTCGAGAAAATTCGCATAGGGATTGTCTCTCGAGGCTAGCACAGTGCCATCTCGACGCTCGATCCATGCGCGATTAAGAGTATAGATCCATTTATCATCTTGACTTCCAGATCCAAGCCCTTGAAACACAACTTTGGTGTCTCGGACATTGAGGTGGCATGTAGGTTGAAGACGCCCCGGATACCCTTTCCATTCAAGCGCTGACCCGGTGAGATTGAGGGACACGTCGATGTGACTGACCTTGTTCCAGCGGTCTATTCCACCATGAGCCTGAATAACTAAAGCCAATAGGTCCAGACTTTCATCAATTGTTAGCGTTGAGATGATCCTCGACATTTAGGTTTTCTCACCTTCCCCCTGTCGGCGTTTCGCCATTGCCAGAGCTTGACATCGTTATGACTTTGGAAACAAATCTATCAGAACGCCAAATAATGCAACAAATTCTAACAAGAGCGAAGAAAATTACACGAAGGTGACATCAAATTCTTTAATCAGCCCCCACTATGAGCATTATAACATCCATCGGAACTAATTTATCATCTTACTTCATCATGGTGGTGAGACTGATATATTAATAATGCTTTTCGTAGATAGTGCCCACCATAAGACGGCTTGTTTACGTACTACATCTGTTTATATTTGCGCAGATAATCGACGTGATTTATAATGTCTCCGGTGACTAATTGTTGCATGCCAAGGTCAAAGGAATTCTTTCCAATGCATAGCACTGCCAGCTTCGTTAACTCATTGAAGTATGTGTCTAAAATTGTAGTAATGGCCGATACTGATCTAATCTATCCTCCGCCTCCAATGATCTAAACCTTATACTCCGTCTCTCCGCCATTAACCTCAACCTCCGCTCGACCATTGACCTCAACCTTCTCTTGGCCATTAATTTCAACATTCTCTTCACCATTCATTGCGATCTTCTGTTTGCCATTTACTACACCATTAATGTCAACCCTCCTCTTACCGTTTAATTCAACCTTGCAATGTGTTTCTTTGACTTCCTCCACCGTTGTTTTCCACTCTCTTCTCCGTTCCTCGTCTATACCACGGATAAGAACGGCCCGATATCGGATTTGTCCTTCCCTTAGCTGTTGCATAGCAGTTTCGATGCCGCATGCGTCAAGTGGGAACGTCATAATGGTCGGTTTTATGTTTTTGCGAGCAGCAAAGTCCAGCAAGGTGCGAATGCTGTGTCTCGAGGCCACTAACGAGCCCTGGATCTTGACACCTTTCCATACTAAATCAAGAAGGGGGATCGGTACAGGTTCAAACGCTACTGTCAGCGGGTAAATACTGCCGTGAGTGTCCATCAGAGGGATGAGACTATTCTAGAAGTTAGTGCTGTAGATCGAATGATAAGTACGTGATGTTACCTCAGATAGTCGACAGAAGCGCTGCCACACAATAGTAAGTGCTTCAGGGGTTTGAAATCCACGGGAGGCTTGTCACCACATCGGAAGACGTGGTATTCGCTGGCGCCGTAGTCCATAGCCTCCAGGCGCTTGGCTTCCGAGCTGGATAGTACTACAACTTCGCATCCCATGGCAGCAGCAAGCTTGATAGCGAGGTGTCCAAGTCCCCCGATCCCCATGACCCCAACTCTCTGGGTTGGCAGCACGCCATATTCGCTCAAGACAGTCCACACGGTAGCTCCAGCGCACATCAGTGGAGCCGCGTACACAGACTTATAGCCGTCCGGAATCTTGTACACGCACTTTGCGTCCCAGACTGCGTTGTGGCTAAAGGTCCCGTTGTCGAGGTCGTGAAAGCCGTACTGTTTCTGGTTCCTGCAGTACTGGTCCCATCCTGTACATCATTCAACATTGAGTCGACCGGGTGATTGTAGTAGAAGAGAGGTCATACCTGTGGCGCAATTATCGCAAGCTCCGCATATCTCATGGGTGTATCCAAAGCCGACACGATCGCCAAGCTGGACCGATTGCACACAACTGCCAACTTGGCGAACAATGCCTATTCCTTCGTGACCTAACACCTGACCGCACTTGAGGTAATGCTCGTCGGTACCACAAAGTCCGGAATGCGTGGTCTCGATGAAGACTTCGTGATCTTCGAGGACTCGAGTGACTTTATCTTGGGAGATCTTACCCTCTGGCCCTCCGCGAAAGACAGTGTATGTGACCTCCATTGTGAAATTTGTAACAATTTTTGACCTTGGTCTATCTCGGGGCCGATCGTTACTGGCAAATGGCTTGATATTTATATTCCTCAATACTACATCCTTGCTCTGCACTAGTGGGGACATCCTCGCGAACGAAGAAGGTTGCACATGGATTACCTGCTTCCAAAATGGCCTGTCGAGGCTACGATCTGTATCAAAGTGGAGAGCTGAGTAGATGGATAGGTCGGCAGCTCAGACTAGAGGAGCAATGAAGTTAGTCTGGTGATTTATGTCGACGACAGGAGATGATTCGTGGCGTGTCAGCAAGGTTCGGAGGCATCGCGATACCCAGGGAATCCCGGAATGAGGCTCCAAGTTGCCCAATGCAAGGTCATCCAAAGCTTGGGGCTGACACAAGGGTCCACATGCGGCCGGATTGGGGCAGAAGCAGTCTGTTCTTAGCCCACGGCCTCTGATGGCTCCACGCAACGTAAAGTTCTCGAACGATCAAGGTAACATGACAAGATACGCGTGCTTCATCTCATTGGATGCCGTGTGCTATTTTGGCCCCTTTTATTGCTTCCATCCCAGCCGAGGGATATCAGTCGGATATCCACAAAACAGGGGACTCATGGCGTGCGGCTTGCGCAATCAGCTGAGCGGATGCGTCTCTGCGTCCGCGGCCTCGCCTACGATCCCGTTAACAAGACGCGCGGGTAGATCGGTGGAGCAATTCTGAGAAATGAGTGCGTAGTTTCCCTTAGCTCCCATAACTTATCATACCCCTATTCCCATACCATTGTTGGCTTATTTGATCCAGTTCTGGGATTTCCGTTCCGATTTATGGAGGTCACGCCACCTTAGTTTCGTAACATGTTACCGTGGGAAGAGCGACAGCTAACTCTCCTGCAAGTCGCTGAAATTCATCTTACGGTTCATAGATTGTTATCTAATAGATACTCTGTGTCTCACTTATTACCAAGTTAGTCTCGCTCTTTGAAACGCATGAGATTAACACAATGACATCAGTTTTCTGGTGATGTAGATGTTATCCTAGTACAGGGGGAAATCTCGTTGTTTTCGGCTATGACTGCCCGAGCAGACCCTGGCATGAAAGGGGAACATCGGCGTAGGTCACGATTTTCCTACGTTATTGTAGTTGATTTTAAGTAAGCAATATTTCCTTGACAAAGTTAAACCGATAAGTAAAGAAGATTTTGTTCAATCCAATAGGTGGATTGGGTTACAAAAGAAAACCACATAAGGCCACACCAAAATTGATAGACTGAGAGATGATAATCATCGCCCTCCCCTAGCTTTGTCCCCATTTCTCGACTTTCCGTAAGGCAGCCTACAGCCTCCGAGGACACTTCGACTGATGCTCTACTGCCCGCCTCTTTTTCCAAAGTGAAATTGTTGGGATTGCTATTATGATGACGGCGTTCCATGAGTGGAAATGCCCGATCGTTGTCCCTAAGTTAGTGTTGGGGTTCACTTTTCGCCAATGTCGAAGTGGTGATCTCGAAACTTTCGTGCATTTTATACGCATCTCTCTATGCCAAGTCCTGCTGAATTTATATCATGACTTGATATTTATAAAATCAATTTTATTCTGTTATATCAAATTAGTAGTTAAACCAACTTGGAGATAAATGGTAGTAAGTGAGAGAGCTATACTGTTATGCAATAGCTGCTGAAAAAAAAGGGGAAATTCCCAAACACCAAGAATTCAACAACTTGACACCATACCCAGTATCACAACACATTAGTTGAGGTCAATGGTATGATTGGAGCCTTGAGGTTATCATGGCTACAGCCTTGATGAAACCTCTCATGCTGGGATAACAATGAATTAACCGCTAGGGTTTCCGTTGAAGACAAGTTTGTTAACAGTATCGTCAGGAATATTTGACAGTATTCCGTCCGTGGCAAGCCCTTTAATCCGATTGCAGAGCGCATCTGCTCCTGGAAACCCCTCCATGGCGGCGAGGTAGGCAGCCAACCCGGCTACATGGGGCGAAGCCTGGGATGTCCCGGACTTGACACTCTTTACATAATTGTCAGCTTTGCTTTTCATCTTGCTGCTGGTTGGTATGACTTACAGTCCAATTACCAGGAGATGTAGACAAGACGGACACTCCTGGTGCAAAAACATCTACCCCAGGGCCATAGTTCGAGTATTCCCAGCGAGCATCCGTGGAGTTTGTGGCGCCAACGGTACACACAGTCGGTTCAGAGGCCGGAGACTGGCTAGACGTGTCGAGATTGTTATTTCCCGCTGAAACCGCGAGGAAGATGTTATTGCTAACCAGGGCGGCAGCGGCAGCGTTGAGTGATGCTGATGGCTTATCTCGCAACGACATATTGGCTACGACACCCTTTGGGCAATGGCGCGCTGGGGCATCGGCAAGTACAAATTCAAGACCAGCAATCATGCTAGATGTTGTTCCCATGCCGCCGTTACCAATCACTTTCACGGCATAGAGTGTTGTTTTCTTTGCAACACCATATGTGTTGGAGCCGATGATACCGGCCACATGCGTCCCATGACCTTTCCCATCACGATTCGACGAATCAATGAAATTGGCAAGCCAGCTGGCTCGACCCCCAAAGTCCTAGTAATGTATTAACGACGCTGGTCGGGGAAGCCATTCGAGGCCGGAAGGGTATCGTTGAAGCGCACGGGGAGATCTTACAGGATGTGCAACATCAATTCCACTATCAAGCACATAGGCACAGGTTCCCTCTCCGGCACTACTATCATATGCATAAGTTGAGAAATTAGATTCACGGTGGGAAATTCGCGCAAGCCCCCATTGTACATCAGATTGCTCAACAAAGCCATCCACCGAGACATTAGAGTCTTGCTCAATGTACTCAACCTATTCTACAATCAGAACTGAAGTAACACAAGGAAGATTTCTGCTTTATTTGAAACATTACCTACATCTGGATGGTTGCGAAGGACGTTCAGAGCTTCTGGGGAGAGCTCGCTGGCGAACCCTTTAAAAACATGCTCAAATGTGTGCTCAGGGGCAATTTGAAGAGTATTTATGGCGTAGTTCAGTGAAGTTCGAGATTTTGTGTCTCTCAATTTGATGATGTAGCGATCAGCGATGACATCAGTATCTTCGGTACGGAGGAATAGGGGAGCAGGCTCGGTTCGCAGAGTCTGAATGCCGAGCACTACTTGAATGGTAGCCAGAAGTACACTGAGATACATCTTGGTCGTATTCAGTCCAGGCTATCTGCTCTCTCACTGCACTTCCTCATATATGGTAAAGCAATATTAAAAGCTCACCGGCTGGGTGAAAGGGTATTTATGCTGTGGCCGTGTTGAGAGTCAGCACAGGCTGGGTTTTCATAGGCCGCACTATTCAATATTCGTATAGCGGTAATTTCCCCATGCATGAATTCATTTCGTTGGTCTCACTGCATCTTCCCCCAGTCGATGCGTGGCTGGCGGCGTATAGAAATGTTCAATACTTGCAGGCATAATCAGCGTTGGTATCCACATACACTTGGCTGACCTTTATGCTTATGCCACCCGTTTCTGGCAATTCGAGAATGCTAATGACATGCGAGCTCGTATCTAGAGTTTTCCCAAGCTCGTTTAATGGCGAATTATATGTTGCTTCCCCGAATCGCCAGACCTGAGTACCAAGCTTGAGGGCTTGCAGTAATAGATACACCTTTGACACAACATGTGTTGTTAGATAAATATAGCAATGTCCTAGGCACAAGGAAATATAAAGTGAACAGGTTAATACGAACTCACGCCCCTTAGACTTAGACGAATATCAACCCTCGTTGCACTCTGTATTGATTTACCTATCATTCTGGCGAAGCAGTGGAATCTAGGTCAAAAAACCCGGAGTGAAAGCATATGTGAAATGACGTTTATATCTCGAAATCATACAAGTCTGTGATGTTACGGAGGTGTGTTTCACCTGTAGCATTTCCGAGAATTGACTTTGCGGAGTTAAGCTCGGCCAGGAGATCGCTAGAATGTCCAACAGGCAGGGTACGTTGATAGCTAAGTAATTTAGCTCCCTGTGCATCACAAGGCATTTTCAAAGGCACAAACATAAACCGCTCGATGGTTTAAAATTATGGATTAGTCGACATCTTAACAAGGAAAACATCTGATAAATACGCTGTAGATGTCGGGGAGCTGGATATAGTAAATGATGCGAGAAATGTTAAAAACTGGGCGTCAACCATTGAACCATCGATGAATTGTTTGGCTAAAATGCCTTTAAACTCAGGTCTTCAAGGAAGCCCATGGTGAATATTGTATTTCTCAGTACTATTACAGTAGAAAGGAAGAGACCCTAATTATTTATAATGTGCTTCTAAAAGCAAATGTAGATTGTCTGTAGCCGCCACTATTGCCCACAAGGCCTGTTACTATCATCAAGCCAAGTGAAACTTTAAACAGATCCCATGAATTTTAAACAAAGTCCAGAGACCTTCTTCTTCATTGTTTCTTTTCATCGTCTTGATGTTGCCCTGAATTTGAGCTTGTGGCCTCCTCATAAGCTGGTGGTGGATCATCATGTGCTTGATAGGCAGGAGGCGCATCGTTCTCAGGACTATATTGCATTCCATCTGGATTGGCAGCGCGATCTATTTCTTCCCGTGTTGGTTGGTTTTCGTCCTGGCTTTGGTCGCCGTTGTTGCTACAACCATCGCTGCGTCGACAGATCGACACCTTAGGCCCTCCAAATGTCTTGGGCTTGGCAGGTGCCTTGGTTGGTTTGCCAGCTTCGTTTGGTTTTCCAGCGGTCTTAGACTTTGCCTTAGACTTAACAGGTGCTTTGGACTTGCCGGCGGTCTTGGACTTGCCAGGTGCCTTCGGTTTACCAGGTGCCTTCGTTTTTCCAGGTGCCTTCAGTTTACCAGATACCTTCAGTTTGCCAGGTGCCTTAGGCTTACCAGCTGCTTTTGGTTTTCCAGCTCCCTTGGGCTTGCCAGCTGCTTTGGGCTTGCCGGGGGTCTTAGGCTTACCAGGTGTCTTCGGTTTACCAGGTCCCTTTATTTTGCCAGCGGTCTTAGGCTTACCAGCTGCTTTAGGCTTACCAGGTACCTTCGGTTTGCCAGGTGCCTTCGGTTTGCCAGGTGCCTTTGTTTTGCCAGGTGCCTTAGGCGGCTTGCCAGCTGTTTTGGGTTTTCCAGCTCCCTTAGGTTTACCAGCGGTCTTAGGCTTCACAGCTGCTTTGGGCTTGCCAGCTGCTTTGGGTTTTCCAGCTCCCTTGGGTTTGCCAGCGGTCTTGGGCTTCGCAGCTGCCTTGGGCTTGCTAACAGTCTTAGGTTTGCCAGCTACCTTGGGCTTGCCAGCGGTCTTAGGCTTTGCCTTAGACTTAACAGGTGCTTTGGGCTTGCCGGCGGTCTTAGGCTTCGCAGCTGCCTTGGATTTTGGGGCGGTATTTGATTTGACAATTGATTTGGTGCCTCTCTTGGCTAGGAAGGCATATTCGTCATCGTTTCGCAGGGCAACATATGCATCCCTAACTTGGGCTCTAATATCTGGCTGATTGACTCGAGCTTGTAGAAGCACAGCGCCATCATTGTCCTCATCCAAAGATAACGACAGAACAGGGGTAGCGCCCAGAGCCCAAAGTGTTGCAGCAGACCCGCAGAGTAACTGCCGTAGGAAACGCATCATGAAGTGCCCAAGATGATGAAATTGAAACGGTTCAGTTATAACGAGGATGAAAATACAGAACCAAGAAAGAAGATTGAAGAAAGAAAAATAAGAAAGAAAAATCTCAATTGACTTTGAATCTTGAAAAAGGTTTTGCTATGATGAAAGGAGAATGAGGTTCTCTTCATTCGGGAGGGACAAAGAGGGACGAGCAAGATTTATATTGTACAACTTAGCTTCGTTTATCAAAGTTCTAGTTACCTCTTACTTCACAGCCATGGCTAGTAATACATAATCAATCTAATTATATTCTGCAGATCAGATAGATTCTCGCCTTCCTGTAAATCGTCCCTGTTCCGCTTTTCCAAAATGAGAGCCAGTTCTTTAGTCGTGCCGTGGTGTACCAAATCTGCAGTTATGGTGCGAGCTCGACACGGAGAACCCCCAGAAATAGCACACTTGTATTACCAACAACCTACAGAATTCATAATGGAGTGGATTTTGATTCTAGTTATAGACCCTAGCACAGTAAGATCGTGCCTTTACTAATCCGGCCAACAGCAAGTCCGACCAACAGCCAAGCTTTTGAGACGACCAACATGTCCCCTTAGATGCACGACTCATTCCCTAGCCTATTATTAATCCCTAAGATCTGGTATCTGACGTAAGGTTGTAGCAGGGAGTAGAAATATTACTAACCTCCAATACACGGGTCTTGCTCGATGCTGTCACAAACTCACACTGATCTAGCCACCTTATTGAGAACACGTAGCAATCAAATGAAGTAAACAAACAAGAAAATGATTTTCAACTAGAAGCATCTAAGTTTCCTTCTGCCTAATAGTAGTAACTAGCGAGAGAATATAATCTAAGAGCGCGAGGTTGGGATGTGCTCAGGCTGGCTGGTTGGCTCTTTCATCGGCACAATTGTTGTGCGGTGGCTGGCGGACAGGGGTACATTTTTCGTTGTGTTGGTTGCATGACAGACAAACTTCCACCCCTCATCGTCAATATCTTGAATAAAAATCGCGCAGACAGCAACCGAAACGAGGTATCACCAAGCAAAATGAGCAATGCTTTGGAGCAGACTTCTTATACTGAAGCATTCGTCTCTCCACAGTGGCATCCTGGAGGCAAGTCTTTCTGGTACCGCCGCAGGATCAACGATGGGTTTGAATTCATTCTAGTTGATATTATCCGACGAACGATTCATCCAGCTTTTGACCACGAGCAGCTAGCCAAAGAGCTAGGGAAGCATGCCTCGGTTAAAATCGACCAGAGATATCTGCCTTTTAGTTGGATTGAAATTGAAGATGGCTTCGTCCGTTTCCGTTTCAAAACTCGGATCTGGCAATATGATCCCAGCAATCATCAGTTATCCGCGTGGGATGGCGTTTTCACGCACGGCAATCCAGTTCTGACAAGCATACACGGGTCTTTACGTGATCAATCCTACCCGCCTGACAGAATCGATGTCAGATTCACCAATAACACCAGGTCGCCACTGGAAATGTACTCAACCAGCCAAAATGGTCCACCGGTATTGCGAACCTCCATAAGGCAAGGTGAAATGAGTGTTAGAAGAGTCGATGTCGGCTCTACTTGGATATTCGTTGGACTTAGGAGGCTCAAAGGCATCTACCACGTGCCAGATGTTGTAGCTGATACAGTTGTTCTCGAGGAGACCAACGTGGATGAGTACATTGGTTCGGTGAAGGCTGTTCTTCCACCAGGGTGGGAAGAGCGAGTCACGCAAGCGGATAAAATGTTCTATATCAACCATAAATCGAAGTCCACTACCTGGTATCCTCCGGTCGGTAGTCTCCTCAAGGACCCCGGGGGTGTCCAGCAAACTTTACATGATCCTAAGGTCGACAAACACAGCGATACTGATGTCGTCGACTTCAAGGTTACCGTTGATAAATACAATGTATGGCTGGAGACTACCTCAAAACACAAACACCAGCTATCGACAAATGGCACTGAGGACCAACCTTACAATAAAAACAGCATATTCCACTCGCATAAGAAAGACCTTATTGTGGCTTGGCAATCGACCGTATTTCCATGGAATAGCTTATACAACATAAAGTATACTCCCGATACTCAGATTCGACCTGAGCTCCTTAACGAATCTATTCGTTTAGCTGGTGATTTGATACAAGTGGAGCGCCCCCGGCTTTTTGACATTGCCAATAAATGCGAGGTACCGACGGTTGACACGTTATTCTCGAATCCTCGCTGCATTTACAACATAGGTTGGAATGAGAGCGGAGATGAATACTATTTTCTCTTCATCCAACGTGGGCACCAATGCGTTCGGGTGATCGGGATTGACCGTGTTGGGTCTACACGCATAATCATCGAAGAGACTAGTCAAACCTTCATTGATGGATTCAAATTGTACTATCACCGTATATCCCATTCCGATAAGATGCTTTGGGCCAGTGAAAGGGATGGGTACAATCATCTTTATTTATTCGATTTGAAGACGGGACAGCTTATATCTCAGATTACCAGAGGGCCCTGGAATGTTCGATCAGTTGAATTTATCAACGAAGAAAGCGAGGAAATTTGGGCCTCAGCATATGGTTATTGGAAAGGCCAGGACCCATATCATCTTCACCTTATATATGTGAGGTTTGATGGGTGCGATTGCAAGTCATTAACAAAAGGAGATGGAAACCACCGTTGGAGTTATCCTTGGTCAAGAGGCAGTCAACATTACTTTGTTGATACATGGTCACGCGTTGACCTTCCTCCTCAAACTGTTGTTCGGAGTTTTGACTCGCCGGATTTCGAGCTCGATATACAAAGACCTACGGCTCAGCACTTACTGACACTCGGATGGGACCCAGTGGAGAGGTTTGTGGCGCCCGGTCGTGACGGTAAAACTCCGATATATGGGGTAATCGTTCGTCCGCCAAATTTTGAGGATGGGAAGACGTTCCCAGTTCTAGAGTGTATTTATTCCGGACCTCAAACATTTTCGGTGGCCAAAGACTTTGGCTTTCTTCATCACATGCGCGGATTAGCAGAAGAGGGATACGTTGTGGTCCAGATTGACGGTATGGGGACAAACTGGCGATCCAAAGCTTTTCATGATGTATGCCACAAGAATTTAAAGGACGCCGGGTTCCCAGATCGGATATTATGGATTCAAGAAGCAGCGATAACAAGGCCATGGATGGACCTATCCCGAGTCGCCATTATAGGTAGTTCTGCGGGAGGGCAAAATGCGGTCTCAGCCCTACTCCATTACGGTGATTTCTATAAGGTTGCGGTGGCATCATCAGGTTGTCACGACAATCGCCTCAACCAAATTACCTGGGGTGAACAGTGGATGGGATATCCAGTTGATGAATCTTACATCGACAACTCCAACATTACACATGCGGCAAAGCTCCGTAACGACGCAAAGCTTTTACTGATCGCGGGTGGTTTGGATGATGTTGTCAATCCTGCATCGACAATGAAGCTTGTAACAGAGCTGAACAAACAAGGGAAAGACTACGATTTTTTCTTCATTCCGGAGGGCGACCATAAGTGTGCAGATAATGGCGTTGGATACAAACGCCTAGTTAGGTTCTTGCGCGAGCACCTGAATCCGTGAATGGAGAAAAGATCTGGTTTAACTGTAGAATTCAAGATCGACCATTCTTGAAACAAATACTTTGCAGTTTTATAGTTCTGAAAATATCCTTCTCCTGCTCATGAGTCCTAAAATGACCTGGTCTATGATTAAGTTTAGGATTAGAAGGCTAAAACCTTACAAGATGCTTAAGAATGTTTCTATGATAATTTAAAATGGTTCAATATGAAATCTGATCGGCAGCATTGGTCATCAGAATGCAACCCTGTACTTTTGAATTGAGTAAGGTTATGTAGTGAAGACCATAGCGAAATCGATGGGTTTCGATCGTCATCTATGTGGCCTTCACAATTTGCTATTCAATGACCTCGAATGCGTATTGGCGCCTGCATACATGTGTAGACCCTTGTTACTGCCTCGGTCATCACCGATGATGGAGCCTTTTCCATAGCCGTTGCAGGATGAGAAGGAAACGAAAAGAATAAGTAGTACTCGTGTATGAGAGGGTTCTTCTGAGACTGCTCTACAGTACACTTAAGCCATATCTCTGCTGGTCGCCATCATCCTTTGCCAGCATACCGACCTGTCTGTCATCTACCGTGTCAGTACCAGCAAGATTGTCTCCATTCCAGTCGTTGATTCCCTCAACAGGCCCACGTCTAGCAATCTCCACCGGGTCGTATCCGGGGCATAGACTATTCCCCTCAATCCTTAGCCGGCGATATGTCCCCAAAACAGTAGCGAAGAAAGGAATGAGCAATATGACCAACACCAGCGGATGGTAGACGTAAATCGGACCAGAAGTCGTAGTTGTTATGGTAACGTTCGCCGCACCAGGAACGCGTGTAAACGCCATCAATGTAGCAGTATCGAAGATAGCCTCTATACGATCGCCTACATCTTTATCCGAGGAGTTCCCTTTAGGCGAAATTAACAGTGTGCCAATTGCACCGTTGTAGAGGGTATCCGTCATATCTCCGGTTCCAGACTTAGCGGTGAAATAGTATGGGCTTCTGTCAACTGATTCTGTATATATCCGCTTGATGGGAGAGAGAGAGGAGTCATATGGTCCCTCAGAGGTTGCTTCGGTATAAGACCCTGGTATTATGGTGGGAGTTCCGGTGCCGGTCTGTGTGATGCTCAAACTGCCGCATGTAAGGAGACAGCTACAGGGTCTGCTTAGCCATGGACCTTGCATTAGAACTAGTCATTTGCCCCGCTCTTGTATGCATTCGACCTACTTTCCAGTTTGCAAACTCGGTTGGCGTCCAATTGCAAGATCTTAAAGTCTGAAGATATGAGTCAACCAACAGATAAGGAAACAGATTTGCCAAGAGCTTGGCGTTCATTTGAAATTTCGTTTAGAATTCCACCTTCCCTTCTTGATTGGTAGCGCTGGAAGTTTTCGCTTACATAGAGCTCCATCGCAGCTCACCCCAGGAACTGATTTCCTTGTCTTCCTCATCGAAATGCTTTCTAGGTCCTTCGTCTAGCCATGAAGAACTCACTACTGTTCTTGATTGCGCTGTTTGCCCACCGGGGGCGATGCGGTCCCAAGCCCATGCTTCAATGGGACCCCGAAACAGCAAAAGACTGCGTCGAGTGGTACGACAACGCTGGTGATGAGTCATGCGAGTATGTCAGAGACTACTTCAGTATCACTCCCGAACAGTTCTTTGAATGGAATCCGTCGGTCGGGCTCGATTGCGGGAGGTGGGAATACCAATCATATTGTATCGTTACGCAGAGGCGCCTGGAAACGGAACCACCGAAGCACACGCTGACAACGGCTACTTCGACCTCGAAGAATATCCCGGATACAACGAGCTCAACGTCCACCGCATTGCTTCCGTCCCCGACCTCGTGGGAAGCGAGAGGATGCTACGATGACAACAACAGTGAATTGCCAGTGCTAGAGTTTAAAGTCAGCTCAGATGGAGGGGACACTGACCTGACTATCTCTAAATGCGAGGACTCCTGCTACCGCCGTGATTTCAAATTTGCTGGCGTCCGGGAGGGCAATCAGTGCTGGTGCAGTAGCTTCGTGGGTGGCGAATGGACGAAAAACCAAGCCGATTGTAACATACCGTGCTCTGGCGACAGCAACACCATTTGCGGCGGAAAGCAACTTCTGAATGTCTTCGAGGCCCTTGAAAACAACGTAAGCCTCACTGGGACGATTACGACCGGAGCAACACAGACCGTCACTAGCCAAGCCAATCAAAGCCAGACAAGTCAAAGCCAGACAAGTCCTAGCCAGTCTCTTGCTAGCCAAACTATGGATTCGGGCGCCAGGAGGAATCTAGGATTGCTATTTTTCTAGCCAAATATTGTCAATTTCCGACCCCATTTCGCAAGTTCTATCGTTTCCTGCCATATAATACTTAATATGGGTCACCATTCATCATAATCGGTGCAAACAGGTGTTGTCAGACATCATGCATGATGCTGCTTTCCCTGAACTCAACGCTGTCGGTGGTTTCCTCCTCACAGGCTTGCGTACCAGATGTACATTGACCGTCCCATTGCACGGTCAGCTGCTTCAACGCGATCCCCGAAGTCCTAGGCCGCCTCCTCTTCCCGTGACTTTCTAGCGCCTTCACGTTTTGTATTGACCAATTCCTACCAATTGGCTATTTATGTCCGCGATACAGTATATAGCATTTGCAGCTTTGTCTCTGTGGATACATGCATAATTTCCAATATAGATTTGTTCTAAAATTTCTATTTCCTCCTTGTTTGATTCTGGATCTCGCCTCTAGTTGGCGCTGGCAGTGTTCGATTACATTATCGAGTTTATTAGATAATACTAAGCCGTCTCTCATTTTAAGCATCCAAGAAGTTGAATAATGAGCGGACTCGGAATCTAAGCCTCACGGACTTCGGGCTCGAAAGAATTGCGCCCGTGGTACCCGGGTCAAGTTTCATTATGATAGATGTATCTCACCATGCATCTGAGTCACTTGTCGTGATAAATCTTCTACTGCATGAGGACCAATAAGAATCACCTAAACATCCAAGATTCATGAGATGGCTTAGTTTCAACAGATTTTTCCCCCAAGAGGAATACGTATGGGATGACCCCCGCCCTGAATCAAGCGAGCCTGGAGTTTCGTCAAGCTAAAATTGAAAGCTGGCGACTAATCTCCCAACTCTCAATCATCTCTAAACTAGGTAATATAGCCTCAAGGGTCCCGATCCGCTCAAGAACGCTTGCTCGACTAATTGGCCCCTTGGCTGATTTCGCTTCGACACTTGTCTCATACTTGAATATAATAGGAAATAGCTATCGATAGCCTTCAGTGGCTCAAGTGTAAGCTCGCTCATCGGGACGCCAGCTCTTCACATTTTACTAAACATCGCCTAGAGTGTCATGATGGGCAGGAAAATAATAGTACGACAAATGCCGATTGAAGTTGTGGCGCCTTAAGAGCCTAGAATCATTAATGTCTGGTGTCGTCAATCGGAGCTTGGCGGGTCCGAGACCGGCCAGCAGGGACTCACGTGATAGTGTTATCTATGTTATCAGAGCTAACTTTCTATCTTGGCTTAGGTCAGCACTAGGCTCACCTTCAATTGGGTGTCTTGAGTTTGTTGGTCGTTACAGGAGAGGAAAATATGTTGAGCTGGCCTGGAAACCGAGCTCAAATCAACGATGTACAAAAGCCTGGAGTCGAGTTTTTTTTTTTTTTTTTCAACATCAACAGCCTATCATTGACAGCCTTTAGTACATACATAAACCAGAGAATCCACTCATGATAATAGTTACGGCCTAACCTAGGTTCATCAAGTACACCTTCCACATGCTCTGTTTGGAAAAGATACCAATTTTATCGTAACATCCTTTGGAAAACCAATCTTGAGTGGATGCTTGAACTCTTGGGGTCTCTTCGTATAAACATAAATACGAGGATTTGCCATTTATACACATCTAACATAAAGTTCATGATTTAGATCGGTAGGTTAAAATTATCTAAATAGTCAGGTATAGGGTAATCGCTTGTAGCTGACGGCAACGCGAAGCAATTTTAGGCATGTCACGGCACAGTCAGACCCCTGCTTTGCCCCTTATGCGCATTTTCCTAAACCCGAGCTGAACTTTAGCTGAAAGCCTTGGAACCGATATGGGACTTATTTCTCGCGGGGACGCTGAGCAAGTGGAACTTTGGAGTCTCAATTGGCTAGATAGTAGGGTTGCGTTCGGCGTTCAACGTTGGTGATATGACTGCAGGACGCATCACCAATAGAAAAATCCCCTGGCGGCCATGCCGATTACCCAGGTCCAGGTCCCAGTCACTCTGATATCATTTAGTAAGACAGGTTGGGGATCCGACCAGAGCATGGGGATAAGTCATCTCAATTAGCGCCAACAATGCTGATCGCCCATCCTCCTGTCTAACAGCCTGCCTTGTGGAGAAATGGTTGGCAGATGCCTCCCCCTGTTCCTCCAGGCACTAGTTAAGCAGTTGCTCAATGAGGTCCCTACGCCGGGATCCTGCTGGGGGCTATCAACTTGTTTGGGGAGGGTGTGGTGGGGAAGATACCAAGGGGCCACAGCCAACCTGCTGGCTGGTGCCTGTCCCTGGTCGTTGCGTTATCTCGGATCTGCATCAATAAGAACATCTCTGTCCCATCCCTCTTGTCTCTCCCTTTAATGCAAGCGTGAGCCCGTTCATCCCACCTCCGAGGCTGCTGACGATCAACTGTGAATGCTGAAGTAATCGATTCATGTTTGCGACTGACTGTTCATCCATGCATGGCACAACCAATTGATGACAGTTTTGAAGCATGTGACTTGAAGCCGCTGGTATATTCGATGAATCAACATGGAGTTCCTCAAAGGCCGCTCCACTCCGTCCGGCACACGCAAAACGACCGGCAAAAAGAACGATGCACGATTCTCCAACGAAGATGACAGACCCAATGAAAGACGAAGGACGGATAGCCGTCCAGTTTCGTCGGCAATTGACGCTGCGACGTGAGTAGCGCATCTGCTTTTCTCCCCTCACCGCCATGGCCTTCGCCCTTATCATATCGACAGTTCGCCCCAGGTGGATGGCAAACACGATATGGCAGATCATTACTGCTTGGGACAAAAGAAGCAATTGCTAACGGGGGCTCTACAGGATGTTACAGTCGCTATCATGGCTCCGTGTCGGTGGTGCCCCTCGGTCTGAAGCACGAACACGCATGATCGAGGATGCAAGGGACCACGAGCATCACCACATCGAGCCCCAGGCCCCTTCACAACAATACTCGCAGTCAAGGGCCCCCGCTCGGCCCAAGGTTTCCATCCCCATCGAGTACCGATATCACAACGCTCCTCCCACAGGCGGTCAGTTTGCGATACCCACCCACAACACGCCCAATATCGCATGGCCTCTTGCCGAACTCGAGGTGGACAAAGAAACGTTTGCATTCGATGACATCCAACATGACACACAATCACCGCAGAACAGCAGTAATCGTGGCTCCATATCACCCGTCTCTGCGTACTCGGCGCGCCCAGGGAGGAATCCATCAGTCGGGTCTAATGTCAGCCCCATCAGCCCAATAGAACCAAATCTCTACCCGCCGCCGGCGAAACCTCTGCCGTCTATTCCTCTTGCGCCGTCTAGATCCCATTCGAGCCGGCAGGTTGCGCCTTCAATAATAGCGCCTTCCATCATGGAGTCAGAGGTGTCTTCACTATCCTCAACTACCTATTCCTCACCAACCTTACCAACCGACCGGACATCACTCTCACCATCGCGCCCGGCAGCCATGTTCTCTCATAGAGCTCCTTCAAACCCACCAACTAGCCCCAGAAAGGTACCCGAAGTCAATATAGAAGTAATATTCTGGAAAGAGCTTGGAATAGTAGGGAAGCGAAAGGGGCTGTGCAAGGTGAAGGCCATGGACGTCTCAATAAGCGGAGGAGTCGTCGCCATTAAACACGCCAATTACAGCCTCCAATTTTGGAACATCGCGAGCGGCGCTCTCCAAACCACAATCGACGTCCCAACGTATATTGACGCTGGGAAGCGAGCCAGAGATACTTACGAGGTGGGCCACATGCTCATCTCTGACACGGCGAAACTGGCAGCCATCATAACAAACTTTGGGCGGACGCTTGAGATCTGGAACTGGGCCAAGAAGAAGAAGGTTCAGACGATCGACGACCAGGTCGATCGGTGGGCGGCAGACCGGTTCGAGTCATACAGTTCCACGTGGAATCCGCTCGCCGTCTACAAGGCCAGGCCCTGCGTCATTGACGTGTATACGGCCGCCCCGAGCAAGAAGCCCTATGCTAAAGTCCGCATCATCGATCTACGAAAGGCGGAGTTCCCGTATGTGCCTCAGCAGCTCGAGCTAGCCATCGTGTCGAGCTCTCACCTGCTTGTGGCCGCCATAGGTCCCAAGAGCGCGAAGGTCGGGCAGCCGCCGCCAGACCGGGAGATCATGCTCGTCGCGTGGGATATTTCCGATTACAGGGAGGTGTCTCATATCCCGCGGCATTTCGTCAGACCTCTACACCACGCGGAGATTGATTTGGCAGTGCCCACTATCCTCGTTGGACATGAGAACACAGTCATTTCCGTCTGGGTCCCTCCAAGCCACTCTGTTTACAGAGAAGCACACCCTCGCACAGGACTGCCCGAGTGGAAACTGTCTAGTGTGGTTGGCTCGACACGTCATGTGCTTGTATGGGATTTGTCTGGCAACATTACAAATGTCTATCAAGTACCCAATACAGTGACATGCGTCAGTGGCGACTGCCGATTTGTGGCATACAGCTTGATAGCATACGGCCAGACCAGAATAGTTATATCGGACGCGAGATCGGGGACCGAAGTGCAATCCATCCAAGAAATAATCAGTGGAAGAGTTGTCACGGAGCTGGCATTCTCTCGTGATTCGAAGTTATTGATGGTGGGAGATGCGGATGGTAACACAAATGTGTTTGAGGTTGATATCAAGGTCTCGAGCTGGAGATTTTAGAGTACAGCAGGCACTGTATTTATGTCTAACGAACTATATCAAATCATGAATTATGTTTCTGAAACAAAACGATGTGTATTTGAACTCAATGATTAGAGGCGAGAATCTTAAACTCTGGAATTTGAGAATTGTATTGCGAGTTCTGGGATGAGATTGTAAACCCCCTCTTCTCCTTATTCCACTCATGAGTACATAGCAGAAGCATTTGGAAAACAGGCTTGTTTCAAACCTATCGATAGGACTTGATGTCAATGATCTGACCATGCCACTTGCCAGTACTAATCTCGTTTGCTATCATACTTTTGGCCTGTATTCTGCACCACTTCGCTCACTCTCTGCATTTAATGCTATCAAACCCATTATTTGTACGACAACACAGCCATAACACTTGGAGGTTTGCTACAGATGCTTTCCTGTTCAGCAGTACGCATACTGGAAGATAGCACTACCACTTCACCCTTTTGCTCATCGGCCTTTTCAGCCGTCGGCTTTTTGCTGTCCTCTACCCACTTCTTTATAGCCATAACCTCAGAGCAGAGCTCACGTTCGTCAGGAGCATTCCCTGTCCCAGCCCACCTTGTTTTCTTGAGTTGATCGTGGATCTCGTCACCAGTGTCATGGTCATAAAGTTCATGCAAACGCATGTGCTCTTGATCCTTAGGGTCGGCAAAGTTTTCATCGTATTTGCCATAAACTAGCACAGCGGCGAGTTTACCGGCCTTTTTGGCCTCTCGAGGAACGTAGACGCTGATCTTCTGGTTGGCTTTGACCAAATAGATATCCGTTCCGAGATATTCCCATTCTGTCTTGGTAGCATCGAACTCGAACCCTGTCTTGTTGATTCCCTCCTCCTTCTGTTGAGGTGGCGTTTCGTCTCCAATTGTCACTTCAACCTTAGTCCCCGGATCCACGAAAGCAGGAAGGATTAAAAGGTGTGTATCATGTGAGAACTCGGCTACCTTTACCCTCTCGCCTTCTTCGCCTTCCTCAGGGTACTGGATGTCGAGAGACCCATGACTCTGCGGCGTGAATATACCGTTGCTGCAGTTGACATTGACCAAGAAGTTGGATATGTTGTCAAACAGATGATTCCACATTACGTAGATGGCCCTCATGTGGGCATTGTTGGCATCGTCTCTGTCATTGTCGCGTCGTTTGAGTAGCTCTTCTTCTGGTGTCTCATCGAGATATCGAACCAGACTGTGCACTCCATCATGCATCGGGTCTGCTGTTATCTTCTCATCGACGCGAAGGAGCCATGCTTTTCGCAGAATCTTCATCAGGTTTACGGCTGGAGAGTGGTCCTTGAAGGTGACCCCGATGAAGGGTGTGCGGTATCCCCTTCGGACATGCAGGTGAAGCAAGTCGGGTTCTGACATGGTCACAAACAAGTCGTCGGCAGTTTGGGGAGAGAAGATTTGCTTGTTTGTGTTTCTGAGAAAAGAAATAAGCGAGAAAGAACGTTGGTGATGTCACGCTAAAATTCTTGGAAGGAAGCGCTATAAATATAGGGCAGCTGTTGACTCAAAATTGCGCCCTTGTTGGTTGTTGGTGGGTGTGATTCTCAACGCCAACGAGTGTTAGGGCTGACTCACGAGCCTTACCGACAGACACGAGGCATTCTAAGCTGATGGCGTGAAACGGCCCAACTTAGGATTATTTGGCGAGATGTGAAAACACCATCTACGCCTCACCCCTCCCTTTATGTCTTGGTGGGTCTTCATCAAACATATTGGCAGTAAGAGGTTTCTTATCGAAAGCAAAGAAAATAGAGCAAGCATCGTTACAATGGGTGAGTAGCCTGGGCTGAATTTTGTCAGTATGCAATAATTGGTCGTTGGAGCAGATTGCCCCTATCCCCGATGAGCCTCGAGAGAGCCATGCCTTAAGCCAATACCTCCAGTTGCTTTATCCCAATTAGCATCTTTGATTTGTTCAGTTGATAGCTGGGATAGCGGCTCTACTTGCAAGCATGTAATTTTTGGCCCCTAAGCGGGAGTTTTCAATTAGGATCTTCAATCATCGTTAATTGTGGAAATTTTGGCGTCATAAGTCATTCGGTTGCCTTAACTTCATGAGTTCTCCCTCGCATTACTTGTAGAACTCGCCGTTATCCTCTGTGAGCCATATATTGACTCAGGTGAAGCGGCATGGCTCAACGTGATGTGCGCCAAACGGCCACTCGCAAGGCTTTTGGCACTGCCGAGATCCTAGAGGCTATTCTTCTACAGCTAGACATCAAGGATCTTCTCCTCTCTCAGTTAATCAGCACAAATTTCAAATTAATCATTTCAACATCACCCGCCACACAGCAACATCTTTTCCTTTCGCCAGTTCCGGCCGGCACGCCCCCGCAACTCAACCCCGTGCTTGCAGCTCTTTTCCCCGTGTTCTTCTCTCTGAAAAGACCGGTCGATATAAATCAGTTCTATCAGCTACATGATACTATTGGGAAACAAGAGTGGTACATAAATGAGTCCCATCGTCACAAATTACTGCGTCAAGATGCGTCTTGGCGGCGTATGTTCCCTTTGCAACCTCCCTCCAAGCTCCACGAAATAAGAATATTTTCCTACGACTGGTGTTAAGCTCAAGCCGGTCGCCGTACTCGTGCAAGACTTGGCAGAGACCCTCAACCCATGCAAGAGCCTGGTATTAGAATGGGCTTGCTATATGACCTAGTAGTGCATTTCAACAGTCTACACCCAGACCCCGAGTTCTACGTTTACTGGGAAATGTTTCCGCTGCAAGAGTGGCAGGAGGAACGCAGCTCCTATGATGACGGCATGGGAGCGGTGAAATCTGATTACTATCCTCTCTTCTTGAGGGAAAACCTGAACGAGGGACAGCAGAAATTACGGCACAAAATTACCTTGTACTATCAGCATGATGCTCTCTGCGGTGTTGCCGAGCTCCAGCCACTTTTGGACATTGACTCAGCCATAACTTCGATGGCTGAGAGGAATCCGCGGAGATGCTTCATTTTATCACAGATCCCAATATAGAACTGACCCATTGGGATAAATATATCAGCGTAGAGGAAGTAGATCGGATAAAAAGAGACAGAACACAACAATGAGAAGAGCAGAAGGAACCCGAGATTGCATTCATATGATTTTTGGGATAGACTCATGTAATCAATAGCTGATTATGGCGAAGAATATAACGACGAGTAATACAACCCCATTTAAAGGTCGCCAAAAAGAAAGCTCTCCGGTACTGGGAATCGAACCCAGGGCTGCTCGGTGAGAGCGAGCGATGTTAGCCACTACACCATACCGGATGTGGTTATGATGCTGCGTGTTTATTGTCGAATCGATAATGCAAACAGCTGGAAGGTTGTTCCATTGTGAAGTTCGCAAGGCTGCGATTTCCCGTAATATACGGTAGATGTTCTCACGCTCATATACCATTCTCCGATGACCTCCAAGCCGCTTGTCTCAATCGTAGGACTACTGAACAATCATACCTCACAGCAACACATTTGCAACTGGATGTGGAACGGTCACTCTTGGTCGACCTCTGTTAGGAGTTGGCTCAGGAAATCTCCCCGTACCCAGTTGATTCTTGAGACAACATGCCTGATCGCTTGGCGGCAGTATGTGGTAAACATCCACTGCTTGTAGCTCCTGCCCAGTATCAAGCGCCAACAGAGATAGATAATCATCGAGGTCTGACTCTTGTCTCGAAGTCGCTGGATATAGCCTGGCGAAATCGAAACAGGCCAGATGCAAATATGTCGCCAGCCAGGTTGCATTGACCTCAAGGTTTGCAACCATTGAAGGAGACGTTTAATAGCTTCCTCTTCTGATGGATCTTGTACAGTGAGGTTCAATGAGTTTGAAGTCTCTTGGACGATGAAGATGGCCCTTGCCAGCTTGACGTCTCCTCCTATAACGGGGGGCCTAGTTTGCGCGAAAATACTTGCGAGCGAGCTGGTCGCCAAGAACGGAACGAGTTGGTTACTGAGCTTTTGAGCCTTTTGGAGGGAACACAATATGTCCGTAGGTTCAAAAGCCCCAGTTGGTCCGAAGGATATGCCGTGGCGAACGTGTGAGGTGGCAAACTGAACCATGAGAAGAAGAATAGAAAAGAAGAAAACGGGAAGAGAGTTTTCTCTACCCAGATAGGTGATTTCCCGTCGGAAAAGTGACACTGCATCCACGAAATGCTGGTGGACTACACGGACGAGTCCTGTATCTAGGCCCATGTGCTATTTGGACATATGAAGAACAGATACAGAAATGATCATGTGATACAACGGCGGTGAGGACTGATAGTATTTCAATACGTCCTTTCTCCAAATCCCTATCATTGGATCTGCCGAAGGGGCGACTACGCCGGAGAAATAATCTAATAGTGCATTTTCCTTGCGGCACAGAGCTGCAGCAGGTGCCACAATGACGGCTTTTTCTGGAGCTAGGTCACCTATCCGTAGTTTGAAATCATATAATTCGTTGCGACGTGCGCAATTTCGGCACACTGGACTTTGTCTATTGCACTGGATACGTTATCAGTATGCTACATCCAATGTATGCAACCTCCCGGCTTTGAGGCTTCGATGGCTTTTCTCACCTTGACGCGGCGCTGTTTGCATCGGCCACAGCTATTCCGAGACTTTGTATGGAAACTTCGTGACATTCTTGGTGCTTGGTTCTTCACTATCGAAGCTAATGACTTTTGTTGGAATCTATTACCAAGGCCAATTTTCTGACAACATCTCCCCCTGACGGAGATGGTGAGCCTCCCTCCATCAACAAGGATTATGTGCCCTGCGCCCCAAGCTGACGAAGCAAATCAGCAGGATGGACTCACTTGAGTTTATTGAACGAGGTCCCCACTCAATTGGGGATGAAACATTCCCATGTTGAGATGGTGAGGGTCTTCACAAACTCCGAACTTACCTACTCAGATGTATGGTAAACGAGGGCTTGTCGACCCAGTTTTCACCAGATCGGCATAATGATCATTGTCGAGGACGATATTGACTCTGAAATAAGGTATAACGGTACAACATTTCCATTCACAAACTGTCTTCCCATTAAGGATTAGTGAACGAACCTGTTTCGCGGCTTGATATATTTCGTGGCTGAGACGGGTTGAAGTCCCTTTTCAAGATGTGCCTGTCAGGTAGAAAAGCCATTCGATAACCCGATATCATGATGGAATTCAACATGAACAAACCTGTTTTGAACTCATTTTTTGTTTATTCGGCATTTTCTGTCACTGGTTCACACGCATAATGGTGTCCTTCCGCGGTGTACTTTTCGCCCAAGCCAGCCTGCTTCAGAGTGCCTTAGCTTGTGGTTTTCATGCAGGTCTCTCTCCTACCGAAAATCCCCTCCTCCGTCGTTCGGCAGTGCCGGAGCTTCCCACGAAGAAAATCCTCATTCAGAACGTCCGAGTCTTCGATGGGCACGTCATCTTGCCCCCTCGAGACATTGTGATTGACGAGAGCATTATTCGTAATGACTCTACAGATCCGGACGAGATAATCGACAGTCATCACGGCTTTTTGATTCCTGGCCTCATCGACAGTCATACGCACGTGCAGCAGATTTCTCATATGGAGGATCTCAGTCGCTACAGAGTCACGACTGCTTTCAACATGAATTGCATGAACTTCACCAATTGTGAAATCTTCAAGTCTCAGGTCGGCCTTACATCGATCTTCACTGCCGGCGTGCCCATCATTGCACCAAACAGCGATCACGCGAGAACAACCCCGATCCCGAAGTCGATGCTCGTCACTGATGTGTCACAGGCTGAGTTGTACGTTGGCTGGGCCGTCGCAAACGGGTCTGACTTTATGAAGATCGTGAGTGAGGAGAACGGGCCGACGCAAGAGATGCAGGATGCTGCTGTCCAAGCCTCACACAGCCGCGGCATCCAATCCTCGACTCACGCAAGCTGGAGAATACCCTATCAGCAAGCCATACAGTCCAAGACGGACAGTATTCATCATATCTTCGGGGAATCCCTGCTTGCGAAAAGATGGCTGCTCCGCATGAAAGCCCAGGGCCAGTTCAGTGTGCCGACTCTGACGGTGATGCGGTATGTGAGCGAGAATCCAATCGCTAGGGAGTTCTTACACGGCACCGTCGAGACAAACCAGTCCTATCCGATCTACCGGGAGAATGTCAAGAGACTACACGAAGCTAGAGTACCCGTTGTTGCAGGTACGGATGCTGTCGGGTACGTCGAGGGCCTCTTTGACATGCCACACGGGCTGAAGCTGCATGAGGAACTCGAAAACCTAGTTGAGGCTGGAATGATGGAGATTGAGGCATTGCGCGCTGCGACAAGCTTGCCAGCAGAGCTGCGCAGTCTATCCGATCGTGGGGTCATCGCTCCTGGAAGACGCCCAGACTTGATTCTGCTGAATAGCGATCCGTTCGTCACTATTAGCAACACCAAGGACATCAACAAAGTTTGAATCCAGGGTATACCATGGCTCGAACTATCATTTATGGCGCAAGCATTTTGACACTTGACGCAGAGGACTCGTTTTACTACCCCGGTACGGTTGAGATTGAAGGCGACCGCATTGCTAAGATCTACCATGGAAATCCCAGCGCTGAAGTATTGAGCGATCCATCCATCACTGCTATTGATGGTACAGACAAACTCGTCATGCCTGGCTTTGTCGACCTCCATTTCCATACATCGGTGGCCAAGGTGAGCTCGTCTAGTCTGATTTTAAAGGCTTCTCGATTATGCCGTCACTAACAATGTTTCGCTCTAGGGATTTGGAGACGAGCTGCCTCTGAAGGAATATCTCGAGGAGGTCTGGTATCCCAGCGTCCGAGCCCTGACCCCAGAACGCGCATACATCGGCGCGCTGCATTCCTACTGCACCGCGATCAAATCCGGTACCACCACCGTAAACGACATGTACCGTTTTGTCGGCTCGCTTGCAGAGGCCGCGGCAAAGATTGGCATTCGAGCTGTTCTCAGTAACGAAGTCGCCCTCCCAGAACATAAGCTCGACCTCCTCGAAGATAACGAACAGTCGTACCTACAACATAATGGAAAAGAGTCAGATCGAATTCGTGTCTGGCTTGGCCACGAGTGGATGTGTACCTCCAACCTTGAGCTCATGGCCAAAGTTGGAAAGATGAAAAGTGAGCTCGGCACGGGACTGCACATCCACTTGTGCGAGTCACAACAGGAGGTTGAGGACACTCGGGCCAAATACGGAAGGACGCCGGTTGAGATTGAGTATGAGTCTGGATGTCTGGGACCTGACACTGTTGCGGCGCATTGCGTGCACTTGACCGATAGAGACATTGGTCTTCTTGCTGAGACTGGCACCTCTGTCTCCTACGACCCGGGCTCCAACGCAAAGCTTGGAAACGGGATTGTCCGGCTGCAGAGCAAGAAAAAGGCGTCAATGTAGGGATGGGTGTTGACGCATTCGAATGCGAAAACAGTCCAGACATGTTTGAGCTGATGAAATTTGGCTCGCTGATCCAACGAGCTTTACACCAGGATGCCTCCTTGGCGAAGCCCTACAATATCTTGCGCATGGCGACAGGCAACGGCGCTAAAGCACTTGGAATTGATGCTGGTGTCATCGCTCCCGGGAAAAAGGCCGATCTCATCGTCGTAGATCTTACAAAGAACCAGATGTTCACGCCTCTTCTGAAGGATCCTCCGAAACGAAAGATGATGCTAGAAAGCCATCTTGTATTTGGGTGCAATGGCTCAGCTGTTCAGCATTCAATAATCTACGGCGTGCTAGTGATGAAAGACTTTAAAATGCTGGCTCTTGATGAGGAGAAATTGCGTCAGGACATGGACGCCATGCTTGAGGAGATATCGGAAGATATGAAGTTGCTTATCGTTAAATGACGCAGGATGATCGCCTTGTATAATTGACAAAAGCTGAATGTGGATTAAAGTGTAATACTTGGCTGGCTATTGGATCAATATAGAATGAGGTTCGTCTTCTCATCTGCATCCTAAGGTTGATAATCGTGTTATAAGTGACGAAGTCGGTTCGCTTGGGACTCACCGATAAACCCTTCCCATGTAACATTCATCTCTGACTCGCCGTGCGCATCCCTATGTGACCAGAGAGCATCTAACAACTTAAGGCTCTGCTGGGCATTGCCAAGACCGAATTTGCCCATCATTCCTGTTAGCAGATCCCGGATCCGCTGTTGATCCTCTGAATGCACTGCACCGACACCGGCAGAGAAGAGGGGAAATAGAAGCACAATTCCCGGGCAAGGTCCTTCATGAAGCTTAATAGATGATACTAGATCCAATAGCCTCCGGACAATGGCTTGGATTTCACCTGAAGAAGCCGGCATTCCGCGTAGGCGCTGATAGATGTGAACCAAAAGTGCTTGATGATATGCTTCGTCTTCGCGTATATACTCATTTTGACGAGCAGAAGATAATTGAAGGGAATCTCTGTCTCCGAAATTTCCTGTTCCTCGATCAAGCATCTGGTGTAGTCGTTGGGCAAGGTTCATAGCCCTCATTTGCAGAGAGCCAGTTTTCAGCCCGCCCAAGTTCCGCTTCCTCAATAATGTACCAAGCTCAATCAGGACCTGTACCAGGTCTGTTGAGTATGCAGTAAACTCATCAATTGTACCTCTCTCATTGTTGCTCCGGGTTATTTTCATCGCGAGTTGAGAGACAGCTTCGGAAGGGGGATACCCGGAAACATTCGCGAGGGCGACAAGAGACACAAAGCACTTTGCAAGAAATGCCCTCGTAGGCCCTGATGGATTCATATTCCATGATTGCAGTTCTCTGCTCAGTACGGAAGCTACCCCTTCCAGATGTAATCGCCAAGATTGTGAGGGCCCTCCCCCAGCCACAATCTCGGAGTAACACAAAGAGCAGAATGGTCGACAAGATAGCCTCGGTTGGTGAACAGGAAGGATTCGCTATTTTCCCCCGGAGTTGCTGAACCGCGAATAATCGCAGGTGCGCCATCTGTTTGACATCCTGTTTCCCATCCGAGTTGGCCCGATGCACAGCAGCAAGGTTGAGCATGGCAGCCATAACATGGGAAGTTGTAGTCGCGATTGGTATGAAGGTAGCATGGAAATCGGCCTTGACCAACTCGTCGCACGAGAAGAATTCGGCAACTCGTGTGAAGTAATCAAAGAGCGCTCGGTACGTCGGCGGAAGATCGGGCAAGAAGGACGGCCTCGCAGTCGTAGGTGGCATCGGGGTTTGCTGTTGAATGGCCAGGGCCTCCCGTGTTTCTATAGCACACGTTGGAGACTCTCTCGGTTGAATGAGCCCGTAAACAAACTGCTCCTTGTTCTTGGTATCAACTAGGTGTCTATGCGTCAGTGTGTCTTGTCCTTGACTTGATCGTGTCGGATTCAAGCCTACGCTGTCCGCCAGCGCGCATCGAATCGATACAGCCAATTGGGGTGCTCTCGCTTTGATAGATACTGCACAAAAGACGACTTATGGAACGGCCTGCTTCCCCATGAGACTCTTAGGCCATATTCGCAGTCCCGTTGGTGTTTGTGACATAAACTACAGACTGGGTGCTGTTCGTCGCATTTCCGGTGATGCGTTCGACAAGGGAGACAACCCGAGCGCGATCGTGGAGCCAGTCGTTTCTTCCTGGCTGGTTTCTCCATGCATGCAAAAATGGGATGGCCCGATTTGCCGTAGATTGATGTCGGAACCAACGAGGATAAAGAAGCACAGAGGTCATGACTCTAAGGGGTTGGTGAACTGGTGATAAGGGTCAGGAAGTCTCTCCAGAAGTCACTCAGATAAGGATTGCGCAAGCCCCACCTTTGAAACATGATTGTTGATATCGGAAAGATAATCAGCCATCTCTCTCAAGGCATCATGGTTGACGCCGGCACAATATTGCAACACCAGCAAGTTTGCCGGTGTTGGTTGCGCTACGCAACCACATGTTGTACTCGAGGATGGAGGCGTCAAAGGAGTCTGGGTTGAAGAAATTGACCCCTAATCAACAAGGTCCACATTAGAAACCGGGAGCGCAAAGCCACCCAGTGCTGTGAATGTGCTGGAGACGGTCAAGCGAATGACACAGGAGTTCAGATGGCAAGGCACCGGTCAAGACATCTGTGTTCTTTCTAGCGCATCCTTTGAGTTGACATCAGCTTTGCCAACATCAATCAGCAACTGTGCCACGACAGTGTGGTTGTATTCAGTAGCTCCCTATAAAGGCGTGCAGCCGTATCTTTCCTTGCAAATGACTTGGGTCTTTCCAGTCGCCAAAAGCATCTTCACTACCATCTAATTTCCATTCTCGGCCGCCCATGATACCGGTGTTGGATATCTTCAAAGTCCACATTGTCTATCTCTATATCAGGCAGCGATGTGGCTATTTTGGGGGGGGAGTCGTGCCCAGCGGCCCAAGGCGATGGAGTCCTATTACATTTATCAGCCGCGTTGAAATCCATCTTTGCTGCGCCTAGTGTACAGAACTTGATGATGGAATAAGACAGCCGTTATCCGCGCCTCTTACATCTGCAGGGGACACTTGTTACGTCGAACTAAGTACATAAGTTCCCAGTTTTAACCCTATGCTATGATGATGGCTATTTCACGTTTCACTTTCTAGCATCCTTCTTCTAATTGCTGACATTACGATGTGTAAATTTTGGCTCTACATGTGATAGATCCTAACTAATATTCGTTTGGTGCATGACGTTTTAGGTTACGGCAATTGGGCAAATATATTTTTCGGTATTTGGTGTCCAGCACAGATCAAATTGCGATCATTTCAGTCAGGGATCGCGAAGGCAGGGATCGCGAGTTCAAAGGGCCGTTTGCGATTTTCCACTCAGGTTAGGTAGGTTAGATTTCGCCACAACGCGACTTCGAGGCCAGCCAAATCTCGTTCTCCAAAGCTTTCTAGAGTTTATTTTAGGATGCAATGCATCTCGCCATGACCATGAGGTTGAAAAGGGATTAAAGCCGCAGTTTTACGGGCTCCAAGCTAGAGGTTGAAGCGCTTATGGGTCGGGCGTTCGGCCAAGGTGATGAACACAGTTGAACACTGCTCGGAGAATCACGCAGATAGGCGTCTATGAAAGATCAATCACCGGCATCCTGAACAGTGTCGTATCAAATATCGCTATAGATCGTGTTGCGTACAGGCTTGGATCGTATTCCAGCCAATTAGCCATGGGGTTGTTCCTGTAGGATTACGCTCCCCGTTGATGACATCGAGTCATGAAAATGTCAGACTTAATTTCATCGTTCATATGCCGCTAAGGCTGGCAACTTCCGGCAGTCGGTCAGTAAGTCCCACCAAAGTTCTCATTTTCTGCACTTGGACCACTAGCTCGGTAAGACGTTGCGTTCACTCACTTTGTCGCTTCCCCTTGCATTGAGTTCTCTTACCCCCCCGGCGTGGTTTCACAACAGCACGGATGGCGCAGTACTAGATAAGGCCTTTATAATTCTATGATTGCTCCTCCTGAAATATTTAAACTGCCTGACCGTTGTCTTATCCCAGTGGTAGAACTGCAGATATGGCCATCCCTCATTGGATGGTACGAAGGATTGCTTCTTCCCACATCGGGCACTACGACGGCGACTCAGCTCGGGGAATCCTGTAGGGGAGCCGTGGAACGGCATTTCGCCGCCAGTAACGGCCTTGTGACTTCCAGAAACAGCCTGCTCAGTGCCCCATACTCCTCTAACCCCTTGACAGGCCCACCACGCTGCAACGTTATGCAAAGTTCCATTGAGGACCCGAGCTTTTGGTAGCGGTATGTAGTTCAATATGAACTGGTTAGGCTAATGTTGATTAAGAGACTATTCTAGATGAAGGCTCAAGCCTCGACTGATCATCCCTTTTTGGCCAGTGACATTCTATATTTAACAGCAAACTGATAAAGATGAAGACCAGATGAAGTGGCAAAGGCCTCGATGGAAAGTATATAAACCTCCTTCATCTTCCTCAGATCAAGCTGTTTCTTCGTTCTACAACAATCAGCAAAAGTTTTACTTATACTATTCCTTGATACCTCATCAGTTCTCTTTCTCCTATCCGCTTCTTTTCAACTTTCAACATGCATTTCATCAAGACCATCGTCTCCGTCTTCGCCCTCTCCAGCTTTGCCGCTGCTCAGGTCCACGGCGAGGAGCTGGACGCTGCCCTTGCTGCGCGTGATGTGGCCTACGAGGACCTTCTATACGCTCGTGAGGAGTACATTGAGAAGCGTGAGCTCTTCAAGCGCGTAAGTTGCCCGTGTTCGCTCGACAGTGGAGTTGTTCCCTCGCTAACAAGAATGGCTGCTAGCTTCCCGGCCCCGGTACCTGCAAGGGTATGGGCATTCCCGGCGAGAAGACCTTTACTGTCTGCTACAACAGGGCTGACCGCCCCTGCGGTGATTGCAGTAAGACTGCTCATCGCGGCCAGGGCTGCCTTTGCAAACGGTAAACAGCTCGCCCTCGGAGCAGCTGTCGGATCTTGGCAACCTGTTGCATGATGGTTCAGCCTCTCTTGCAAAGCGTGATTTAGACAAATGGTATAATACAAAGCATCTGGTTGCGCAATGGGCAATCTTGCCAACTTATTTAAGCCAAAAGCTACTTAATATACTGGTTTATATTGGTTGATATCTGACACATTCCGTAGCAGAGCCCTGGTCATAGGACTCTTGGGAGAAAGGTCCGCATGATTGGTTAAATCAAACTTCTCTTGGCTCCTTTTAGGAAGCTGCAAATTAAGACAGTGATGAAACTCCTGCTCGGATGAGACTACTGCGCGGCGGGTGTAGACTGATAGCATACGGATAAGAGATAGTTTGAGTGTAAAGTAAACACATCTGAAGAGAGTTTGTGTATAAAATTGGACAGCAATGGAAGCAGACCCAACATCTCAACACAATGACTGTAGGTCGATGTATTATTTAGACGCTTCATGCGCCACACTGCTCCGAGCCGTCGTGTTTTCCCCGATTCTTCTCTGGCATTACCATTTAAGGTCTGGCTGTGATCAAGAGGCTTGGAAAATTTCAAACTGTAACGATTTTTGAAAAGTATCACACTTCATCGGGCAAACTGGCTGCACCACTCACCAGCCTAGGTTGAGTAATAGCAGTTAATTTCTTATTCAGCTCCACGTTTTATCACCATTTTCTCTGATCATTCTGATATAGTACTCATTATTATCTGGTGATGTGGCCCTCGGCCAATATTATGATTATCTCAAATAAATTATCAACAAACAACTTCTAAGCTTCAAGCTAAAGACAGCCCAAGTTAATAAAACATTAAGTGGCTTTCAAGCCCTGCACACCAGAGCTACAGTATTTACAGATATCAGCGGTTATCTTACACAGACTTTCCAGCGTGATCCTCAATCTTGTTGATATGAAGTCGAAGCAACTGGTAATCGACCCTGGTCGGACGCTTAAGAGATCTGGTCATTGTTAGTTAGTAAGTCGATTGGCGAAACGAGCTCAAGATAAACGTTACCTCAATGATGGCAGGTCCAGCAGCGACGGTGTCATCAGTGACAGACTCGTTGCAGCCAGTAAGGACGACATAAGTCTGACCCGCAAAGCCGCTGGGGATAACCACGGAGAAGCCGCCATTGACCGGAATAGCTTCAACAAACGTAGGTCCGGTGACGGCAATGAAGGCAGCGTAAACCTTGCCGCCAGGAGGGGCCTCGATAACATAGTCCTACATGCATCGTTAACATCTATTTGTTCAAGATAAGATCACGCAGGGTATAACTGTGCTACTTACGGGAGTCAACAGAGTGACGGTGTTACCAGTCACGACGGGCATCGCGGTAGAGGGAGCCAGGGTAAGCTTGGGGAAGGCTTTGACGGGCAGAGGGGGGTTGCTGGCCGGGCAGGAAACGATGAACTGTGAAGCTAGAGAGTAGACTTCGTCGAGGCTGAGGGGAGTGTCAAAAGGTTGAGGAAAGGGGGGCTGGTCCAAATTGGCGCGAAGATATGCTGAATGACGTGATTCAACCGTCAGGATAGAGCCTGCGGCGGTTAGGTATCCCTTGTTCATGATGTCGGCGGCGGCTCCAAGGTAAGCAGAAACACCAACACCCTCAAGGACCGAGGCGGTCTGGAGGAAAGTCTTGACATCGGTGTAACCAAAGTTGTATTGGCAGGCATCAACAGGAGTGGCGCCAGCACCTAGAGGAAGGATGTTAGTTATTTAGAATACATCCCATACTGGCTGAGATTAACGCACCCTTCAGAGCAGTGGTGATAAAGTTGACGTGGTCGCTTTCGTCTTTGCCAATCTTGTTCAGGTTGTTATAGAAGTCGGAGTCAAAGCCAGCATCAGCAAATTGCTGCTGAGAAAACTGGGCCAAGCCTTGACGGTAGAAGGTATCTTCAAGGTGCTCCAGGGTCAAAGCGTAGTTGAGGATATCAGCTAAGCAACAACATATTAGTAATGAATATCAAGATGAACATCAAGATGAACAAGATATATTCTTACCATCAGTAGGGCCGTTGCGCTTCTCCACAACCGGGGCGGCGGAAGTCAGGCCCGCGGCGAAGAGGGCGATAGCAGCGTGAGAGAAGAACATGTTGACGAGGTTGAAATGATGGACTGTCAAGAAGCTCTCGTTTGTTATGATACAAGTTGAGGACTTTTAGTTGAGCTGTGGAAGGATGGGAGTGATATGGAGAACACCTCAACCGCCAGGCGGAACGACGCGAGGTTATATAGTCATCTCGAACGCAGTTCTCGCGAGCATGATCATAATGCGATCATCCATAACCCGTCTTGAGGAGATCCTAACATGCTGAGATTTGGAAATGAATTGGGAGCTTGTCTCGGAAGCTGCAACATCCGGGAAGCTAAGAAGTTGACTAGCCTCACCGGCTAAGTAAACACCGAGGAAGAGTGGACGGTAATCAGCAAACCATAACCCAATCAAGCTAATCCAGATTGCCCCCATGGCTTATGGAGCAACAAACGGTGATCGTGGACGTCATTACCAATCACAAGAACCCAAGCGGGAGTTACGCATATTTGGATCTCATGCTCTGCCACAATTCGCCCCCGCATTGGAGATTATCATTGCATGTATGTGGTCACTAGTGAGGCAAGGCGTTTTACGCGTATTCAAGACAGCCCGTTCCTCACTACAGTTATGGGCCCTTGCATTAGCAGCAAGTTTCCCGTGACTTAGAATCAGAATGTCTCACCGTCAACCTCCCTTTGGATCTGGATAGATGCACACTGAAAGAAGCCGAGACAACAGTGCTACTTCATATACTAGTAGTTAGCTCCAACTAAGATTACCATTAAGTCGTGTGTGTATGCTCCGGCTGTTTTGCCACACGTAACGCTGGATAGTGGATAATACTACTCCATCGCTTGTATGCAAGACCTTTTGTCTACCGCTCTTGATCCAGGCTGCAATTTCGCAAAGATTGGGGATCGCTAGCCCACCCGTTCTCAACAGATAATATGCAGCTTTGCTAAAAGCCGGCAATGGCATTATCTTGTCCCGGCGGCCGCCTCCTATCCCCTCTTTCAGATGGTTGTGTGGAGCTGTGTTGATCTCTTTTTGGATCTGTATTCGACTCGAATTTGAGTAATAAAGATTATGTCCCCCGCGGGGTTCTCCGTTCAGATCCTTGCGGCAATCATCTCCTCATTTGCTAAAATCTTCCACCTTTGTGCGCTCATGGGCTCCTCCTCCCGCAGCCCGTAACCTCGAAAATGTGATTCAGTCAGCTAGAACGCTCATTAGGAAGCAGGTTCCCGAAGTCTTGGCCCAATCTTACTCCTTTCCCCCCTCTTTACGTGGCTCTAAATGACCAAGGTAACATCTCGGTATGTCATTGTGTCAACACCTCCCCGCCTACGTCACAGCCAGCAACTCACAGCGATGAGGGAAATTACCTGAACCCCTGGACGATATCGAGATCGATGACAGACAGGTGAGGCGATGAACAAAAAGAAAAAGACTAGGCTATCCCAATAGCCGTGAAAAAAAATTTAACGCCATATATGTTATCGTCGTAATACAGCTGAGGAGAAAAGAACTAGGTCTTGTTCTAAATCTCAGCACTCAATTCTAGGGCTCTGGATCCTTAAAATCTGTTAAAATACTCGATGTATTATGACCGTTCCGCAATAACTGTTCCAGCTTAAAGCAAGGCTAACTACCAACCTAGGCAAGCATTTGGCGGACTTGAAAACTCCAACCAGGCAGTGAGATTCCCTCCATAGACTCAATTCCCAGCCCCGAAGCAGGATTGAAATCATCCTCGAGTGAAGTCTGTCGTGGAACTCCCGGTATTGGGAAAAGGTTTGCCAGGATCAATGCTATACATGGAGCTTCGTGCTGTTCTTCGAAGTGTCGCCTTGGACAAGCTTCCTACCCACTTACTTGATCCACAGCTGTCCAAGATACGCAGTGCTTAAAAGAGACGGATTCACGGTATTAGGTTCACGATAGTCTTAGAAGGTAAATCATGATCATGTGGTAATTGATTCTATTAGAGTCATGCAAAAGAGAACATACCACTACCACGCAGCAGTATAACTACAAGTTCCACGTTAGCTACGACTCGTTTGTTCAAGTCCCTAGTGAAAATACACCATTCCCTTAGTCTCCTCTTAACGCCTGATCTTCAGCACCTAGAGACTCCTTCTGCGGCCATGTCGATGGCTTCCCTTGTCAGCACCGCCGCTGCCACCAGGTGTATAGCCAGAGAAACCGTTTTCGCTGCCACCACCACCACCACCACCACCACCACCTCGTCCACCGCCTCCTTTTCGAATATCGAGGCTCCTTCTACCATGTCTATGGCTGCCCTTATCAGCACCACCACTGCCGCCAGGCGTATAACCCGAGAAGCCATTCTCGGAGCCGCCGCTTCCTCCCCCACCACGGCCACCTCCTCCCTTTCGAATCTCAAGGCTCCGTCTACCACGCCTGTGGCTACCCTTGTCAGCGCCGCCGCTGCCACCAGGTGTATAGCCAGAGAAACCGTTTTCGCTGCCGCCGCCGCCGCCGCCGCCTCCTCCACGGCCGCCACCACCCTTTCGGGTCTCGAGGCTTCGTCGGCCTTTGCGGCCATGTCTATGGCTGCCCTTGTCGGCGCCGCCACTACCGGAGGGCTCATATCCAGGGAAGCCATTTTCACCGCCACCACTACCACCACCACCACCACCACCGCGGCCGCCACCTCCCTTGCGGATCTCGAGGCTTCGTCGGCCTTTGCGGCCATGTCTATAGCTGCCCTTGTCGGCGCCGCCACTACCGGAGGGCTCATATCCAGGGAAGCCATTTTCACCGCCACCAC